CCTCCGCTTGGGACCTGAGGCAGGCAATGCATCTTTAGCTGCAACTAACTCCGCCTGCAGAGGACTTCAGCCCACTTCTGTTTTTGGAAGGCACCGTGTGATTAACCTAATTCCTGGTCTATATCCTTTATTGTACACCTTTCAGATCAGTGCTCAAGTTAGCCTGGCCTCTCAGAGCTCACACTGACCTTTAGTAGAAGAAGGATTCTGTCCGAGAGCTTGGGTTGCTGGGTTCCGTGGTACAAGTTGTGCACTGCACAAGCATGTCTGTGTAAGGAGACAGTTTGCATATCATAGAGGTTGTAGGTTTTTACATTTATTATGACAATTATTCCACAGATGGAAGCAAAGTATCTTGAAGAAAGGATCCTTTTTTCTCGTGTGCACAGAGAGGCCGTGTGGGCTAATGTTAATCCTGCTGAAAGGCCAGAGATAATTCAGTTCTGGGGAGAGTTTCATAACAGATAACGTGCCAGATGGGCAAACCATAGGCCAGCCTTGGCTGGAATACAATTCCTGTGATCCTATAGGAGGCCGTGTCCCTCCCATGCCTGCTCAGGAAGGGTGCTGAACTCCTGCCTAGCTCCTCCTCCAACTTGACTTTCCCCTTCTTCCTGTCTCTGCTCCTTGCTTGCTCTCAGTGAGGCAATGAGTTGAAGGCACAATGCCTAAAGTTGAAGAACTGGTGCTTCCATCTGTCCCCACCTTCCCCGGACTCAGGAACTTTAGGCCCAGCTCAAGTACACAGCATCAGGGAAGTAGGGAAGGCTGGCCCTGCCTGTCCACACTAGGCATGGGATGTGTTCCTTCTCACCCCCTCTGCTCAGAGAAAGGGCAATCGCTCCCCAATCTTTGGAACCTTGACTACTTAGCTAGTGGTTAGGAAGTGCCGTGATCTTCCTGTGACCAGCAGTTGACCACCCCCATGCCAGGCAGCTCTGCTCTCGTTCCAGGCCACAGAGCGCTGATTGGCCACAGTCCTCAGCCCAGAAACACACAGAACGGTGCCGGAGAGCATGAGAGCTTAGGGCACGGGGTGGCCAGCTGTGGCCCGTGGGCCAAACACTGCCTGCCTCCTGTCTTACTGTGGACTTGGAGCTAAAAAAGGTTTTTCCATTTTTAAAAGGTTGAAAAAAATCAAAACAAGAATAATAATTCAGTACCCAGGAAAGTTATATATAATTTAAATGTCTGCGTTCATAAAGTTTTATTGGAACACAGTGATGCTCATGTGTTTATACATAGATTGTGTATGGCTGCTTTGTTGACACATTTGGTAGAGTTGAGCAGTTGAGACAAAAGACCAAGTGCCCTGTACAGACTAAAATATTTACTATCCGTCACCTTACAAAACACGTGTGCTGACCCCTGGCATGGAGTACGAGAGGCCGTGAGGTTTTCTGGAAAGACCCCCAGATTTGGGTCTCGTACCGGGTAGCCGTCTGAGCCCTGGTTTCCTCATCTGTAAAGGAGAGTGTCAGCAGTCCCTGCCCTGCCTGTACCAGTGGCCATTGTGTGAATCAGGTGACTTCAAGGACAAGCTGAGCCTTGAGAGCTGCAAGGCCTATGTGAAAGTTTAGTCGAGTTTTCCCTAAAACCTGGGTCAGCCCTGGTCATCTTCTGTCAACGCTTTTTTTCTCATCATCTTGATCCCTTCTGGCCTCCGGGCAGGGCAGGGATTTTTACTGGCCCTTCACCTCTCCCCGTTATCGCCAAGTTCCTGTTACCAGGAGGGCAGCGCATTTCATCTGTGTGCGTTTGACTCTCTCACCTGTGATCACCAGACCCAAGGGGTGGATTCAGCCTGTCAAAATCCACTTGCCACCCAAATCATGGTGTGCGCTCCCTGAAATTCTAATTGTGGGAAATTGTGAGGCTTTCACTCGGCTCTGGGGGAGGAAGGTCTGAGGCAGAGTGCGGACGGTTGTCCAGACGGGAGCGAAGGAAGCCCTACTTTTACTCAGCTTGGTCTTTCATCGATATATGTACTTAGCTGCAACCGAGGGTTGGCATGGGTCCTTGGTCTTGTTTGGAAAATGGCAAGTTAGATAGACCGTGGTTCTGCTAAAAGAGGAGATGTTAAAAAAGAAAGAAAGAAAGAAAGAAAGAAAGAAAGAAAGAAAGAAAGAAGGAAGGAAGGAAGGAAGGAAGGAAGGAAGGAAGGAAGGAAGGAAGGAAGGAAGGAAAGAAAGAAAGAAAGAAAGAAAGAAAGAAAGAAAGAAAGAAAGAAAGAAAGAAAGAAAGAAAGAAAGAAAGAAAGAAAGAAAAAGAGAAAGAGGGACAGCAGTAGCTTAATCAGCCTCATTGTCACTCTGCGGGACCTTTTAAAAAACAGTTGTGAGGTGTGCCCCTCCCATAGTGTAGTCAAAGGACATCTGACACTCAGGGATCCTACTCTTACCCAGCCTGTTACATGGGGACCCAGGGCCCCATTTTGACATTGAAAGTTCTCAGAGGTTAGAAGACCATCTGCCGTTGTGCCAGCCTTGACTTCCTCCTGCACTGTGTTCACCTGATCCCTGGCACGGCCTCAACCAGAAAGGCCTAGAAGCCCCTTTCACCCCAGCTCTGTCTGGTCTCTTGACCCCTGACCCTTGGCTGACTCCACACTGCCTTCGTCAGCCCCGATGCTCTGCTTCTCTGCACTTTCCCAGCACAGGGATGCTGTGTGTTCCCAAAGCCCTCGGCCTCGCCCGCACAGGCCTAGGGTACCTCCCCCATCCTCTGAGAGGCCTCCTTTAACTCCTGTCTTCCCTCCAGGGTCTGCAGGGATGCCTTTCCAGGTCAAATGTCATGGAACTGCAGATTGAAAAGGACCTTTAGTGTTCTCACATTCTCTTGCCTCTGGTGTTTTCTCCACAGCGTCCTGGCACATGGTGGCTGCTGACATGTCTCTAGGGATGGCAAACTCACTTCCCCTAGAGCATCCCATTCCTTGTTGGGTAGCCTTAGCCACTAGAAATGAGCTTTTAGTGAGCTAAAATATCCTTCTTTGCAATTCAACCTGCTGATTCGAATTCTGCCTTTTGGAATGATTCAGAATGTCTGCTACTCCTCCCACAAATGCATCCAGCCCCTCATCCTTCCACCTGCTGCCCTGTGCCCAGTGCCCTCTGGAGTCCTGCTGCCCCCGTGACTGACCGATGTTCAGCAGTGCCCTCAGAGACTCCCCTGGTCCCCACCCCACTGAGGCATCACTGGCCATGGGGCCCTGGACATGCCACCCTGCAGAAGGGCTTGCTTCTGTGTGGAGTGAGCCCTGGACTGGACCTGAGCAAGAATGTGAACCAAAATAAATGGTTCTCAGAGGCTCTTCCAGCAAGGGGAGGGAAGAGTTGATCTTTCCCCCATAACCCTGTGGGAGGGCTCTGCAACTTAAAAAACGAGTGAGAGCAGAATCATCTGGATGTGGCCAGGGTCTTCTTGGTCCCTTGCAGCCACATGTCCCATGATCTCTGGGAGGGGACCTGGAAATCTGCTTTGTTAACAAGTTCCCCAGGTAGTCAGCATGGGGCCCAAGTTTCAAGCCACTGACCTTGGGGTTGCCTGGGTCTGGCCTCTTCTGAAGACTCTGGTTCTGTTCCTGTTTCAGAGGGGTCTTTGTGGTGACTCAAGAGGGGCTGGGAATCTGAGAGAAACTAACCTTCTGGAGCCTTCAGGTGGGGCAAGCATTGGAGGGTCTTCCCTCCGCCATGACGGGTCTTATTGAGTGAGGCCCGAGGAGAGAAAGAGAGGACATTGCTGCCTCCTGGCTCAGGGTTCTCAGCAGGTCAGAACCCAGCCCTCAGGGCAGCGTAGGTGGTGTGTGTGTGTCCTCTGTGGGTCCCCTGAGGTATTCTTGAGGAACTTAGAAGCCTTATGTAAGGGAAACAGCAAACAGCAGAAGGTGGTAGATGGTGGACTTGGAAATCATTGACACAGACAATGTGGCAAAGCCAAGGAGTGTGGAGGAGAAAGACCTTGGGTGCTGGGACGTCAGGAAGGCTCTAGGGAGGAGGTCAGTGGGGGGACCAGGACTCTGGGCCTCAATGAAAAGAACTCTTGTTTTCATCAACTTCATATACTGGGCTGAAGATATCTGAACAATAGTTTCTGCTATGGGAAAGGTAGAAAGCCATTGAAGGAAGGGAAAGGGGAAGATAAAGTTGCCTCAGGCCTTGGAATTCTTGGCACCCAAAGAAGCTAGAGGAGTGTTGCTTCTCACACCAGAAAGCAACCCCTGCTCTTTGCTTCCCCCCTCCCCCCACCACAAGGCAGAGTCCAGTTGCGGAGATGTGGGCAGGGCTCAGCATGTGGTCAAATTTGCATTGACCGCCATCCCCCCTTGAGGCTAAAGCCAAGGCTGAGGCATTTGGGGGTTCAATGAATGGAGCAAAGATACAAGAAGCAGATGTAAGTCTTTAAATGAGGTAACCCCTAAGTGTGCATTTGCTGGCTACTATTGGTGTCTCTAGTCTTTGCACTGGTTATGGCCTTGACAATTTTCATTCACAGAATCCATTTTCCCCAATGAATGTTTACCCTGTGATGAAGTATAGAGCTTGGATCACAGAAGACAGAGTAGATGTCAGGGGCCCCGTTTGAGGCATTTTAATATCCAAGGGAGATATGCCAGGGTGGCTCAGTGGACTTGGGCTGATTCGTGCATCCCTAGGCAACATGTTAGTAGACAGAAAGAGAAGCCCCCTCTACCTCCAATTTATGCAATGCAATCAGTTTCACAGTTACCATTAGACTTTCCTCAGTGTTATTGAGATATAATTGGCATAGCACATTGTATAAGTTTAAGGTATACAATGTGTTGATTTGATATCCTTGTATATTAGCAATGACCATTTGGAACCAATGTCAGGCCATTTGTTTCCTGCTCAGTTATTGACTGTGACCGTGAGGATTCGTGCATGACTGGAGGGGAGGGTGGATGGTGGAGTGGCTCCTTTGGGGCCTCTGTTCTTCTCAGGATCCTGATGAGCTCAGTCTTTCTCTGTCCTTGTTCTCAGGTAACAAGTACGAACTTAAGGTGTGCACTGGCGACGTCCTTGGTGCAGGAACCGATGCTGATGTCTTCATCAATATCTTTGGAGAATATGGAGACACAGGTACCGGGGTTTGAAATCCTTTCTTCACACACCTTGCCCAGAATTGCTTCTTAGATGGGCTGTTTCCTATCTTCCTTGCAGAGGAAAGCAACCCCCATCTTCTCCCGGTTCCTCCGCTCAGGATCTCTCTTCTTGCCTTGTGCTTTGTCATGTGCTTCTCTGCACAACAAGGTGTGCATCTTATAAAGTTTGTGTGTGATGTATTTTCAGAAGAAGATGTGCTTGGATTTGGGTGCAGTTTAAAATTGTCCTGCATCCTAGAAAAGGTCCAAGCTCCACATCACCAAGGAACTCATTCTCAGTTATATTCTTTGTCTCCCTACACTCCATGTCCATCTTGAATTATATATTTGGATGTTGCATGGTCTGATTCAACACAGTGGTTTGGGGCAGCCCAGGATGGGGCAAAGGATCAAATCGGACTTGGTTTCATAGATGGAACAGGAACTGAGGACACAGGTAGAGAGAGGTCCAGGTGTTGGGAGGAAATTCAGCCCAGCAGGACAGAGATAGGCAGTTCTTTGCTGCTTCTGCCAATTTAATGGAAGAATATAAGGGTCAGTAAAGCTGCTGAGACATGTAAAATCTGGACACAATATATTAAAAAATTCAAAATGCATTGCTGAGCATATCAGGGAAAGAAACCAGAAGTCTCCAGGTGCCAGAAATAAAGAGGGAACTCAAAACTAAGTTATTAGCTGTGAGTTGGTGCAGGGGCTCTTGGAAGGAGGAAGCTTTCATGTTCAACAAACTATAGGATGGTTTTATACCCACTTGAGGTCAGAAAATGAGATAGTGGCCCTTTGTGAGGCAAGATATGAAAAAATAGAACCACACATACCGCTTAGAGTCCTGAGAGTTCACAGGAACATCTTTAGTTAAAAAAAACAGGCCAGGAAAAAATCTGCTCATTAGTGCAGTGAACTTACCTGTGCAAGAGCTCAAGATTAAAAGACAGCCGCTGAGAAACTGATGCCTTAGGCTTATACCTCATGCGAGCTTGAGGTTTGATTTTTACACTGTAAGTGTGATTTGGGGGCTTTTTTTCCTCCAATACAGAAAATTGGTTCCATGCTAGATACAATAGAAGAAAATAGTAGACACCAAGAAAAATATAGCAAATAAAAGAGGGAATGATTGAAACTTTTTCAAAATTGTGCAAAGATATGAATCATAGGATTAAAGTAAAGATACGAATTACTTCAGATTAAAGTAAGAAGATAAGTCATTAAACAAGATAAATAAAAACATCCACATTTAGATGCATTGTGGTGAAGTCAAAGGCACAGAGAAAGATCTTAAAAATAACCAGGTTTGGCAGATCACATAAAAATTAGACTTATAACAAATTCCTATCATCAATGTATAGAGGTCATAAATTCATGAATAATATCTTCAAAGTCCCAAGCAAGAATATAGACCAACCTAGAATTCTGAACCCAGCTGGGTTATAATTCCAGAGAGAGAGCATAACTAATGAATTTCCATGCAAACAAAGAGAAATAAGCATTACCACTCATAGACCAGTACCTAACCACTAAAGAAAATATTTTAAGAAAAAGAAAATTGTACCCAAAAGAAAGATTGGAATGCAAGAAACAAAAGTGAGCCAAAAATGGATAATTATGTGACAAATCTAAGCAAGCGTTTACCATACAAAGCAATCACAGTAATGACTGTTACCAGGGCATAAGAAAACATGGACCTGAAACACTAAAAAACAATACTCTTTGGGAAGGGAGGTAGATAATGAGAGGCAAAGCATAAGAAGGTCCTTGGTCCCAGCCCATTCTCCCATCCCTAAGAGAGTAGAGAAATTAGCTTTAGACTTTGACGTCAAGTATACATATTAAAATTATAAACTAACCACCACAAAATAAGAAATATATACTTTCTAAACCAATAGAAGGAGTAAAAGGAACAAAAACCGAACCCATCCAATAGGAGGCAGAAAACGAAAAAAGAGAAAAAAAGAAAAAGCATGACTGAAAGCAAAAATTGAGATAAATGTACAAATAACCACAATAAGTAGAAATCAACTAAACCTATCAGTTAAAGGATATATATCCTCATATTAAATAAAAATAAATAAAATCCAGCTTAAATATATGTTACGGAAGGGCTGAAGATAATCAAGATGGAGTAAATTATTTCAGGGATGTATCAGCAACAGGAGAGAAGGTAGTGTAGCTATATTAAAAGGTATAAATTAATCTTGAAGGAAAAACACTTTGTTAAATATAAAAGTGTGTTAGGCAGTGTAAACCTGAAAGATATGGTGATTCTGAACTTGTATAAACTTAACATATTTCAAAAATATAATGAAGCAAAAATTAACAATATTCTTGGAGAGACTTGGTAAGTAAATGATACTGGAATAATTTAATACAACACAATAATTGATAAGTCAAATGGATATAAATTCAGTATGGATACAGAAAATTTTAACTATACAGTTAATAACTTGATTTAACAGAAGTTTGTAGATTCCTGTATCCAACTGGCAGAGAACACACATCTTTTTCAAGCATGTGATGATAACATACAAACCTACAAAGTAAGTCAAACTCAGATCAACATCATAGAGACAACATTCTTTGATTATGTTAATAAAACTAGGACAAACCCCAATCTCTCATTCCATTTAGAAACAAGTTTTAATTTTTATCAGAAATAATCATCATTTACAAAATCCAGGAGAATTTACAAGTCATTAGAACCAATGAGAGGAAAAGGTTAGTAAAGATACTGGATATAAGATTAATGTACAAAAATTAATAAAAAACAAGCAAACATTTAAAAATATGTGACTTACAAGAGCAATTATAAGAGACCTAAGAATAACCCTAGCAAAAGAGTTTTCTGGAAAAAAACCATAAAATTTTATTAAAGGATATACAAAAATACTTAAACAAGTGGGGTAATATGTATGTACATGAGAAAAGACTCAAATTCATCAAGAAGTCAAATTTGCTCAGATTATTCTCTATACACAATGCAATTTTAGTCACACTTCCAAAGGGCAATATCCTGTAGCTTAAGCTGAAAATAAAATTCATGTTCATGAAGGGCTATGTATCGCCAAGACAATTTTGAATGTTGAAAAGCGCATTAACCATTTTAACAATATGGGGATAGTTACCCTGGCAGATATTAGGACAATGCAGGTCTCTAAAAACTGGAGCAGTGCGATGTGGATAGAACAGCGATTTTCAACTTTCTTCATCTCATGGCACAGATGAACTAATTACTGAAATTCTGTGGCACACCAAAAATTACATATTTTTTTGCTGGTCTGACAAAAATAGGTATAGTTTTGATTCATTCACACCAAACAGCTATTGTTGTGTTGGCTGCTGTCATTTTTTGAATTTCACAATCTAAGGGAAAAAAGGCCAGTGTCCCTCACTAAACACTCAGGTATAGCATGTTTTAAAAATTCTTGCATCACACCAGTTGAAAATTGCTGGGATAGAGGATAAACAAACCGATGGAGCAGAGTAAAGAGTCTGGAAACACACACGAAGGCAGCCGTCTCAGTCGGAGGGACGAGGGTGGAGAAGTCAGTTACTGGTGTGTGAACAGTCATTTCACCTTGTGAGAAAAGATACAGTTGCATCTTTTTACCTGTCACCATACACACAAATAACTTCCAGGTGGGCCAAAGGCTTAAATGTGAACAACTCTATGAAATTTTTAGAAGAAACTTTGAGAGTGTCTTTTTAAAATCTCAATTTAGGATTCAGTTTCTTGAACTATTCACTAAAAGCACAAACAACAAAGAAAAATATTGACAGAGTCCATTAAAACAAGAAAAATGTTTACATGATAAAAGACATAGTAGACAAAGGAAAGATGATAGAAAGACAAGAAAGTACATGAACAAAAAATTATAGAAGAACAAGGTCTAAATTATATATGTAAATCAAATATGTATATGATACATATATATGAGACATACACATGTTCCGTCTCAAAATAATCAAGGGAATGCAAATGAAAACTATGATGAAATACCAGTGTACACACGCTAAAACAAAATTGGAAAATCTGTATGTTAATAATGACTGTGGACAATGGGAATTCTCATGGATGGCTGGTGGTAACCGGTGTAGTACAAGCATCTTGAAGGACAGTTTTGCAACTCCTCATCCACTGAAGATGAGTACACCCAGCACCCAGCAACTGTTTTCATAGGTGTGTCTGTCTGCTCAGAGCCATTTTCACAAATGTGCAGCGGAAGGTAGGGACAAAAGAGTCCATTTCAATGCTGCTCATGGCAGCAAGACACTAGGAATGACTTCAGTGCCCATGAGTATCAACATGCCTACATCAGAGTGTTGGCTTCACCCGATCACTAGCAGTTGGACTAATGAACCAAAGTTTACAGCATTGGCGGGGTCTCAGAAGCACAATATGAACTGAATGAAAGTGAGTGGCACACGGGTATTTGAGGATGAAAGCAGCAGCACTAGCAACAACCCCAGTTAGTGACAGAGCACTTAACTAGAAGCCCTTTGTCTGTGTTAACTAGGTCACTCCACCTAGTGATCCTGTGGACGGTGCTTCATCACCCCCACTGCACAGATGAGGAACTGGAGACCGAGATGTGCGCTATGGTGTATTTGTGTAAAATTCTAAACTATGAGAAAATAGAATATTTTCTTTATGGATACACACCTGTGCAGGCAACAATCTATGGGAACAATACACAGCAAGTGAAGACAGTGTTTATTTGAGGGAGGGAGTGGGGGATGGGGATGGACGGTGAGACTGTCCACCTCTCTGGAGTGATTCATGTCCTTTAAAAAGGACGTTAGACAGAGTGTTAACATCTGCATTAACTCTTAAATCTGGGTGGCAGATACACGGATGTCATATTATTTTCTGTTTGAATTGTTGCAATGGAAAATGTAGAAAAATGTAAAGAATTAAATTTTAGAAAGGAAGAAAAACGTGACGGCATAAGCAAAAGGTTGGTGATTTGATGGGGCTGGAAGGGTTCGCCTGACCTTCAACTTGGAACATTAACACGGAAAATCGCCAAGTAGAAAGAACAAGTTAGAATGAGTCCTAAGTGACCCATATGACTTCTGGCAATGGATTTGACTTCCATAAGTCTCGGTTTCTTCATCTACAAGAAAGAGTTAATAATGCCTCCTTCCTGGATTATAGCGATGGGTAAATGAGAAGAAAATCCATGTTAAACAGCCCTGACCGGTGTGGCTCAGTTCGTTAGAAAGCATGCTGCAAAGTGAAGGGTTACCGGTTCAACTCCCTGCTGGGCATGGTCCTGGCTTGCAGATTCGGTATCCATGTTAAACAAACAAACAAACACACAAAGAAAATCTATGATTATAGCTCTCATGGCTATTTTCCAGAAAAGGAGGCAGACCTAAGGAAGTCTGCTGGCTGGGTCCCAGTCACAGCACCTCTGTACCAACTACCATGGCTGGGCTCCCAATTCAGGTACACGTGAGGCAGGGCTTCGGGTCTAGGGGTGTGGTGCTGATTGGTTTACTGGCATGGGGGCTCCAGACTAAGGCAAAAATCAGAAATGCAGTTATGGGCCCTAGGCACAAGCCACGCACAAGGCAAGCTTCCGGAGGCTGGATGGCTTTAAGGACACCCTTGTTAACTTTTTTTAAAAATTAACTTTATTTTTAGAGCATTTTTAGGTTCATAGCGAAATTGAATGGGAGTACAGAAAATGCCCACATACCACCCATCCCCCACTACAAAACCTCCTCCCCAAGTTGACTTTTGAGACCGCCCTTCAGGGGACAGACCATGAAGGCTTGGAGCTGGTTGTTTCTCCTCCCCCAGTCTCCTTTGTAACGTGCGTGCATGTCTGTGCCTACAGGGGAGCGCAGGCTGGAAAGTGGAAAGAACAACTTTGAAAAGGGAGCTGAAGACAGGTTCACAGTGGATGCCCCTGATCTGGGGCAGCTGATGAAGATCACTGTTGGCCACAACAACAAGGGGCGGTCTGCGGGTTGGTTCCTGTCCAAGGTGGGTTCAGCTGCCTGTCTGCAGCCCCTGTGCCCTGGGAGGGGGGACGTCTGGCTCTTTACAGGGTTACATTTCAGCCCTAACTTCCCTCCCACAGTCTATCTGCCTCCACTCTTCTGCCTGTGTCCACTGGCCAACCATCCTGCTCTCCTCATACCTCTGAGACTTTGCCCATGTTCCCACTTTTCTAAAAAGCCCAGTTCTCTCATCTGAAGCCTGATCATCCTTCAAGGCTCTGCCATGCCTCTTTCCCTGACTCTGGTCCACCAGATCCTCTCCCTCCCACAGATGTTCATAACCCTGACTACTTAGAGCATTCATTTCACCCTAATCATAGTTTTCCTTGTGGCTTTATTTGGAGCTATTGCCATATACCTCAAATTTCTGAGCCTCAGGTCCTTGGTAACTTCACCTACCCAGGACCAAACCACACAGCAATAAGATGATGCAAAGGCTTCTGAGAAGCTGGAATGTATCCGTCTGGTCCAGTTTGTAAGGAAAGCTCATGTCCCTGGCTCTATACTGTTCTGCCCTCATTTTGAAGGAAAGGCCCCTCCGACCCTCACTCACAGCCTAATGCTTATTTATAGTCGTGCCCAGAAGACTCACTACCAGCAGATGTAAACCTTTAGCAGAAAATTAGAGGTGGAAAGAGGCACCAAAATAGGTGGGACTATTGAGAAATGGGGAGTCATACAAGATATAAAAAGCCAAAAGAATATTAAAAATTGATGAAAGTTTGAAGTTATTTAGAAAATGGGATACCAGCCCTTTGCATTTATTTCTCATAGTCATGAGGCTATCAATATATTTCAGCTCATCACAGAATGATAGGAAAAGGTTAATGCAGAATATATCTTTAAAAAATATTTTGAAAAAGGTCTTACCACTTAAAATAGAAAACCCTCAGATTTGTAACAGTTTGTCTATAGAGAAGGAAGCTGTTTGATAGTTGAGGTTTTGCTATTATTTAACTTGATTTATCTCCTTGTATCAGTTAGGAATGTATTTGGTTTCAAGTAGGAGAAAATACAGTGCAGTGTTAAACAGTTAGGGGCTTATTTTTGTCATCTCACATGAAACCAGGAGTGGTCAGTTCAGGGCTGGTACAGCTGCTTTCTTTCTGAGACAGCTGTTCTCTTGCTGCATCACCATTCTCCACACTATGGCTTTCATCCTCCAACTTGTTGCCTCGTGATCCCATGATGGCTGCCAAACCTCTAGCCATCTTATCTGTGTTCCAAGCAGGAAGAGAAGAGGAGACCAAAAGACAATTTTCCTGTCAAGCCTTTCCTTATTGTGAGAGAAGCAAAACTGGTCTTGGAACTTCTGCCTGCATTTCATTGGCCAGAAATATGTCACGTGGCCACCCTAGCTGCAAAGGAACCTGGGAAATCAAGGGCCTAGCTTTCCAGTCTTTATAGTAGAAACAGGCTATGAAGGAGGTTATCGGCATGGGTGTTGAGTAAACATCCTCGAGTGTCTGCTATACTTCTCTCCACAACTAGACTGAAAGTTCCTTGAGGGCGCCTCCCCATCCCTTGGCTTGGGGCAGGGCACTGACTCAGTGAAGAGAGGAATGGCCAAGTTTCCTTCAGAAAGGAGAGGGCTCGGCTGGCCCTTGGAGCAGCCATCTCGGTGCTGTATAAGATGCCAGGGGGCTAAATGCTGGGTGGATTGGAGAAGAAAGGGGGTGGGCATCCAGACCCCAAATGGCCAATGCACGGACAGGGTGTGTCTCCAGGGAGGTTTTTTGTTGAGCTGGGGGCCAGGGCAGGAGAGGAGGGAGGGGCATCTGTGGCCTCAGCCAGGATGGGGCCCAGAGCAGGTACTCGGAAGCCCAGTTCCTTCATCCTGAGAAAGGAGACTGAGTGAAAACACAAGGTTTAGTGGAAGGAACAGGAAAGTGCTCCTGAAGTCCAGGTGTGACCTTCACACTGTTGCTGCAGCTGCATTTCAGGAGGTCAGGCTCCTCCTCGGTCACGTGGGCCCACCCACCCAGTGGGCTCGGGAAGGGTCATGGAGGGGGCAGGTTCACGCACCAGGGCAAGACCTTTCCTCAGTGCCCTGCTCAGGGGCAAGGGCAGCTTGGCCAGGTGTGAATGTGTGGGCGGGAACACTGGTCCTAAATCTTGCTCCACTGCCTTCTGAAATTTGGAACTGCGGCTTTTGTTCCTTTCTGGACAACATGTTTTGTGGTTTTCTTTTTCTTTTTTTTCCTGGGTGCTCACAGGATTTTTTTTCTTCATATTTATAATTCTAAACTCTTGACAGAGAATGCTAGGAGTAGGGTCTATGTTGGTTCATTCATTCTCCCCCCAGCCCCCCTCCCTGTCAAAGAGTTCTGCTCTTCTGCTGATTTTTCGGAATGATGTTTTCTTCTTTCCTCCCTTCCCCATCACCCCTCTTGTTATTGTTTGCTGTGTGGGTACTATTTGAAACCCAAATGCCAAGCAGGCTACTTTCAGTGTGATGTTGGCTATTCAGTTAGGGTCCCCATTATGTACATGGGCGAGTTCAGGGCCTGATAGGCAGGTCCCCATCTGTCCCCCCAAAGCCAAGGGGGTGCTCCCCTCAAAGGTTCACTGGCTCTTCTGGAAATTTCATAACAGCCTAGTCCTTTAACTAAGCAGACTGAAATTCTCCCTCGGGGTAAAACATAAAAATAATTTAAGCATTTTGTAGGTCAGTGTACCTGGATTTACTAGATATTTTCCTGAGGGAAAAATTGTAATGAGAAAGGAGGAACAGGGGTTCTAGGTCCCAGACAGAGTGGGTACAAGCTGAATACCAGGAGCTGGGGGAGACTCTGGCTCCTTTCTGACCGTGCCGAGGACAGCCAGCCCTAAGCTCCTGCCACCCTCCATTGGGTCTCCAGGCTGTCCCTTCTTCTCGGTCCACTCTGATTGACCTGCTTGCCCTGAGCTCCCCAGAGAGGCCGATTAAAGGGGCTGTTAAATTGACTGCACTCCCAGGTCTGACGTGTGCCCAGAGAGTGCCCGCGTCCTCCAGGCTGCCGGGCCAGCCTGCACACGACAACCACTCCCTGCTGTCTGTGTTTAAGGCTGTGGTGGGGTAGACCCAAGAGCCAGTGGAATTAAGCCCTGCATAAGTCAACTCCCTCTTCGTCCGTCCAGCCCATCACCCGTGTGTGTTTCTCAGCTCGGGCTGACGGACCTCGGTGAGAGGGACACTCCTCTCCCCCTGCTCTTGGCCCCTGGCCGGGCTGACATCCTCCCTTCCGGAGGCTTTGCTCATGGCTTTGGTCCCCACATCTGGTTAGCCCAACAGTTGCCCTCGACTCAAATGGTCAGTTCAGTTCTAAAACCACTTCAAAATGTCAACCGTCACCAGATGGACCATTATGCTGCTCGTGGGTCCATCCTTGGCCCATCTGCTTCAGGAAAGAGATTAGCTCAGAGCCCCCACAGCTTCTCAGTGGCAGGACTGGTACCTACCCCGGGTCCTTGGGACCCCCAGCCTGGATTCTCTCCCTGCGCCATGTGTTAGAAAGTCCAGAATTGGGTGGCCGACCAGCTGCGTGCTGTGGAGAGTGTCAGTTCAGCCAGCACTGCGGGCTCTGATAGGAAGAGAGACAGAGGCTCGCGGATGGATTACAGGGACCTTTAGAAGCCCAACGGGCCCTCATGTCACCAATTAATACTACACACGTAACAAACATTTACTGAGTGTCTACTGCATTCTGGGCCCCACACTGCCAACTGCAGCTGTTACGTAAACACATCCTGCTTCCAAAAGAGAAACTCCTTAAATTATTGCCCACTTGCTGTAAGGCAGATTACTTCCCATAACCTTATAGTCCAAAGTTTCAGGGAAAGTCCAGCTTCATTGAATGAACAGCCTGTCCTAGGGGGTCCCATGAGAGTTGATCAGCCCAGGTTTCTCAGTTTGAGGATCAGAATTCGGAACCACTGACTTTAAGGCAAAGCAGGATGAGATAAGAGTCTTGAGTTACAAACAGGTGTTGTGGGGGTGAGTCGTGTCTGAATGGAGGTCACAAGAGACTTCAGGGAGGTCCATGGGAGCTGGGCCATGAAGGTGGCTTGCAGGGGCAGGGGTGTCGAATAGACCTGGGCTGGACACAGGGCTCAGGGAACCGAGATGGGATGTTGGGGAGGCGGGCGAGGCCAGTCTTTACTGAACGCAGTAGCCTGAGGTGTGGAAGCAGGCACATGGGTGGGTTTAGGGGAGAGGGAGAAAGTGTAGAGGAAGAAGGGAGAGTATCAGGAATGTCACCAAATGCTGTCACTTACAGATATTTGTATTCGTGGTGTGGTACATATCATGTGACAGTATTTCAGAGTGATGTATCAAACACAGAGCATTTGAGGAAGGGCAGCCTTTTGACAGGGAGGAGGAGAAGATCCCACCTTCCTCTGCTGGCCTCAGTTTACCCCATAGAACATGCTCTCGCTCTTCCACGAGTCCAGGTCTGTTCTGGTAACTCTTGGATGCTGAGATTTATTCAAAGCGGGTTTATAAGTTCCAGAGCCTCCTCCTCCCTTGTTTCCTGCCTCAGAACTCACCTGTCCCTCCAGTAGTGGTTCCTGGGATGTGACTATGGTTGCTTTACTGGAGAACAAACACATCTGCCCTTTAAAGGGAAGGGGGAAAACTCACAGGGCCTTGGGTCTCATTCCATTCCTGCCCCTGCGGCCGATACATGGAGGGTACACTGTGGGTCCCTCAGGTTGTCCGAGCCTCAGCTGCCTGGGCATGTGGCAGGGAGGGACACCCCCACATTGCTCTGTGTGGGGGAGGGGTTCACTCCTTCTGCACAGTGGGCCTCTGCCCCAATCAGGGTGTATAAGTCAAATCGGTGGATGCTATCCCAGTGTCCAGGAGGGAGAGCTGACGTTCCACATCAACTGAAAACTTACTGACTCCAACACCAGCACCACACGTTGGAGACGTGTTTACTCTGTTGAGAGGACGTGAAGGTCCTGAGGCCCCAGGTCTGTTCAACTGTATCTGTGAACCTTCTGGAAAGAAGTGACCCCTGCTTAGCAGCTCCATCTTTTGTTCCTCTTGTTCAGGGGTAGTTTGTCCTTCTTGGCTTTTTGTGTCCAGTGGTCTTCCCCTGTGACCACAGTGGGCTTCACTGTGGCCAGGTCCCTCCCCTGCTGCCATCTCACCTGGAGGAGCTCATGACCCCTAGGGTCCCTCTCGCCTCGTGGAAGGCCAGCGCTGTCCATGGGTTGGTCTGCTGCCTGCAGGGAGAATATTCCTCTGGGAGAAAATAGCTCTCACTTTTCTATTAGATCATTGCTTCTGTCTGTCTGCCTGTCTGTCTGTCTAACACACACCCACACACTCTCCAGGTGTGCACTTCTATCATCCACGGTGAAGGGTGCTTCTGCCTCTCCTGACTTATTTTCCAATTGTCTCTGCCCTAACGACAGAATCCACAAAACAGTGGTCTGGTATGTGCGTTCTGTTAGCAAAAACATGTCTTGAATTCTGAAAAGGAACTCCATGAAAACCCAGAGGTGTCTGGGCAGTTTGGGAGCAGGAGTGGGAAAGCAGCTCACTCCTCCCTGGAAGGGCCCTTGGCAGTGCTCCTTTAAGCCACAGGGCTCACGGCTCCACCAGGACCCATGTCAGCGAGGTCAGGGTACCCTCGGGAGAACCCTCTGCCCCCTCCACCCCTGCAGTCTCTACACCCAGTGCCTGGGTCTGTTCCCTCCTTGTTTCACTTCTCTGCTCCTTCCCCCTGTACCCATTGCCATTTGCTTCTATATTTGTTCCAAAATGTTCTACCCTCCAGGAGCCAGCTCCCTCCAGCCTCATCGTGCAGACTTTGGCACCAAGAGAGGTCCCCATAATTGTCCCCACATTCCAATATGCATCTGGAAAATGTTTAGAGCTCTTCATGGATGTCCATACTTTCTGTCCCAGAATTTCAGATGTGTTCTCGGCCTTTGTTGTTTTTTTTAAGTACTTTAGAAAGTCTAATTTTAGAATCTCGGTTGTTTTTAAATATTCATTCAAATATTGTCTCTTTCCTTTGTGGTTCAGCTACACAAGCTAGTTTTGTCCTATAGAGGCATCTAAGGGCGCGCATTTCTCAGATTAGTGAAACACCTCAAGTCAGGAACTTCCTTCAGGCGCCAGCCCAGTAGAAGGCCCTTTATGATGGCGTCTCTGTGAGCTGTGAGGGTGGCTGTCTTGCTCTTCAACCCGTGATTGGCACACACTAGTCTGTGAACATTTAGAGACACATATAGAGTCTCTATATCTAGGTTTATTAGTAGGCTGGACAACTCACCCGATAAGCTAAGTCCTGTCTTTCTTTATCTCGCTTTTCCAACTCTGTGAGAGACCCTGAGGGGCCTTAGGAAGCAGGCTGAAACCTGGCTCAGGCTCCTGTTGGTGACTCCCCACTGCCCCCCACCCCTGGGAGAGAAAAGCCATGAAAACATGCCAGCTGATGAGTTGAGAGAGGCTGGACTTCCATGGCAGAACCCCTCTGGGCAGTACCAGAAACATTAATCAAATCCACAGGCTCTGAAGGGTGACTCATACCAACCAAACTTGCAAGAAGCTAATTATAAACTAAGGCCTGAATGCTGACCTATCTGGGACGGCTGGTTCCAGTCACTGGCGCGGGCCACTGGCTCTTCTCTGGAGGGCGGTGTCCTCAGAAGCCCCAAAGGGTCCTTTGATGAACTCTGGATTAAAACAAGGACAGATGCCCTCAGGCAGCCCAGTGTGTGCCCTGTTTCCACACTGCAGACACTTGGATCTTAGGAAGTGAGTTTCCATTGAAAATCAGAGCCCCTGCGAACCAAAATGTCACTTGTTCAATTCCCAGTCAGGGCTCATGCCTGGGTCACGGGCCAGGTCCCCAGTAGGGGGCACATGAGAGGCAACCACACATTGGTGTTTCTCTTCCTCTCTCCCACCCTCCCCCTCTGTCTGGAAAGAAATAAATAAAATCTTGGGAAAAAAAGAGAAAAGAAAACCAGAGCCCTACCCTTTCTCTCCGGCAATCCTGGGAACACCCAGGAAGACATTTTGACTTTCCAACTCCTTTCTGTCACCAGATCTTCTGCCTGTACAATGCTATGACTGAAGACACATTCTGGCTACTGACAATGCTGTGGATGTGAGACTGAGTTTTCAGCTGGGTCTTGCCAAGACATTTTGGGAAGGTCCATCAGCTCCTTAGTAATTTCTGTAAGACACATGACCTTAACCTCATCTAACCTGCTCACATGTGAGCTTGCCGAGGGAAGCTTCCTAGGTGGCCAATTCCATTGGCTTCACTGTGCGTGGCTGACACTTTCTGACCTGATCACCAGCTCCTGGGACTCTGGATGCCTGGTTTGAGGCTTGCAGTTCCCTTTGCGTAGACTCTGCTTCTGACCAAGGTTGGCACCCCCAACGTTCCTCAGGTAAGGAAGAGGATGGCCTTGCTGTCTGCAAATCCAGGTTTCGAGTTCTCACACCCTGGCTCCCAGGGCGCATCCTGCCAAGTGTCTTACATTCAGTGTCTAAAAATGATCTGCATCAGAGGAGGGAACAGTGGGCATGCAATTCAAGTAGGGGACAATTGACAGGCCTCTCTATGTGACTCTCAATATTTTGCAAGGTTTTCTGGGCAATAGGTGCATCCTTGGGATGTTTTCCCGGGCCCCTAGGAAGCTGAGAGAGTGTATTCTTACAGTACACTCCAGGGTTGGAGGATTTGGGTGGACCATCAGGTGCATCCTAAGCACAACTAACATTCTTTTCCTCTTGTTTTAGATTGCCATTGAAGATGTTGGCAACAAAAGAAAATACGACTTTCCTCTTAACCGCTGGCTGGCCTTGGATGAAGATGATGGCAAAATCCAAAGAGATATCCTAGTGGGTGGAGCAGAGACCACAGGTAGAACCAAAGAAAGAGGAGGCCCCTTTGGCTAATAGTTCACCTTCTGTCTGATGCTCAGTGTTCTCATCTGTGGGCCTGGAGGCCTACAATCAAGTGGGAGCCAGCTGTGTCTCCAGGAAATGTGTCCCCAACCCCCATTCTTGAAGGTGTTCTGTCTCTCTGAGCTGCAGTCAGGGGCTCTGCTGATGTCAGAGGAGATGGGAAGATGCCTTTGAGCAGACACTAACTGCCTAGGGCATAAAGAGTCATCCATGGGGTGAAGCCAGAACTCCTGAAACATGTGGGCATTTATGAGGACATTGTTTTACTCTTCACTCCTAATATTGGGTGCTTACTCTGTGCCAACCCTCTGCCAGGCACCTGACCCACTTCATCTCCTCCAGTCCTCACAGTGACCCTCTAATATAGGAACTGTGACTGTTTCCACTGCACAGGTGAGGAAACTGAGTCACACAGAAGTTGAAAGACCTGCCCGAGGTCTCAAGCAGGTAACTGACAGGTCCAAGATTAGGTCTGCCTCCTGCATTTCTACACTGTGAGAATTCCATGAAAAACCTGCAGCTCCCAGCATGGAAGATTATGGAAGTTCCAGAAAGCTGATGTTAATGCATGCATGTCTGAGAGTGTGCTGTATTGCAGAACCGCCCATGGCTCCCTCTGCATAGAGAAAATGTCCGGGTCCTGGGCAGTAGTATACAAGTTGTTCCCTAGTTTGGCTCCAGCTCACCACATCAGCGGGATCTTTCAACACCTTTTCCCACCACTTCCAAACACCCCCCACCTCCCTCCACCTCACTGCACAATTTTCTCTCTTTCCTGTGCCTATACCCCTTCCTCATCTGTCCACCTCATCCACAGGCCTTCTTTCTCTCTTCCCTTATCTGCTTGTTCATTCCTTTTTTCTATCTGGGAACCTGCCTTCTTCTCAGCCTGTAATGCCATTTCTCTTCTTTGTGTTCCCCAAATTGCCACTTCCAGTCACTTCCTTGGAACCCTCCCTTCCTCCTCTAGACAGGACAAGTCCTCCCCTTGGTTGTTGCAGACATTTTGAGCAGGTCCCAGTTGCTTTCGTTCAGGACGCCCAGAGCTCCTCTGCTCCAGCCCTGTGGCACCTTGGCCTGGCCTGACCTTTGTAAGGTGTGGCTCATGTCATTTGGAACTAGAGTTAGCAAATTATGTACTTAAAACCATATACTAGAATGGATTTCACTTAACCCCTTTAACCATGATACCATGAGTTGCCTGGAGTGGTAGAGGAAGGGCAGGAAGGGCAGTCAGATGCCAGGAACAGCTGGTAACCCTGGCCACCCTGAGCATGTGTGGTGTGAGAACACCATCCATCCAGGTGCTTTGAAGAATAAAGCTGGAGACCGACTGTTTTAGGGCAGTGGCCATTCCTTTTTATCTTCACATTCTCCCCATGCCTGGCTGAAAATAAGCACTCAGTAAATGCTTGTGGAACAAAGGAAGGTGTAAATGTCTGAATGGATAATGCAACTGGGTGGTTGCATGTGCTAGCTCCTAAAGAAGTTTGGGAAGTTTATTTCCCTGGGGTCAAGGAGTGAGGGGGCTGTGGTAGGGTCAGGAGTAGGCAGGGGGCATTAGTAAGGACTAATGAGTCATTGCCTTAGACTCCAGGGCAGAATGAATGAATGGGGCCAGACCTCAGCAGAGTTTCCTCTCCGACTGTCTGTTTCAGTGTTTTCTCTTACTCAGTCCCACTCAGAGTTTCATCTTCCCTTGCTGGCTCTTCCCTGGGACTCCATGACCTCACATTGCATCCCAACTGACCAAAACCCCAACTGATCTCCTCCTCCCTCAATCTTCCCTCATCCCTCCAATCATCAAGTGAAGGAGGACATTAGTGCCCTTCATTAGAAGTTATCTTTTGAAGTTATGAGCAAAAGAGCAAACTGAATCAGATAACCCTGACTATAAATCTCTATTAATGGAGTTGACTATTACAATTAAATTAGACATAACAAGAATTCATCCGGCAGCTATTAATAATATACGCATGGTAATTAACATTAATAAGAACTATTCTTGGCTAACCCAAGTTCCTCCTCCTCCTTGCTAGTTTCCTGTGATCAGGGCTGGCAGCTTCCTATAATAATACCTGCCGTTTATTCCTAGACACAGGAACACTGACACATACACTCTGATAAAAAAGATAAAGGGAGGTTGAGAGGGGCACTGGTTGTCATCTGGGATACTGGGACAAAGGGACTGAGGGCATATGGAAGAGGGAGACCTAGGGAGGTGGTGGCCAGGCAGGGGGAAAGCGAGCGCGATATTGTAACCTGCTGGCACTAAACCCTCTCTTGTTTCCACACCAGCTATCTCATACATTGTCACCGTCTTCACTGGGGATATCCCAGGGGCTGGGACCAAATCCAAAATCTACTTGGTCATGTACGGGGCCCGAGGGAATAAGAACAGTGGGAAAATCTTCCTGGAGGGTGGTGCATTTGACCAAGATCGAACGGACATCTTCCACATCGAGCTGGCCCTGCTCCTCAGCCCCCTGAGTCGGGTCTCCATTGGGCACAGCAACGTTGGCTCCAACAGAGGCTGGTACTGTGAGAAGGTAAGGCATGCTCCTGGGAGCACCCTTCCCTGAGTCTACCCCTCTCTTCTTTAATTTGCAAATACAAGCTCTAACTTGAATCCTGCTTCCTTTGGACCAGTAGCAGAGCACACGGGTGATCCCTTTCATTGGGCATTTTGGATGGTAACATGTCCATCTTGTCTTGCTGATGGTCAGGAAGGGAGGCTGTTCCGTACATGCATCTGAGGGCCAGACACAGGGTAGGGGATCCAGATGTGCCCAGTCGGTGGTCATAGACTATTCTGATTCCTGGTGTGATGCTTTGCTTCAGTTTATAAATCTCTCAATCAACAAGTATTTTTTTAAACAATTCTTTTCTTTAAAAAAGATTTTATTTCTTTATTTTTAGAGAGAGGGGAAGGGAAGGAGAAAGAGAAGGAGAGAAACATTGATGTGCAAGAGACATAGCTATTGGTTGCCTCCCGCATGCCCCTGACTGGAAATCTGGCCCACCACCCAGACAGGTGTCCTGATTGGGAATCAAACCGGTGGTCACCAGTTTGCAGGCCAGCACTCAATCTGCTGAGCCACACCAGCCAGGGCTCAACAAGTACTTTAAATATATGTTTGTATTGTGGGATACTTATGCTTTAAAGAATATCCATAACAAAAGATATAGAGAATTATTTTAAAAAAACCCAAAAGTCAATTCTGTCTACTGCCAACTTAAGAAACAGTATTCCTAAATCTCTTGAAACTCCTTGGCAGCTTTTCCCAATCATAATAATGCTCTCTCCCTGCCAAAAGCATTATGAATTTATGTAAGTGTATATCAGTGGAAGATTTTGTAGTGTTTCAGGAGCTTTCCTTTAAACACCTGTAATGTGAGTGGCCTGGGCTGGATAGACTTCCCTGTTCTAAACCCAGGAGCCTGGAACACAGGTTGAGATGGAGAGGGTGTAGGAGAGAAGGGTGCATGAGGCTCATGTCTAGAAAAAGGCAGGTAGTTTTTGTATTCAATTCCAGATATTAATTACCTTTCACGTGACTGATCTTTTTTTTCACATGACAAATAAAGGGTTAATCTAATATTTAGGTAGTTCGGTTCAGACCGAGATCTTAGATGTACCTAAAGAAATAGGGTGTTTGAAGGGGTCATTGTGTATAGAGGAAAAGGTTGGAGATTTGGGCTGCAAACTGGGGGATGGATGACACCTGTTTGGGAAGGCTTCTCAGAGGAGGTATTTCTTGATCTAAAATTTAATGACAGGCAATGGGAAGAGTATGCTGTTCCTTGAGGGTCCTAATGCAGATGACCCTTAACACGGCGCTGAGGAGGCTGCTGAGCATGGCCAGGAGGTGCCGTCCAGGGGACCTGCTGCCACAGACTTGTGGTCTGCTCCCCGCAGGTGGTGATTCTGTGCCCTTTCACCGGCATCCAGCAGACCTTCCCTTGCAGCAACTGGCTGGATGAGAAGAAGATGGATGGGCTGATCGAGAGGCAGCTCTACGAGATGGTGTCTCTCAGGAAGAAGAGGGTGAAAAGTAGGTGAAGGGGGCCCAGAGCTTGGTGGTCTCCCAGACAGGGCCAGGAAAAGCACAGGATGTTAGACCCCTGGGCAAGAGCTTCAAAGGGGCCCACTTCTGCTTCTTAATTCTCTGGAAAGGAAGAGAAAGGGACCTCTAGGGAGCTTAGTTCTCCAAGGTCTAGGTCACACACCTAGCCCCAGGGCTGATACTCTAGTTCCTCAAGTTGAATAAGCTGCCACAATGGGCTCGATGTTCCACTGAATGGCTGAAGACAGCGCATCCTGAATGCACCAGACAGAGGGTGGGTGGAGTCAACTCTTCTCCCTGTGTAAAACACACTAACATGCCATCTCTAGTAAAAGGAACACTGAGCACCCTCTCAAATAGCAGGGGATCCTTGGCTTCCTAACACTGGAACTTGTTCTAAAGGGTTTCTGAGAGTGGGACCCACCTGTGCTTCAGTCCTGATCACCTTTGATTTGCTCCTCTTCCTCACTGGTACCATGAACATCTCCTTACTTATTAAAGTTTTTGGTGCAACTTGACCTGTCTCTGCAGAAATTGCTTGGTCCCTGTGGGTCTGGACGACTGACTTGAGAAAAGCTGGTACCAACACTCCCATCTACATCCAGATTTATGGGCGGAAGGGGCGGACAGATGAGATTCTTCTGAACCCCAACAACAAGTGGTTAAGACCGGGCATAATCGAGAAGTTTAGGGTAGGACAGAAGTGTGCCAGGGTGGGAGGGAGGAGGGGGGCAGGGGCGGAATTGGTATTTGTCATGGGATTCTAGGTTTTCCGAGCCAGGGTAGATGAAGCTTGAAGATAAGAAGGCACAATGGAGACTTTAGGTCCCTATGAGGAGTGGCAAATTTGATCTACAGATGTACCACATGGGATGTGGTTTAGCTCTGGCCCTGCCTCTGAATCAGATAGTCCAGAACCATGCCTGGGGGAAGACACAAGTATGGAATGATTGTGAGCATCCGGGAGCCTAGCCACGGGGAGAACCGCTGTAGCCCAGAGATCCTGAACTCGGTGTCAAATTGCCTGATCTGGACTGAATGAGACAGTGAGGAGCAGATTTAAGGGAAAGTACAAATTTCAGAAACTTTCAAAAGAAATTCAGCTTTAAATTTCCATTATCTATATAACTAGAGCAAGGCTTATTTTGCCAACAGAAGTGTGGGTCTGACCTTTAAGTAAGAATAATTTGTAATTTGCCACTTGCTTCTCAGAGCACCCCACCGGTGCCTTTATTATACCACTCCATTCACTGCTCTTTCTGTATTTGTCTTCCTGGCTAGACTGCAAGCCCCTGGGGAAAGGGTACGGCTGCTGTATTGATCTTCTTGTCTGTTTCAATGTCCAGCAGTGCTCTGGGGCTGTGGGCTTGTGCTAATTTGCAGGGCTGTGTATGAATTTTGTTACTGGAAGTTTATTGCTTGGAAGATTTTCTTTAGTCTGGATCCTACTGTGGGTCAGTTATTTTTGTTCAGTATCACCAGCTCAGGCTGAACCCTAGCTCCACATAGCTCTCGCCTTCACGTGCCACTGGGCACTAGGGCATGAGAGGAGGCAGGATATGAGGGTGTCTGAAACCCATTCTCATGGCTCGAGAAACAGCCCAAAGTGGGTGCCCCCCTGCCAGAGGGTCAGCTATGGAGATAAACACATTTCACTTAGTTATGCTCACTCAAACCTTGTTATTTCTCACCATAGCTTGAGCTCCCGGATCTTGGCAGGTTTTATAAGGTTCGTGCATGGCATGACAGAATGTCTCCTGGCTCCGGATGGCATTTAGAAAAGGTGAGACACACCATCTTGGGGATGGGGAGGGGGTAGGGAGAAGAGCCAGAATTATCCCTTTATTGTTTTTTAATTTGAATTTAATTTGAATTTAGTTTTATTTTTCAATTAATTGATTAATTAATTAATTTAAACAATATTTCAGAATGATCCCTTTCTAATGAACCTGTCACATAAGTTTGCTTTTTATCTGTTTGGAGTGAGGATGGGAAAGGGTTATGGTGAGACGTGAATCTGCACATGGGACACAGGGACTTCCTTATGGGGAAGGACTTCCAAAGTAGGCTAAGGAAGTGCTCAGGTGTTTAGTCTTGACTTATATTCTCCTCCAGCACCTGATTGCTAGGCAAATGTGGGTCTCAGGAGACCGGAAGGATGAATGTTAATCTGGCACTCTACCTTCCACAAGAGTCGTCCCTAGGGAATGGCCTTGGCCTCCTTGGAGATTAGAGAGTGGAATGAGGACCACAGGGAATGGATGAATATCTTTGGTACACCAACCTACTCACCCCAGGACTTCTTTCCAGATGACCTTGATGAACACTCTGACCAAGGACAAATATAACTTCATCTGCAACCGCTGGCTCGATGCCAACGAGGATGACAATGAGATCGTGAGGGAGATGGCTGCAGAGGGCCCCGCCGTGCGGAGGATAATGGACAGTAAGTGCTTGCCTGCTCTCCATCCCAGGGCAGGCAGTGGAACGTCTTCTTGGTGTGTCAGTGGGGGTCTGACCAATGAGCTGTCTTGTCCGCTGTGCACCATCAGGCTCCCTGTGAATGCCAGGGTGGGTTCAGAGGCCCAGCCTCAAGACCATCTTGAAGGAGCCATTTCCAAGGCATGATGCCAGAGTTCTGTGCTGGTGGGTATGGAAGGGGGGTATGGAAGGGGGATGGCAGGGAGATTCAAGGGCCTTCAGGCTGGTTAGAAGGGGAGGAGAAGAATCTGCACTGAACAGTATTTCTCGAGAGTATCCCTGAAAATAAAGAAAACATCCTCTTCAAATTATCTGTGAGATGCTCCCCAAAATGGAAGGCCGGATCTAGTAGCCAAGCTTAACAGCTGCTGATGGATCCTCTATTTCTAGTTAAGGTTAGTAGGAGAGGGACGAAGGTTTCAATCTGGAGTCCAGTGTCCACATTCAGAGGGGTAATGGGAGATCGATCGTTTTACCTCTAGGTTATAGTAGCAGAGTGTTGGCAAATGCACAGCACACGTCTTGTCCTTTTCCTTGGTAGGCATCACCGAGCGCTCACAGATTCTCTGCCACTGAGTCTGAAATGAGCCTCACAGCCCTCAAACAGTCCTCCAAACAGACATTAGCAATTGATCAGAATTGGCACTTAATAAATTCACCTATTTGTTTTCCTTATGGTAGTCCTTAATTCATTTAGTAGTAAAGAAATATTGCAAACATATAAAGAGTTAAGAATATAGACAACAATGTCTCTCATAGTTCCAGTAGCCCTTATAAATAATTTTACAGTGTTACTCCTCGGGCATTTACATATTAGTAGAAGCACTGTATATACTTATTGAGATGGCTTGAACAGAGTTGAATACACGAAAACAAAGAAACCCCGAGTAGCACATATCTAAAAGAGATCAGCCAGTCTGTTCATCTAATTAGGCAATGTTCGCAGTTAGCACTCTTTTATGGGTCTTCTTCATTTTCTTTTTAGTTTTATTTGCTTATTTTTTAATAGGGAGGGGAAGACAGAGAGAAAGAGAGGGAGAGAAACATCAATGTATGGTTGCTTCTCATGCACCTCTAACTGGGGGCCTGGCCCACAACCCAGGCATGTGCCCTGACTGGGAATCCAACCAGTGACCCTTTGGTTCGCAGACACACACTCAATTCACTGAGCCACACCAGCCAGGGCAGTCTTCTTCATTTATTTGGCTATAGAATATTTGTGTTCAGGAGCCCTTACAATAGCCTGGATCAGATAAGGAAACTGAAGTCATTGCCCTGCTTCTTGGTTAGTTAGAGACAGAGTTAGAGAATAAGGTCTCTCGCCTCCTGGGTCAGTGACTATACTCTGCCTTTTCACATTCAGCAGTATGTTCTTGGAAATAAAGCAATTCTCTCTGTGAATAGCACTACTTTGCCCCAGATTGGGACATAATATAATTCATAGCCCACCAAATCAAAAACATATCTGCTCTTACCTGATCTGTCTCCTTTGTGTGCCAGAATTGAGCCCACAGACACAAACAATTGGGTGGGTGGGGGGGCTTGGGACCTAACTGCTTTCTAAACACTTCTAACCAGTTCCCATAACTGTAGCCCCTCGGTCTCCATTGCCGGTTGCGTGGTGCTGTCATTCCCGAGCCTTTCTGTGGGACTGCTTCTCAGAATTCATAGCCGACAGCTCTGATCAATCCTCTCTGGTCTGTTGAGTCAGAGGTCCCCAAACTTCAGCGTGCGTTATCACCAGAGTGCTTGTTAAGCCCCCCACGGCTGGGCCCCACAGGCAGGGCATCTGAGTCAGTGGGTCTGGGTGGGACCCAGGAATTTGTCCATCTCACGAACTCCCAGGTGACACTGCTGCTGCTGGGAGAAACCACTGTGCTAAGTGGCATGAATCACTTTTCCAGCCATGCTCCAGCTTCCAAAGTTTCGTTGCTGTCATCTGCGCTCGTCCCTCTCCCCTAGCCTTGTTGGTAAAACCTCTTTTTTTTTTGGTTTGGTGAACACTTTTAAAGAATCTGTATGTCGTCATTTTAGTGAACTTTTTTTTTTTTCTTTAAAGAAATCTGCCATTTTGATTTCAAATGACGAGCATGTTCTTGACTTTTACTTTCTCCATACCTTTACCAAAGGGTAACTCTGCTGGCCCCCAAACCCTGTTTCCCCTCTGCACGCAGAGGGAGGCGGAAGACTTGGACAGACACGCACGGGCTCAGTTTCTTCCCGCCGCGCCTGCCCCGCTGGAGTCCCGTGAGGCAGTAAAATCAGTGAGCTCAGCATGCTCCGTGCATGCCTGGCAGAAGTGGTCACGGAGCACTGATGAGTGGGCAAGAGACCGTTGAGTCCGACAGTCATAACTTCTTGTTAATCAAGCTGAGCTGTAATTATTAAATTAAAATACAGGGTCTCTGGTACTTACCCATTTGAAGCCTCTGTTCAAAGCCTCTTTCTGCTAATGGCTAGCAATGTAATTCTTTCCGATTGTCCTCAGACTTCTCGCCAAGAAAGAGCTTGGGACCTCAGTGGCTGGTGGGCTGGGAGGGACCCACAGAGAGGATCGGGACCCCTGAGAACTGCCAACCAAGTAAACCCCCGAGCTCCTGAATGAAGAGGGCTGGAATTCCCAGGTGAAGGGGTTTCTAAATTCCCTCATCAGTTTGCTTTTGGGAATTGCCTAAAAGCTCCGTGTAAAAAGGCAAAACTGACTTTTCATCCAAAGTAAGACAGAGGCAAGACTGGTGTCCTCCTTTCCCTTCCGTGTTTCCATGTTTCACTCCAGTTACTACTATTCGTTCCTCTTTCGGTCACTGGCTTTACTTCTGACAAGTGCTTTTGCTCCAGATGCTGTATCTACGCAGACCCACATGTTTGATTGTGAACTTTCTTTTCAGCTGTCTTTGTATCTCCAAATACATATGTGTATATTACTGAAAAAAAAAATCATTTGTTCATTGAGTCAAACTTTCAGATAATTTGTCTCATTCCAGACATACTTTATCTTCATTTTCAATGGACTACCAAAGAATAGTGTCTGTTTTTTAAAACTGCAGTTGCCCTGGCTGGTGTGGCTCAGTTGAGTGGGTGTTGTCCTGCAAAGTGAACGGTTGCAGGTTCAATTCCCAATCAGGGTGCAAGCCTGGGTTGTGGGTTCGGTCCCCACTTGGGTGCCTACAAAAGGCAGCCCGTCGATATTTCTTTCTCACAGGGCTGTTTCTCTCCCTCTCCTTCTCCCTCTCTTCCCCTCTCTCCTCTCATCCCCCTGTCTCTCTCCAGCAAAGAAAAAAATGTTTTCTGGTGAGGATTAAAAGTAAATAAGCTACAGCTCTGCTGAGGTGTAATGTATGCACAATGCAATGAACCCATTTAAGTGTGTAGTTCTGTGGCTTTCAGTATATTGGTAGAATCACACATGTACACGTATGTGTGTGTGTGGACACGTGTTTCCAGTTCTCTTGGATATACACCTGCCAGTGGATTACTGGCTCTATGGCAGCTTGATTTAACTTTTTGCCCAGGACAAAAACCTAGGAGCCATCCCCGATTCCTCTCTTTCCCTCAAACACCTATCTAGTCCATCACCAAGTACTGTTATTCTACCTCAAAAATGCATCTCTAATCTATTGACTTATCTCCATCTTCGCCCTTATCCCTAGTCCTAGGCACTCTCCTCTCTTTTCTGGACCACTGTGATTATTCCACTGGCTGGCCTCTCTGACTCAGTCCTTCCCCTGCGATCAACTTTCCACATGGCAGCCAGATGCTCTTTAAAACATAGATCAGATCGAGTTACTGCCTGGCTTAAATCCCACTAGTGGCTTCCTGTTGCATTAAATACATACATACATACACACATATATACATGAAATAACAAACCAAGGAAGCCCCACTCCTCACCTCGGCCTGTCACACAGGACGTGTGTGGCCCCCGTCCACCTCTGGGCCTCACCTCATCCCACTCTCCCTCCCTCCACTCTGGCCGCACCGGCCTTTCCTCTGCTCCTGGACACACGCTGCTCGTCCAGCATTGGGGCTTTGCACTCACTAGCGCTGTCTTCTCTCAGAGCTCCCTGTGGCTGACTCGTCTCGTTGCCATTTAAACATTAGAGCTCAAACGCTACTTCCCTGCACCAGGCTTTTCTGCACCTCTGAATCACCTTTGCTTCCGCCCCCACTTCCATTGTGCTTTGCAGGGTCACTCTGTTGTGTGGTCTTTGTTACCGATGGAACTCAGAGATTTCCCTGTTCATAATTGTTTATGACTGCACTGTCCATCTCTCCTCCCCACTCTCCCACTCTCATGTAAGCTCCATGGGAGCAGGAGTCTGTCTACCTCACCACTGAAGTCTTGTACTTATTATGGTTCCTCATGTCTACTAGGCTGCAGTAAACAGATACGGGGCAAAAGAATGAATGAGTGAATGAATGAACGAATGAATACATTTCACTTTCCAGCTTATTTTAAGTGAAAAGTGAGGCTGTGGTGTGCAAAGACGCAGGTCTGCCTCCTTCGCGGTGCGTTCTTCGACACAGGAAGGAACTGCTGCCCGTCCCATATGCAGCTGCGTCTTGTGCCCTGTGCTCTGCTTGGCTTCCTGGCACGTCCTTAGCACTGGAGCATTCCAGAGAGACGGAGTGGCTCAGTTCTGGTTCACAAAGTAAAGTTATCTTTCTTGGGAAGATGAGACACAGATGAATGGAAGAAAAACCTAAGGCAAAGAGGTCTACTTGGTTGGATGGAATCAAATGCCAAAATGTTTGAATTAGACCCGTGACCCCCAAACGCTGATATCTCCAATCCCCTGGGGGAGCTTGTACACTAACAATACACCTTTAGGGGTCCCACCAATGGAAACTAAGACTTAGGAGGTCTGGAGTGGAGCTCAAGGACCTGAATTTGCATGTTTCCCAGGGGATTTTGATGACCGACTGGAATTTGGAATCTCTGGTCTGTCTGGGAGAAGGGATTTGCAGGTTTGCAGGGATTTGCAATGGTAGGAGATGGGATTTGGACAGCTGGGGAAGGAGCAAGGTCAGCCCACATGAGAGCTACGGGAAGAGGGGGAGGCCATGCTTAGAGGTCGGGAACAGGGGGCTGTCAGCCAGTGGTGTCCCTCTCTCTGCCTGCCAGTGGCCCGGTACCGTGTGACTGTGTGCACAGGGGAGCTCCAAAATGCAGGAACAGATGCCAACGTCTATCTCTGTCTTTATGGTGACGTGGGGGACACGGGAGAGCGGCTGCTATTCAACTGCAGGAATAACGTCGACATGTTTTTGAAAGGCAATGTAAGTTGCAGCAATGAGCCACTGCCCCACCTCCACCCCACCCCAGCCCATGCCCACTCCCTGCTCTTCCCTGTTCTTCTGAGCCATCAAAGAGGCTTGCTCTGGGTGAGTGGAACGGGAGTTAACCTGCCTGACACCTCTGGGCTACTACTTCTGTCCAGCTGTTAGTTGGAGAGCCACCCTGGAGGGGTCTTGGTCCCCTCTCCCCCGCTGAGCTTTGAGAAGGGGGCAGTAGAGCAGGAGGACACTGGAAGGTGGGAAGAACTCCTGGCTTCCCTCATGGGTGGGCAGGCAGGGAAGGAGGCCAGGCACGTCACCCGTGGGCTGGAGGACACAGGCTGGGGCAGAGCTGTGGCCTCTGTGGGCCAGCATGGGAACTTTGCCTCCTCCACTAAGTGTGACCCCCGGGGGCACCTTTTTCATTTCCTTTTTGCAAAAGAAACTAAAGGAAAGGCACTAAATACGGGGTACAAGAATTGGATTTGGCTCCTAGCCTCTTTAGAAATGTACTGGCCATTCCCCTCTGTTTTCTTAGCCTTCAAATGAATTTCCTGGGAGGCTGTGTGAGGCAACGGGGGGGGGGGGGGCTAACCCAGCCCACGGCCAATCATTCCATTGCCCTGAGCCTCAGTTTCCTCATTTCTAAAATGTGGGGAGGGATGCCTGCCTGGTGCTGGCTGTTATGGGGATTAGGCATGGCAGATGCACTGGCCTGCCAGCACACCTGGCCCAGTGCACACAGTAGGTACACAGTAAAGAGTCGTTGCAATAATATGAGGCTTAAGGCTGCTTGCCAGGGGCAGGGAATTTGCAGACTGTTGTCACATAAGCCTTTGTCCCTCCTTCCTCTCCTGTGAAGCACAAGGCAGGCTTGGAATGTGGGTGGAGGTCTCCCTCCACCTTTTTCTATTCTTTCCCCGTTGTGTGTGCTGACTCCTTCATCCATTAGTCCCACCCTCCGTGTTCCTCTCCCGAGGCCCCCAGTGTGCTCCTGCAGACTTGGCACCTCTCTCTCCCCTTCTGCCTCCTTGCTGCTGCCTTGTTGGGAGGCAAAACTTGTGACATTCAAAAGACCACTGGTTCCTCCTCCCCAGTCAGTTCTGATCATTCCCCTCCTCAAAGGGATTGGTATCCTCCTACAGCAGGGAGCCTGAGGCGATTAGGCAAGGAGTTAATTCATGGTAAATGTTAGTGCCTTCTAGTACCTTGGATTCCTTTTAGGGGACCTTAGGGAATGCTTTTCCAAGTTTAATTGTTGGGAAAGAAGGGAGATGACTTCTGGGCCTGGGTGTTCCCTTGGTGTTCGAGTCCCGGGGGAGCCACTGTCCAACTGGCCTTGCTGTCCTGCCCCTTTGAAGGCCGACGAGTTCACCATCGAGTCCGTCACCATGCGGAAGGTGAGGCGGGTGCGAATCAGACACGACGGCCTAGGTGGGAGCAGCGGCTGGTTCCTGGACCGGGTGCTGGTGAGAGAGGAGGGGCAGCCCGAGAGTGACAACGTGGAGTACCCATGTCTCAGGTACGCGAGTCCTGCCTGCCGTTAATTTTCCCCCTGCTTAGGTCGAGGGCCCTACTTTTGGGAACACCCAGCCCTACGACCAGGGCCAGGGAGCAGGACAGCAGCGTGAGGATGTAGTTGGTGCAAAAGAGAGGGGGCCCTGCTGGTGGGACTTAAACCCAGCCCCACGCCACAGGTGATGGCACCCCAGGGTCCTTCCGTGGTGCTGCCGTGTGCATTTAAGCTCCAGAATGTCAGCACTTTTTCATGATAGAACGTGGCAATTTCAGAATGGAACTGAGAGTTACCTCGGAGAGTTAGTTTCGTGCTAAATCAAACTTTTGAATTAAAACTGTTTGTTTCTTAATTTGGATAGCCTTCCAACCATATCGCTTCCCTGCTAATATCTTTCAGGATACCCTACTTTGTTTTCATTTCCTTTCCCCAACTTCCTAGTGAGGTAAAGTTTCTTTTCTCTCCTTTTTCTCTCAAGTATTTGGATTCTTTTCATAGCCAGTTTGGGCTCTCACTGACTTCAAAAAGTTCCTGATAGAGACATTTTAAAAACACGGAGCAATGTTCATGTTCACGCGTGTGCACGTGCTCTCAGGCGGGCCACCCACTCCCATCTGGGAGGTGTACGCAGTGTGCTTAATTTGAGACTTAGGGCCATAGGTCCCCGCACGTCCCGGATCCAGGCCAAGCCCCGCACGTGTGAACAGGGTGCTGTGGGTCCAAGCTGACTCTCGAGCACTGGCCCAGGTGTCCCATGGTGGCTGCGCTGAGACGGCCCTGCTTGCAGTGGATGGGAGCAGGCCGCCCACCAGCCCAGCTGCGAACTCATTACTCTCTCTCCACCCCCACACACATGGACGCAGGTGTACATGCAGACACACATTTGCTGCAGCTGAATTGCTAATCACCCCGTGAGCCCGGGAAGAGCAGTTTTCCCCGGAGGGCTACTGGGATGATCCCATGTGAAAGTTCGGCATCTATCAGAAAGGTCTCTAGAATCTTCAAAGTGTAGCCACTGTTAGTTTTACAAGGGATTCCGTTAAAAAGATAAGCAGTGATACAGGCAGTTCCAAGTAAGTGGAACAAATAGAAAGAGGCTGAGAGTGAGGTTTGGGGAGATCAGGGAAGGCTTCCAGGAAGAGGCAGATCTGAAATCTGGGGCCTGAGAGGAAGACCAGAGTGTGGCTGGAAGGTGAGGAGAAGGGAGGGTGGGTTGTCTAGGCTGGAGGAGTAGCATTTGGCATGGGGCTGAAGGGACTGTTGAGGGGTGTCCCGACCCCTGGAGAAGGAGCAAGAGGAAGAATGGGATGGGAGAGTTCTGGCCTCTCTTCAGATCAGTCACTGGCTAGTCTGCCCTCTGCTGGACCTGGGGGCTGCCTGCTGGGGTGCTGGATGGAACAGTGTTCATTGTTTTATTCCCATCCACTAAAGAGATATTCATGAAGCACTTGCTTCCTAGTCTCATGATGTTTATAGCCTAAAACAAATTAAACTAAGCTAAGCAATTGAATTAAAGAAAAACCCACAATTTTCAAACTGTGGCAAACAGGATGAAGGAAGCACACAATGGCAGGGAAGGCCAGTGGGCGGCGCCACACTGCGAAGGTCTGTCTGTAGAAGAGACATCTAGGCTGGCTTCCTCAGGGACAAAAAGAAGAGTGTCTGGAAGGAGCGTGGGGGTTCCAGAACTCCAGTTAGACCAGAGCAGGTGGGCAAAAGAAGGGGCCCTTAGGTGACGTCAGAGGTGGGCAGAGAGCCAGAGGTGGGCAGTGTCAGGTAGGATTGCTGGGGATTTTCCGTTTTAGGAACTCCCCTGTGGTTTCTGGGTGGAGGGTGGGCTGTCATGGGTCCATCGAGGAAATGGGGGGACCGGTAGGAGGCTCTGAGGGGTTCGTTATGGTCTGTATAGTTTTGCAGGGGCTGCAGTAACAACGTACCACACGTTGGGTGGCTCAGAGAACGGCCATCTCACCATTCTGGAAGACCAGGTGCCGGCAGGGCCACGCTTGCTCTACGGAGCTCTGAGCAGGCCCTGCCCTGGGCCCCTCTCCCAGCTTCCAGGAGCCCCAGGCGTGGCCTGGCCTGTAGGCGTCTCCCAGCCCCTACAGCGTCTCCTCATAGTGTCTCCCCGCTGCATATCTGCCTCTCTGTCCCAATTTCCCCTTCTTATAAAGACTCCCGTCATTTTGGGTTGGGGCCCAGCCTAGGACCTCATTTTAATTTGATTGCCTCTATAAGGATGTTATTTCCAAATCAGGTCATATTCAGAGGTACTAGGGGTTAAGACTTCAATGTATTTTGGGGGAGGTATGGTTCAACCCATAACGTGGCAGCTTGGCCTCGGTGGGGGCGGTGAAGGTGAGGAAAGGAACTACACAGGTGGTGGGTTCCGGAGGTCGTGCCAGTGAGAGGGGGTTGGAACTGAAGGACCAGGTCTATGTCTTTGGTAAGTGGGGGGATGCTGTGCTCTCTACCGAAAAGGGGAGCGTGGGACAGGAAGCATTGAGGGGGGCTTGGCCTGTACCCTGGAGGTCTAGTTGGGGTGTGTTGTGTTTGAGATGCCTGTGATTTGAGCAGGCAGTCAGCCTTGAGAAATAAATTCAGGAAATGAGAGATTAGACATGAAATTTAAAGCCAGAGAAATGGATGAGACCCTTTCGGAAGACGGTAAAGAAAACTGTGAGGACTAAGCCCTGAGACAGGTCAGGAAGAGGAGCGGGAACCTGGAGAGGCGATGAGGATGAACTTGTAGTGTCCACACTGCCATGTACATGGTGGGGAAGCACTTTGAAGGGAGCCAGGCCTGTTGAAGGCCACACTGATGATGTTGACTGCCAGGGAGAACAGGCTCTGGGGCCCCCCAAAACCCCCAGAGCTCTCCCGCCCCCAATTGCTGCATGCATATTTTAGAAAATGGACTCTCCTATCTTGCTGAGGTGTGTGGTGATGGTGTTTGCTGACTCAGGACCCCAGAGGGTGTTGAAGAGCTTAGAGGTGGAACCTGACCTCACACGTTGCTTCTTTTTCACCTGAGCTGTTATTTTAACTGCTTGGGAGATGGGGACAGCCCAGCCAGTCTACCAGAATCACCCTGCCAGCATCAGGGAGTGGTGAGCGTTTTAGTTATGGCAGGGGTGTGGTGTGTGTATTTGTGTGTGCAGACATGTGCCTACTTGCACATTTGTGTGAGCCCAGGGAAAGAGCCATAAAACCACCAGCAGACTGGCTTATCCATTTAGCAACATCCCTAAAACTGGGCTGACGCGTTTGAAGCTGAAAGAAAAGGTTATATTTGGAAATATCTATTAATACCCCTCAGGTATTTAGGTGCAAACTGAAATGACAGGTCATGGATTCCTTTTACTGCAGGAGACAGCCTGGGGATGAGTAGGTGGTGGAGAGAATGGAGAGAGGTGGGATTCTCCTACGCTGAGGGCTGGCTGACCTGCCATCCTCCCTGTCCCTGGGCATGTGTGGCCAGGGCTGCTTCACAACCTTCTCCCCTGCAATCTCCATGTCTGTGGGAGACGCCAGGGTGACCTTGGCAGGACAGGCAGAGGGTGAGGCTCCTAGTGGTTGATTTGAGGGGCTCGAGCCATCGATCCCCTGTTCCCAAGTACTCCCCCCCACCCCGTCCCCTTGGTGCTGTCATCCAGGCCTGGAATTGCCCAGCTGGGTTTTCATGGTTTGGAGTAAGAAATGTTTTCTGGTCTGCTCAATTCACAGCACCAAAGCCCACGGGAGGTGTAACAACTTGGTTGCCACCTAACATTTCAATGCTAGTTAACAACTAGCTGACAGCAAGGTCCATGGGAATATAAGGTCACGTGCTCAGGGAGGGAAGGCCGGAGGGAGAGAAGGGAGGGAGGGGGTAGCCACAGTGCTGCTTGCATTGCCCCTGGGGAGGGTCAGTACCTAGGCAGAGGGGACTGTGGTTTAGGGCAGTGTGAGCTCCATGTCAAGAGGGCAGGAAAGGAGGCAGTGCCTGGGCTCCATTTGGTACTCCTGTGGTCTGGGAATTGCCCGCCATCACAGGAGTATAACAGGGGTAGGCTGCAAAGACAAGGTCAAGACTCAAGTACCTTGGTTCCCTCATTGCCCTGGAGCACAGCAAGGGTGTCTCTTCTGCTTCTGTCACCTGTTTCACAGACCATCTTGAGTACTGGGGCCAAAACAACCTTGCTTGCATGATTGTCTGGTTTCTCGGGGGGCGGGGTGGGAGGGGTCCCTCTGCTCAGTGGGAACAGTGCTTTCCAGGTGAACTTGTCCAGCATCTTTGCTGGCCTTGTCCGATGTCTCTGCTGGAGAATGGCCAGCTGAGAGCTGGGTCCATGGCCCACTGTGACAGATTGATGAGTCCCAGCCATCCAACCCTGGCCCTGTAGGGACCACCCCAGCTCCTTCCTGTTGGTAAACCTCACTCATTCTTGAGGAGTCAGATCAAAGCCACTTCACCACGACCCTTTCTTCTTTCTCTAAATTCCTGACGCACTTACTTTGATCTAACGTCCATCCTTATCTTGGTCTTCAATGCCTTGGTCAGCCTATCCTGTCTTCTAAGGGCTGGCCTGTGTCCTCCTTATCTTAGTGCATCTCCTCTGTCTTCTCATCACCCCAGAGCCCTTAGTGCAGTGCTATGCACAAGGTGGGCTCTTAGGGGAAAAGGTGGTTGTTTTGGTGATGACAATGTCCCAGGTGTTTATGGCATTTAGGACACACTCTTTTACCATGATTGCCAAGGTCCCACATCCAGTGACTCTTTCCCCTCTAGGCTCATCTGCCAGCCCCTACCCTTTACTCACTGCATTCCATCCACATTGGCCTTTGTTAAACTTGTCCCAGCCTATGTTGTTCCTTCTGGAATGTGCCTCCCCTTCCCCTGGTTAACTCCTTGTCACCCTTCCAGTCCTGGCCACATGTCACCTCCTCAGGGCAGTCCTCCCTCCCCAAGCTGGGTTGGGGTCCTTCGTTCTGAGCTCTAGTGGAACCATTTTCCTCCACCTGAATTCAAAGCGCCAGCCTCCCTGGTGAGTATGCACAACTGAGTGATGTTTGGTTGTCTGCCTGCACTGCTCAAAGAGCTAACAGCCTCTCGTCTGCCCCCCAGGTGGTTGGACAAAGATAAGGACGATGGACAGTTGGTCCGAGAGCTGCTGCCCAGTGACAGCAACGCAACACTGAAGAGTAAGTTGTCCTGATGGCCATGTGCTGGCCGGGCCCAGGGGGAGGCAGGAGCCCTCCCTTGGCTACCCAGAAGCAAACCCCAGAGAAGGCGTGTGCTCCTCACTTCATCCCACAAGGGCAGCACAGGGGAGGGTGCAGAGGAGGAGGCCCTGGGGGAGGATTAATCCGCCCGGCTGCGAGGTGCACACAGGCTCTTGGTGGCCTCGGGTGTGTGGCCCTGCACACATGTGGACCTCTGTTGATTAGAGTAACAAGTGATAACCCTAAAGGTAAAGAGGATTCTCCTCTTCCTAGAAGTTTTGTCATTCCTTGTGTGCAGATGGTGCAGACCTTTCTGGATGATAAAACTGAGTAACACCAGCATAGTGTCCCACTTAAGAACAGAGGGCTTTACGTCCACAGTAGGTCCACATTAGGCCTTCACTCCTGACCAGCTGCTGACCAACTGTTGACATCTTGAGCCAAACACATAAGCTTCTGGGCCTCCTAATCCTTGCTTCTGAAGTCGAGGTCAGAGTACTTCGCAATAATACTGTGCATATAATGTGCTAGATGCTGTCGGCGAAGGTCGATGCTCCCTTTGCCTCAGGTTCCCCATCCACCAGATGAGAAATTGCTTTAAATCCTTTGTCTCTTACATTTTCGTGTTGCATGCTTTCCTGTTCCTAGCACGTCCACACCTTGTGGGGCAGGTTGAACAGGTATTAGAATTCCGATGTGGTAGATGATGGGACCCCATGGGGTTGAAGGGAACCTTGTTCCAAGTCACAGGGCTACTTAGAGAGAGCACCAGCCCACCCCTGCTTGCAGACCACCCCCAACGATGCTCCTCACTACCCTGCACTAACCCCCCTCTTCCTGCCTTGACTGCTCAGACTACCGTTACCACATCAGCCTGAAGACGGGGGACCTGCCTGGGGCAGGCACAGACTCCACAGTGTACATCAAGCTCTATGGGGACAAATACGACACCATGAAGCAAGACCTTCTCGTCTCTGACAACAACCTGAAAAACTATTTTGAACGTGGCCGGGTGGACGAGTTCACCCTTGAGACCCTGAACATTGGGACTGTAAGTTTCCTTCCCAGGGCCACGTGACATCGTCGCCCCCACTCCTCTGCACATGTGTATCTGCACACGGGTTTGTAAGGGGGAAAGACCTGAGTCAGGGCACCCTCCCCAACCCTGAGTTTGTTCCTTGGTTCTTGCCTTTCTCCCAAGATGAATTCAAAGGAGAGACAACACGTGTAGTGGAAATGAGATAGCAAGTTCATTTATGAAGCACACGCAGTCCAGAGCCGTAAGCAGGCACCTGGCTGGTCTGGATGCCCCACATATGGAGGAAAGGAAGTTGTTAGTAAGTTTGCCCTATACATCTGAACCAAGGCTACAGGTGGACACTCAGCTAATCTAAGTGCCCTGACCATTGGGGTTCAGGGGTTGTATACCTTAGCCAACTTCTAGGTACCCCTCCCTCTTCCCTTTCTAAACCTAGGGAATAATGCACAGCTACAAAGACTTTCTTTCTCAGCTAGTAAAGGCCAGTTGTCTTAGTAAAATTGCTACAGAGGCCCCCTTTCCCAGAACAGTCTCAAGGGCTCCCTTCCTCCAGCTCTATCCCTGCCTGTGATGTTCAGAACGCCTGGCTGTCATGTCAGACTGGGCTCAGCACTGTAGAATCAACGGGTGAGACATGTCTCCTTCTTCCTCCCTGCCTTAGCTTACTACCTATTCTATCTAACAGGTTCACACACACATACACACACCATACACCACACACTCATGTACGCACAGATGTACTTATTTTGAAGAAAAAAATGCCCACTTGGGGGTTAATGAGGTGCATTGCTTTCCAGCTATGACTAGAGCAGCAAAAGATCTGTGAACAGAGGTTAAGGTTCTGGAGTCTCTTTGGGGATGGAATGTGTATAGGTAGTGGCTGCAGATACCACATTTTCTTTACTTCTATAGCCAGGACCAGGATGCCCAGGTCACTGGGGGACTGAAGGGGATACTGGTGTGCAGGGAAGGGAGGAGGAGGAGGAGAACTACAAACTGGAGTGTGCATCAATGCTAGGGCCAGGAAGCTTGTTTTGGTGCACACTCCCAGGCCACACCTGAGAGATTCTGCCCTAGAAGAAGGGACCCAAGGGTCCGTCTCCATCAGAACCTCAGGGGGCCCTGATGCAAGGGGTCTGAGCGCTTCATTCAGAGAAGCACAGCTTCTAACTCTCTGGACCTGAGGTTGGACTTCATATTACCACCTGCCCCTCCAGGGGTATGGCTTGTGGAAATTCAGACAGTCACAAGCTTCCCATCTGCAACCTCAACTTTCCTGCCGCTCCCCTCTGGGGAACCCCCCCTATTTCAGGTGCTCCACCAAAATGCATTCTGGGGAAAGGTCTCATGTCAGTCATGTATATCCTGTAGATAATGAGCTTCAATCAAAACTTCTTTTTATCAAAATACGTTTACATTTTAAGCTGAATTAGTAATTGTAAAATGACTTACTGTTCCTTTTATTTAGGATTTCTGGCAGCAGCCAGAAGATAAATTGGATGCCTGAGGAGAAGGGGAGGGTGTTTGTGTCCTTCTTTGTATTTCTGAAACCCCCCCTCAACAGGCAGTGTGGGCTCTGGCCACTCATGGCCTGGGTCTGAGGCCCAAGGCTTCCATGTACCTATCATGTGTAAATTACACCCACGTGCATATAGTAAGCGCTCAATAAACAGTAGCTGGTTTTTTTGTACTGCTCCATGTCTATAACAGTTGCTCCAAGTCAGGTGCTAGGTGTAGAAGTGAAAGACAGCCCCTGCCCTTACAGAACTTCCAGTCATATCAGGTAGGAGACACCTGTCCCTGTCTTTACTCTTCTAGCAGTCCCTCCCCAGGACTGTCAAAGTCCGAGCACCACAAAAACACAGTGAAGCTCTTCATCCATGCCCCTTGGCACGCACTCCAAAAGCTCACAGGCTATGTTTGCAGACATAGTCGGTTGCCCTCTGACAATTCCAGGGGACCCGGCTACATGCACTCAGTTATGGCTCTGTTTCCATTACCAGCTGCAAAGAGACACTTGGCACTCAAAATAGTGAGATCAGGGCTGACAGGGTTCTGGCACCAGGCTCATAGCTGACATTGCACCTCCAAACCATCACAGAGAGAATCGAGGGGGCTGGAAGGGGTCTCAAAGGCTATGTGATAATTCCATCTGATGTTAGAATTGCCCAGTAAACAACATTTCAAAAAATCATAAAAGCAGTTTGAACACTGAGGACCCAAGCATACATAAGGAGCAGGTGGAGTTCTATCCCATACATAAGGATGGTAACATGATCATCCCCATGATCATCTATCTTGCTTGTGGAAAAAGATGTTACAATGCAAAATAGCAAAACAAGTGAACTGAGTATTACTGGAAAAACGTTCCCCAGGTTCAAGAAGGAGAGGAGGAACAGGACACAGAATGACAGCACCCTGAGAGGCTGTCCACGTATTCTGTCACCTACAGGATGGGTGTATCAAAGAAGAATGGCAGAAATACGTGCACATCAATAGCATGGCTGCCAGATGCAGGAGGCCAACTTGCAAATGTTTGCTTTCTTGTGAAACCACCACGTTATTATTAACTGCATAGGAAGTACACTGCCTAATATTACTAAGTACATAGCAGAGCCTTCAAAGTTTATGCCACGCCTATTCCCCCACTTGCTTCTCACAACTTCCCCTGGGAGGTGAGCTGGGCTAGAGGAGGGAACAGAGACTCCAGGCACTAGAGGTGGTGTCGTAGCCCCCCAGCTGGCTGATGGCGGGTGGGAGCAGGACCCAGCCTCCACCTGCTTAGCCTCCCTCTCCTGAGGAACTAGAGACGGGGTTGAAGAGAACAGTTTGTGAGGGTGTTTGGAGAGGTAGGAATGGAGGCGTGGTGGCTTCTGGGCACTGGCTCCTTGCTCACCTGCAGCCTGAGTCTCCTTTCAGATCAGCCGGGTGGTGATTGGGCACAATGGCCTGGGCAAGCGTGCCAGCTGGTTCCTGGGCAGCATGCAGATCCGTGTGCCTCGCCAAGGCAAGCAGTATACCTTTCCTGTCAACCGCTGGCTGGACAAGAACAAGGCTGATGGGCGCCTGCAGGTGGAGCTCTATCCCAGTGAGATCGTGGAGATCCAGAAATGTAAGGAGGAGGCAGGGGTAGAATAGCAACACTAGTCCCCTGGCGAGTGGGGGAGTGGGGATGGAGGAGGGCTGTGGGGTGACTTACATCCTGCCTCCAAGGGGAAGGCTGAGGGGAGAAAATGGGAGCTTCCAGTAGCCTCTGGTACCATGTTTCTGGAAGGGAAGGAGGGCTCATTGTACAGATGGGAAAACTGAGGACTCAAAGGATGAAACCTTTTGTTTTGGGCTAATGGGCAGCAAGTGATTTTATAAGAAATATATATTCTCAGCCCTGGGTGCAAGAGGACAGGGTCCATGTCTTCCCTTGGGAAGACTGGCTGGGGAGGTAAAGCTGTTTAATCGCTCATTTATTAAATAAATATACATCAAATATTTCTCTGAGCCAGCACTGCCCTAGGCTCTGTGGAGGCAGCCATGAGAAAAAAAAAACAGGCAAAATGCAGTCCTTGTGTACTTGACATTCCACCAGAGGAGGCAAACATTAAGTATATGCGACAATACCAAGTAAGACCTGTGGAGAAGGTGAAGCAGTCTGGGGTGTCAGCAAGGGCACAGGGGTGCAGGGCCTTCGTGGACAAGGTGGTGATACCTGTGAATGAAGATGCAGGTCAAGGTGATCTGGCCACCCACTGTACATAATGCAAGAGTCATAGATTCTGGTAGGGCTCAGAGGAACAAGAGGTTATTAGAGGGTCAGAAAGACAGTGGGACCAAAACCTGACACCGGGAACGTCGATTTCCTCACCTCCGCACTTCTACTCCCACCCTGAAATCAACCGCCCAAGGCTTGCTTCCCCAGGAAGCATATCTGAGAAGGGACCCTAATCCAAACTCACCTCGTTCTCTTCCAGAGCCCTTCGTGTCTTTTCATGCCTGTAGGTTGCTTGAGGACTGTGTGCAAAATCAGCTCCTTTTCTCTTTTTATGAACTAGACCTTGATCTCCATCAGGGTAATATAAGTACTAGTTAACAACAGAAAAATAAAAAGCAATAGTTCCCTTCCTATACCATCCCTCTTCTTCAGGGGTAACAACTTGTAAATTACTTTAGCTTTTTCTTCGGAAATTCATCTCCATATTTTAAACAATGTGCTTATCAGTTTCTTGATTTTTCAGTCACAGACATTAACTGTTGACTTACTCCTATGGAAGAGGAGGCTTTAGTTCTCTTAACCCATGTGCGTGTGCAAGCATGCGAGTGCCCACCAACTCACTTCTCCTTCCAATCTTCAATAAAATTAAATCAATGATCAATTTTTACATGATCGTGACTATGCCAATATTATTCACTGCTGAGTTACCTACTGTGTGATGGTGGCATTTCATCTTGTGTAGAACTTTCTGGATTTTTCTCTGGAGTTAGTGATTGCCTCACTTTTTCCATTTGTATAGTTTTCTGTATACACACCTTTATTTCTACACGCCCACGTATATGCCCACCTATTTGTAGAAGTGCGCTAGGACTGCCATAACAACATAGCACAGACTAGGTGACTTAAACAACAGAAATTTATCTTCTCATAGTTCTAATCAAGGTGTCAGGAGGTTGGGTTTCTTGCAAGGCCTTTCTCCTTGACCTGCAGGTGTCTGCCTTCTCTCTGTGTGTGCGTGGTCTCTCCTCTGTGCGTGGGCATGTTGGTGTCCTAGTGTTCTCCTAAAAAGACACCAGCCATGCTGAACATTGATGAGGGGATTCGATGAGATAGTGGAGCACCAGATACATGGCACAAGCATGGGAAGTATTTTTTTTGTTACTATCATTGCTGTTGTTTTGATTACCAAATGTCCCATTTCTCCCCGTATGCACACCCAGTGGTCCACTATGAGGTTGAGGTTTGGACAGGGGATGTGGGCGGTGCAACCACCACTGCCCGAGTCTACGTGCAGATCTATGGCGAGAAAGGCAAGACCGAAGTGCTCTTCCTGTCCAGCCGCTCACGGATCTTTGAGCGAGCGTCTAAGGACATTTTCCAGGTATGTGTGGATAAGGCGGCAGCGGTGCCCACAGAGGGCCTGCTGAATGCCATAAAGTGAAGGGATTGAACAGGATCTCTCTGGCTTTTTATTAGGATCACCTGGAGAGCTTCAAGAAAAAAAATATGGCCCTTGCCCCAATTAGTTAAGTGAGAAATTTCTGGGGATGCTCCAAACAGCTCTGCTAATACAAACGTGCTACCGATTCTGAGAACCTCTGGAGTAGATACATCTAACTTAATAGAATATGGCACTTGGCCCCGGGTCACTGCCCTTGCTCCAGGCTCTGTGGCCTCGGACTCTATAGCTCTGTTGGCCTGTAGGCAGGGCCATGCTTCCCAGGCAGGACACTGGTGAGCCGTGGGGTCTCCTGGCAGTGCTTGGAGTGCCCTGGGCCTCAACACACCCCTTTGAGTAGAAGAGAAAAAGAGAGGAGGACATGGGCGTATTGTTGGCAGGGGAGGAGGATACAAGGATGGCACCCACTGGGGGCCCATGCATGTTTGATATGAGACATGAGTGTGTGTGTGTATATGCGTGTGTGTAGGGAGCATGTTCAAGCTGGTGCCCTGTGTGTGCTGTGTGACACAAGCAGCTGTGCCCTCAGCAAGAAGTCCTAAGCCAGCGCCCAGTAGAGGAGGGCGCTGGGCCAGGCTGCAGCTGTAGAGAGCGCTCGTGCTGGATGGGGCCTCGTGGAGCACCGCCCCTGCAGGCACTGCTGAGGGGCGGGGGCCCTAGCCATGCACCTCTCTGAGCCGGAGATCCTTCATCAGTTCAAACCTAGCTCTATAGTGCTGCCCTGGAAGAATCAAAATGGTCACTGTCAGGGAAAGTGTGTAGGAAACTGTGGCCAGTCATGGAGAGGGCACAGAGTGGCATATCTGGACTCCAACCAGCTGGCTGGATGTGGTGCGTGGGTTCGAGGCGGGTAAGGGAGTGGGGAGGGCAAGTGGGGCTGCCTGGGGGGCTGGTCACAGGGATGCTGTGACCTGGGAAATGCCGGAGGAGGGACTCAGGGTGTAGACCCCATCTCCTAAGTACCTGAGGAGAAGAAATTCCTCTTTCCCGGGGATCCTGGCCTCCCTTTGGTCTGGTGATTTTCTCACAAAGATGGTTTTGGCCACACTGTGTCTTCATGAATCTGAAGACCTGAGTTCTCATTTGGGTCTGGACTAAAATGATGGGACACTGAGCAACTCCTGGGATGGCCATGGGCCTTCATTTCCCCAGCACACAATGGGGAGAACTGGTGAGACGGCTTTGAGGAATGTCAAACACCCAGAAGAGGGCCCATCAGAATGATGTGGCCCCAAAAGAGTGGCTTTACTGGCAGGGGCTCCATTTCAGCCTCCTGAGACCCCCTGAGCTTTTCAGAGGCCAGGCCTCACCTCACTGTGAGGCCAAGAATTAAATAGAAGGCCTAGAAGCTGATTCCCTGAAGGAAAACTGTACTCATCCCGATGCCCTTTGAATCAGCCTGTGCTTGGCCCAGTGGGGGACAGATGCAAAAGTAGAGCCCCTGCTCTTAGGAATACTCACAGGAGTGGGCAGACACCAGCTTACCTGGACAGAGAGGAAATCCAGGCCAGGACCTCCTGAGGCCTCTGAAAGCATGAGTTGCATTTTTTTCACAAATAACACTTTTTTTTTGCTATTGCAAAAGTTATATATGATTAATCCTGAAAAATTTAAGAGAGCAGATCACAGAAAAGCACCAGCTAACAAAAAAGTAATAATAATGCTCAAGAGTCTGAATGAGCAGTTTTAAGATAGAGGTGGAGGACGGAATTAAGGCCTTCTGGGAGAGGGGGCTGCATGAATGAGAATGTGGAAATAGGAGTAATAGAACTGAGTGTGACGTGCATGGTTAGTGTGTGTGGGTATGTGTGTTTGGGGGAGACGGAGAGGGAGAGAGAGAAGGAAAGAGAAGAGAGGAAAGCAGCAGGGACATCATCTTGACCACCACAGGGGCTTAGGAGGAATAAACTTGGTGGAAGGTGGGGCTGGCAAGATAGATGTCCTGGAGGGTGGGCCGGGAAACCAGGCTGGATGTGCAGGGGAGAGGCTGCTGGGGGGAAGCTTTTGAGCTCGGGGACCCTGAGCCTCTCCATCCTGTGGCTCCACACACAAGCTGGTGCCTGGCTGTGCAGGGAAGGTAGGGAGGGAGCCGGGGGCCACCCCAGCCACTGCCCTGCACTTTGCACAGCTCGAGGCGGCTGACGTGGGGGAGGTCTTCAAGATCCGGCTGGGACACACTGGCGAGGGCTTCTCGCCCAGCTGGTTTGTGGACATGCTGTGGCTGCGGCACCTGGTGGTACAGGAGGTGGAGCTCACACCCGAGGAGGAGGCCTTGAAGAAGAAGGAGGAGAACAAGCTGCGGCAGCAGCTCAAGAAAGAGTGGCTGAAGGCCAAGCTGCAGAGGAAGATGAAGAAGAAGAAGAAGAAGGGCAGTGATGAGGAAGATGAGGGGGAGGAAGAGGAGGAGTCCTCATCGGAGGAGTCCTCATCTGAAGAGGAGGAGGAGGAGGAGACGGAGGAGGAGGAGGAAGAGGAGGAGTTCGGGCCAGGGATGCAGGAGGTGATTGAGCAGTACAAGTTTCCTGTCAACCGCTGGCTGGCCTGGGGCAAGGAAGACGGCGAAATTGTCCTGGAGCTGGCGCCTTCTGGCGGGTCGGGTCCTCAGCGTAAGCCTGAGCAGGGGTCAGACAGTTCTCTGAAGGGAGTCCAGGGATGGGGGCGGCGCCTGGGCTCTCCTCTCACATGGAAGCCCCATAGGTGGGCACCCATCATAGTTTCCTAATAGCTCTCCCGACATGTGTCTTCAGTGACTCCAAGGGCAGTTCCTGCCTGGGGTTGACATTGTGCTTGTCCCAAGGCTCTCAGGAGGAGTGGATGACTTAGGAGGAGCCCTGATATAACTTAGTGTTGGGGACAGAAGGCAGGAGGGCTGCTGAGGGTGAATTTTCCCAAGACTCACAACCTCTTGGGCTTTATGGCAAAAATGTCTTGGGTAGGGAGGAGGGGCAGATTCAGTTCCAGGTTAGTGAAGCTGTGCAGGTGTCTGAAGATACTTCCTGTGTCTTCCCTCAACCTGGAGCCTAGAGGCTGAGCCTCAGGTCCACTCAGAGGCCCGGATGTCCTCAGTGCTGTGTCTTTCTCTGTCTGCAGTCAACACCTATGAAGTCCAGGTGATCACAGGGAATGTAGCCAATGCTGGCACCAGTGCCAATGTCTACGTGACCATCTACGGGGAGGAGTACGGGGACACGGGTGAGCGGCCGTTGAGGAAGTCAGACAAGAGCAGCAAGTTTCAGCCGGGGCAGGTATGGTATGGGCTTTCTGGCCCTTGGGCGGGTGGTTGGGATTCAGTTGGAGGGAGCCCTCTGGTGATTTCCAAGGCCACCCAACCCACAGTGACTGTTGGGTCTGGCAGCGAGCTTTGCTCAACCCGGCCAGGTTCATGGAAGTGTCTCCTCTGTAAGAACCAATGTTTCTGGTGGGGAATGTGAGAAAGGCACAGGTGAGGGTCCAGCTCCCTGAAGCCCAAGGGAACTCACTGGAGGTAGTATAGGCAGCCGACACTCAGGGGCTCAGTGGGTGGAGCAGAGGTTCAAGGAGGAAGTGCTGGCCGTCAGATGGTGCTTTGGGGAGGGAAAGGAGAGACGCAAAGGGCCTTGCTGGGTGAGTGTGGGGTAGATATGTAGGTGCTCTAAGATGGCATGACCGAGATGTCGGGGTAGAAATGTGGCAGGCCAGTTTGAGGACAGTGAGTCTTCCTGCAGGGCTGTGGTTAATGCTGAGCCATGGAGGATGCTGCTCCTGGGAAGCCTGATGAAAGCAACTTAAGGGGCAGGGGGCGGGGATAAGGGCCTTGAAAGGCAGCTGAGAACCCTGAACTGTGTCCTGAGGCAGTAGACGCCACTGAAGCTTTTGAGCATTGAAAGAAATGCACCTGCCTCCCTCTTCACCAGGTAGCGGGAAAAGCATGGAAACGCAGCCGTCATCCTTGTCTTTAGACATTGCAGAACATCGTCTGGCTAGCACACTCTCTTCTCACCTTTCCCATTCCTGCCCCATCTTAAAGCCAGATTCCCTCACCAACACAGGCGGAGAGAGAGGGGTATCAAATCCATTAAAATACTTCTGGCCTCCTCACTTGGTTTATTTCAGAGATCCCCAATTCTCCTTTTAACACTCCCTTCCTATGACTTGAGAATCATGGTTTATCTTTGTTTCAGTACTTTCCTTAAAAAGTTACAGCTAAGAAGTTCTCATTCACGTATCGGGTCCAAGTATGGTCTGTCTCCTGCTTCCCCCAGTGTGTGTACACCTGCCGTGCACATTCTGTCTTCCCACCTCAGCAGGGAGCAAGTCCAGTTCTGTTTCTGTCTATCATTTTGAATTTACACATCGGCTCATAGCAGGTCCTTAATTAAAATTGGCAGTTGAAGAAGTTTATGCACACATGTGCACACGCAGCACACACCCAAGCTCTCCCCCACCCCCTGGCACACAACACATCTCACATTACAAATCTGGGTGTTCCTCACTGGTTTGGGTCTTAAATCAGCCCAGGTTCTGGGAGGGTGAAGCAGATGGTGAGGTGGGGAGGCAGAAGCTACGCTTCTGAGTGCTACCCTGGCCCTTCCCAGACAGACACCTTCATCGTCAACGCCATTGACCTGGGGCCCCTGACCAAGATTCGGATTCGCCATGACAACTCAGGCAACAAAGCAGGCTGGTTCCTGGAGAGAGTAGACATCACCGACACAAACAACGAGACCACGTGAGTGGGGCTGGAGGGGAAGAAGAGGGGGCCATGCCTGCCCCTGAGATGGTCTTAGAATGAGGGCTGATCATGCGGTGGCTGTGACGCCTGAGGGTGGGAGTGGTGGGGGAGGGTGTAACATAGGTTTGGTGCAGTAGCTGGCTAGGCGGGCACTGTCTCCCTCCCTTTTCTCTCACTGGGCAGCCCCCTGGGAGCTCCTGGCCCTAGAAGGGAACAAAGAGTCTGGTGCAACATCCAGTCCCTGACACCCACCAACTCAGAGGGTTGGGTCTTCCCCCCAGAGCTTTCCTGCCCACTCTCCATGACCAGATGTAGTTGCCCAATAAGTCTTTCCATGGGTGAAGTGGCATCCAGTACGTTGTTTGCTTTAGACCAGGGACAAGCAAGCTTTTCCTGTACAGGCTGGGTACCAAACATTTGAGGCCTGGGGCCATTTGGTCTCTGTCACAACTACTCTACTTGACCTTGGCAGAGGGAAAGCAGCTACAGGTGATGCCTAAGTGAGTGGATCTGGCTGTATTCCTGTAAAACTTGATGGTCATCAAAGCTTGAATTTCATGTAATTTTCACATGTCGCGAAATGTTTTTTTAATATTTATTTATTTATCTTTAGAGGGGAAGGGAAGGAGAGAGAGGGAGAGAAATATCAATGTGTGGTTGCCTCTCATGTGTTCCCTGCAGGGAACTGGCCGGCAACCCAGGCATGTGTCCTGACTGGGAATCGAACCGAGATACTTTGGTCTGCAGGCCCATGATCAATCCACTGAGCTACACCAGCCAGGGCTGCAAAATGTTTTTAAGATGGTTTTTCAATTGTTTAAAAATGTGAAATTATGCTTAGCTTGTGGGATGTAGCAGGTGGTGGGCAGATTGGCCCACAGGCCTCAATTTGCTGCACCTGCTCAGGAGTTACAGCTCCAACCAGAAGCTGGGCTGGGAAGGGGGTACCGTTGTCCTGATGGGTGAAGGGATTGCCCCCAGAGGAAGTCAAACTGTAGCCCCAGAATCAAACTGTGTCTGAATCAGGACCAGAACTCCAGACCATCCATGATGAACCTTGTTATATTTCTACCATTAGGCCACATTGCCTCTTGGGCAATAGGCATGACAGAGGCCCTGAGATGGGGTGGGGATTGTGCGGGAGACAGAGGGGGAAGCAGGAAAGACCCTAAGTCAGTGCTGCAGAGCTGTCCAGGGCTTGCTGGTGCCTGGAATGTAGTGGGCGCTCCATAAATATGTATTTGTTGAATTAAACAACTTCTTGACCTGTATGCCGGTGTCTCTTGGAACATGCCTTCTTCTTGGGCTCCCCTCTAGGCAGGCAGGGCAGGGGGTGACCAGGCTCACCCTACCTCTGACCTCCATCCTGCCCCACCAACCCAAGAGGTTGCTTCAGGTGGGGACTCTGAGGCACAGCTCACGCATGGCCTGATACTCCCATGAGGCCATCATGATGCTGCCAAAGAGCCATGACATCCACGTGTCTGGGACCTGGGGTCCTGATTTGGGGCAGGTCCAGAGGACCTCACCGAGTCACCCTGGATGAGTTGCTCCATCTTCATGGGCTTTCATTTGCTCTTCTGATAAATGGGCTTAAGGATGCCAGCCCAGCTTACTTCTCAAGATGTTCTGAAGATCTGAGGCATTTAAGCTGAAAATGTAGTGTTGCAAGGACACGGACAAACTGTGAACATCGCTGCTTCCCCTTGCAGCTTTGTTAGGGCCAGTTTAGGCTGTTCCATTGATTTAGCATTTTTGGGTCAGCCCAACAGTTTTTAAATTATTGTAGCCTTAGAATCTATTTTAATTTTTTTATCCTTACCCCTGAGGACATTTTTTTCATTGCTTTCAGAAAGAGAGAAAGAGAGGGAGGAGAGAGAGAGGTGGAGAGAGAGAGACACGCACAGAGAAACACTGATGTAAGAGGGAAACATTAACTGTTGCCTTTTTGTATTCACGCCCCAACTGGGGATTGAACCTGATACCTGGGTATGTGCCCTGACTGGGAATTGAACCCATGACCCTTCAGTCTATGCAACAAACACTCCAACCAACTGAACCACACCAGCCAGGTCTATAATCTACTTTAATACCTGTCACTGCTTGGTCTCTTTTATTATGGTTTAAAAATATTAGCTATCCTTGCCTTTTTATATCAAGACATTAAGTGACTTGAAAAAAAAAAGTCCTAATGGAATTTTGATCATTATACCATTAAATGTACGTGTGGAGAACTTCATATTTAGAATATTAAGTGCTACCCCCAAGGCACACATTTGCATTCCCCAAGAATTCCTTTAGGTATCTCAGTGATGCTTTACAATTTTCTGCACTGAGCTGCTACACACTTCTGTTAAGTTTAAGGCCAAGTATGTTATATTTTTATCACCCTTGTGAGTGGAACCTCCTCGTTACCCACCTCTCTGCCCCCCTCCTTGTCTCCTTCTCCTTTCTCCCTCTACTCGTTGCCCCCCTCATCTCCTCCTTTTCCTCACCATCCCTTCTTGCTGATGTTGTGTTTGCATGTCTCCGTTTCCTTGGTTTTGAACAACACTAAGGGCTCTGTGATGAGCCGCCTCCAGCCATCTGCAAGCTGAGAGGGACTCTGAGCAAAGCCTGCTCTGAGAAACAGACAAAATTATGAAAGTTCAAGGCCAAAAATCAGAGTAGCCAATCTCCTTTATTTTGGAGAGGCACCATCTTCCTTGACAGTGCCTTGAGCCTCCCATGACCTTGATTAGCTCAGGATAAGTGAACACTGACTGCCCCAGACCCAGTCACCTCCCTCCATGTGAATTGGATGTCCTTGCCCCTCTTTGCCCCTCACATCCCACCCCCAGTCCGTCACCCACTTCCTCCTTCAGAAGGAAGGAGGTGTCCTTGCCCATCCCCAATCTGTCACCCACTTCCTTCTTCAGAAGAACATGGTCAAACCCCTGTCTTCCATCAAAGCCTCTGCACTGGTCCCGCTGCATCCCCCAGGACCTCCTATTTATTATCTACAGCAGGTCAGCCCTCAGGGTCACGCCCCTGCTCTGCTCAACTACCCGCCGAGGCTCCCTTTCACTCAGGGTAAGAGCCAGAGCACTTCCGGTGGCTTCCCAGTGTCCCCTTTTTATCTCTCAGTCCTGGTTCCCTCTGGCTCACTCCTTGCTGTGCCTTAAGCCCAAAAGACATGGTCCCGCCTCAGCGCCTTCCCATGTGCCCTCTTCCTGGCACTGCTTCCCCCAGTGGCTCACTCACATACTTTCTCTACATAGGTCTCTGCTCAGGGGTCACCTGCTCAGCGAAGCCCCAGCCCCACCCCTGGGCCGTTTATTCTTCTTCCTCTATTTTTTTTCCATCTCACTTATCTATCATGTGACCATAATAAACTGCCCTATTTGGTCATTGTTTCTCTCCCCACAATAGAAAAGAAGGTCTGGGCATGAGGCAGTGACTTCATCTGTTTTGCTTATTGCTGTGTCCTCCCTAGTACTTAGAAGAGAGCCTGGCACATAATAGGCATACTATAAATACTTGCTAAATCAATTAATGAATAAAAGTTATGCTTGGTGCACTGAGTCATTCATTAATTCAACACACACATGCCATGCTAAGGGCCGGGGTGAGACAGCTCTGACTCCACCTTTAATATTAGCCGGGGAAAGCCGGACGGTCCAGGAGGCAGATGTGTTGCCTTTGATTCTTTTCCCTCGCACTCTCAATGTGTGGGGCTTCGGGGGGGGGTCACTCTGAACCTCGCTTTTTCAGGTAAGCAGTGATCCGCATTTTACAGCAAGTACAGCCCAATATTGAGTAAGACATATTTATAATACTAAAACATGATTCACTGCTTACTAAAATTCAAATTTAACTTGGAGTCCTGGGATTTTATTGGTTGAGTCTGGCAACTCTAACAGAGAGGTAAAGAAACTTGTTCAGAGTTCCATGACTATAAGCCAGGATGCGAACCCAGTCTAGCTCCAGAGGGAAGTCCTTTGTGACCCCACCCTGCTGCTTCTCCCAGGCCTGGTCTGTCTTCCTTCCACCCAGGTACCTCCAGTGGCCTCTGTACTAGGGAGTCTAACTCAGTCCTCCCTTCCTCTGGTGTGCCAGCTCCTTGGCCACACGCTTTGTACCTTCCAAAAGCAAAATTGGGTCGTTTCATTAAAATTCCACTCTTACGTGTTGGGTACCTTCTATGTGTGACCCCCTCTGCTGAAGTACTTCTGGCTGATTTGTTAGCTCCAGAAAGGCTGGCAACAGCCCCTGCAAGTCCCTCTTACTCTAGATACATCCAATATGACCCTGATTGAGTGTCTGCTATGCGGCTCTAGGCTCTTTTCAGTGGGTTGTCTGCAGACTTGTCCCCACGTCTGTTCTCTGTTCAAGGCAAGTGTCACTACTGGGCCCATTCCAGCTGGGATGGGAGGACAGTGCCCTGGAGGGCAGGCAGGGAAGTATTAGGACCCCTGAGGGCCTCACTTCTCAGCCCATGACTACTCCTTCATGAGACCTTTCCAAGAGACTTTGTCAACCTCTCCTCATTCCCCACTGCCACAGGTACTACTTTCCATGCCAGCGCTGGCTGTCAGTGGAGGAGGATGATGGCCAGCTGTCCAGGGAGCTGTTGTCAGTGGATGAGTCCTATGTGCTGCCACCGGAGGAGGACGACGAGGGTGGGGGTGGTGGTGACAACAACCCCCTCGACAACATGGGCCTGGAGCAGAAAGGTTTCCTCGACTAGGGCTGATGTCTTCCCACCAGCCACCCTCCCCTCTGCTTCTCCCTCATCCTAGGTCTCCATCTCCTCTCTCTTCTATGAGCTCTGGCTACCCCTTCCTCTGGCTTTCTATCTGTACTGTCCCTCATTCCTCCATGGCAAGAATGGGGAGGTGGGGGAGCATATTCCCACGTCTAGCATAAGGCTGAGTATATACTGTACACAGCTTGGGACAGGATGGGATGGGATGGGATGGAATAGAATGGGGTGGAATAGAATAGAATAAAATGGAATCGAATAAAATGAATAGAATAATGACTAGAATAGAACAGATTGTACCTTGTTCTGACTTAGCCTTGTATATAGGCTTGTATAGAGGCTATGTGCTTAGCCTCTCCCTTCTAAGCACATAAGAGGCTCTCAACACATTTTTGTCAAAAGAAAGAGTGAATTTTCCAGAGTTCTATGATACTTGTGCTCCCTTCCTTGAAACACAAATCCCTAAAAGTCTTCCAAACCTGGAGGAATCAAACTGGGGTTCTTGGGTGGTAAGCCCCTGACCCTCAGTCCCCCTAAGTCTCCCCTAAGCATCCTGCAAGTGTACTGGTTGAGGGCCTCCTGCGTGAGTTGGAGGTGGGGGAGACCTCATCTCTGCCTTCAGGAAGTGTCTAGGCTAAAGCCAACTGCAGATCAATACATCCTGCAAGTAAAGCAACTCATAGAAATGGTCACCATGGACATAGAAATATACTTAGTACGTTTTCTCTCTCCTTTCTTCACGGGAGGAGCAATCTACCACTCACTTCTCCACACTCCTCTCTTGCAGATAAATCGACCACATTCTCAGTGACCATAAAGACTGGAGACAAGAAGAATGCGGGTACGGATGCCAATGTCTTCATAACGCTCTTTGGCACAGAAGACGACACTGGTAAGAAAACAGTGCAATTCTGAGGTTCACTCATATTGTCCCCAGGGAGCCCGGAAGACTCAGCAGAACATTCCAAGGAAATCCTGGTTGTCTGTCTGTCTGTCTCTCTCCTTAAAAAAATCACTTTAACAATTCCCTTTTATGGTTTTGTTTTATTTTATTTTATCATGAGATGAACACTTAACACGAGATCTATCCTCTTAAAGTGTGCATGCACAAAACACTATTGTTGGCTATAGGCATGTGTGGTATGGCAGATCTCTCACTGAACTGAAACTTTATGCCTGTTGATTAATAATTCTTCATCCTCCACCCCTACTCCCCAGCTTCTGGTAAACACCACTCCAGTCCTTGATTTTATGAATTTAACTATTTGGGACACCTCATAGAAGTGCAATTATGGTGTATTTATTTTCCATGTCTGACTTACTTTACTTAATGCAACGTCCTTAAAGACCATCTACGTTGTTGCACAGGGCAGAATGTCCTTTTAAAAGGCTGAATAGTATTCTATTGTGTGTGTACACCACATTTTCTTTATCCACTCACCTCTCAGTGGACATTCAGATTTTTTCCCACATCTTAGCTACTGTGAACAGTGCTGTGATAAGCAATGGGAGTGCTAATATCTTTTCAAGACCCTGGTTTCAATTCTTTTGGATCTAGACCCAGAAGAGGGATTGCTGGATTTTCTATTTTTAATTTTTTGAGGAACTTTCATGCTCTGTTCCATAGCAACTGTACCATTTGCATTCCCACAATTGTGTGCAAAGTTTCCCGCATCCTTACCAGCACATTGCCTTTGTTTTACAGCAACCTTCCTGCCAAACATGAGGTGTGATCTCATTGTGGTTTTGATTCGCATTTACCTAATGATTAGTGACAATGAGCACTTTTTCATATACCGTTGACTGTGTGTATGTCTTCTTTGGAGAATTGTCAATAGCCCAGTTTTAAATTTGGGTAATTTGTTTTTTGCTATTAAATTGTAGGAGTTTCTTATATATTTTGGAGATTCACCCCTTATCTGACATACAGTTTGCAAATATATTCTCCTGTTCTATAGGTTGCCTTTTTACTCTGTTAATAATTTTTTAGACTTTTTTTTGAAACATTTTAGTCTGATGTAGTTCTACTTGTTTATTTTAGTTTTTGTTATCTGGACCTTTGGTGTCATAACCATGAAATTACTGCCAAGGCCAATGTCATGAAGCTTTCGCCCTGTTTTCCTGTTAGAGTGTTACAATTAGTTTCAAGGTTTATGTTTATGTCTTTAATCCATTTTGAATCGACTTTTTCGTATGGTGTAAAATAAGGACCCAAATGAATTTTTTAATGTGTGAATATTCCATTTTCCCAGCACCATTTATCAGATGGATTGTCCTTTTCTCATTGTATATTCTTCCATGACTCTGACTCATGACAGATTGTGCACAAAACTAGCCTCATCAGAGGAAGGCAGTTCCTTTTTTAAGTCTCTGTGTGAGGTGACTTTGGGTCCTCAGGTGGCGAGTGCTGTTTTCTTTGGAAATTCTTCCTAAACCTTCCAAAGGCAGTCCTGCGCACTGCAGGGCCAGTGAGCCCCTGCCCTCTCGGCCATCCTCTTGCTGCCTCTAGGGCCCTGGATGCACGTGAGAGCCATGTGAGTCCTCTTCCTTCTGGAGTCCTCGTCCAGGTAATGGTGATGGATCCTGTGGTCCATCGTTTTGCACGTCTTTCTTAAAGTTTTTACTGTTTCTCATGTCCTCCCTGGAGACAGCACTCTATTTGCCTTTTAAAAGCATAATGAAGGGGCTCCCCACTCCAAACAGTGGGTGGTCTCTTCCCCACGACTTCTGCCAGCTTTCTTCTGTTCTAACAGTAGAGGTGACCCTAACTCTAACTCCACCTCAATAAGAAAAGCCAGTGGGGTCCAGGCTACTCTCAATCTGAGATGCACAGGGAATTTGAAGTCATTTGGTGGGTGGGGAGGGGGCCTCTGCCCAGGTACTCAGACAAGGTGACATTTAGTGCTACAGTCAGCCATCCACTTGCGCTACCTGTCCAGCCATTCTGTGTGAGCTCAGAGACATTCAGTCCCTCAAGTAATCATCAAGTATTTGCTTAAAACTCTGTGGATCCAGAGTCTTGTGCCAAGCATCACTGAATAATGAAAGGACCTACCTACGTTCTTAGGGGGCTCATATTCTAATACAATGATGTGGTGGTAGAGTGTGAACTCAAGCTTGACTGATGGGGTTACATTCTGCTATAACACTCACTATCTCTGTGACCTTGGGAAAGTTGCTTCCCCTCTCTGTGCCTTAGCTTTCCCCATTTGTAAAATGGATAGTAAACCAGGATGTGTCTCATAGAGTTGCAGATTCAATGAAATTGAACCCATAAAACATTTGAGACAAAATGATGCTCATAAACACTTATTTTATTATTTAATAGGTTAGATAATGTATAGTGAATAAATTAGGTCATAACTTATAAATATATGTCATTACGATAGATCTAGAACCATGGGCCCTGGTATCAAAGATCTCTAACAACTGCTTTTATTTGCCAAGGGACTTTTACATGTCAGGACCGCTCTTGAGCACTCAATAGTTGTCATCTTATTAAGCCCTCACAGTGACTCCATGAGAAGGCACCAAACCACCCCTTTTGACACTTGAGGAAACCAAGTCTCAGAGAATTGAGTAATTTGCCCAAGGCCACCCAGATGTTCACTGACAAAATCAGGCATTGAACCAAGGTCTGTCTGATTCTGGTGCACTGCCCTGAGTGTCAGAAGACTTTCTACTTAGGGTGGACTCAGAGCTAGGACTCACGGGGTGAGGAAACTTGAAGAGAATGTAGTGCATACTGAGATAGGCGGGGATGGCAATGGCATTGAGACCACCTCAAATTTCAGACTGATGCCACAGCCAAGGTCCCAGAATAGACTGCACATGTGAGATGGCTGGTGGGGGGCATCGGAAGTCATCTGTCCACTGTTATCTATAGAAGAGTCTCCAGAGAATTCCCACATGCCCCATCCTTCAGGGGAGCCCGGGGAGCATGGAGAGGGTGCCTTAGTCATGGGCTCCCTCCCCGCATGTAGAAACATGAGGATTATGAAAGCAGAGCTGACATTGACCTAGGGCCCCACCACCTTCTCCTGGATGATCTTGGATAAGGCACTTAGCCTCTTGGTGTGTCTCCTTTTCTTCAGATGCAAATTGGAAGTAACAATACATACCTCAGAGGGTTATGGCAGAGCTCAATAAAAAGACACACACCACAATAAAACATGCCAAAGGCACCCAGTGGATGGTAATTGCACAGTCTAAAATTGGTAAAAATTCAAAATTTGGTCATGAGGAAAGACTAAATGGGGTGGGCACTCTAGGCTTAAAAGTCCTCAGGGCCAGCCAGTCATGTTGAGGTCTTTTGGTCGGTAGGAATGAGCCTCCTGAAATCCTCCAAGGTCAACAGTGACAAGTTTGAGAGGGACAGCATCGACATCTTCACTGTGGAGGCGCTGGGCCTGGGAGATCTATGGAAAGTCAGGATCGGCCATGACAACTCAGGTCTGGCTTCCCTCCCCTCTGTTTCCTGCTTAAAGACCACAGACAGGTCCCACGGGGTGTCTGGGAATGAATCTGGGGGAAACTTGGATGTCATCTGCCTTCCATAATGACATAACTTCCTATATCCCTTTAGCCCAGAGGAGCCCTGGCTGCACCTGGAGATTCTGATCTAATTGGGGCGGGGCTTGGGCACTGGTGGTTTTAAAAGCTTTCTTTAGTCCTGACTGGTGTGGCTCAGTTGGTTGAGTGTTGTACTACAAAGCAAAAAGGTGTCGGTTGGATTCCCAGTCAGGGCACACACCTGAGTCATGGGCCAGTCCCCCTGCGGGGGCATACAAAAGGCAACCAATCAATTTCTCTTGCATATCAATGTTTGTTTCCTTCTCTTTCTCCCCCCTTCCCCTCCCTCTAAAAATAAATAAATAAAATCTTTTAAACAAGATTTTCCCTAAGCCTCCAACCCCAGTAATTTTATTGTGCAGTCAGATTTGAGAATACCTGACCTCGCTCAGTTGTTCTCAAATCTGAGTGTGTATCAGAACCATCTGGGGAACTTATTAAAACATAAGTCTCTAGGTCCCATCTCCAGAGTCTTTGGCTGGTCTGGGTGGGACACAAGAGTTTTTATTTCTTACAAGTGATGCTGAGGCTGCTGGTCTGGGGACCCCATTTTGAGAACCACTGATGTAGCCAATCCTTTCTAGAGCCCACTGACCCTACTGCCAAAGGGTGTGCCCAAGTTTGCTCTTTCTCAGTAAAATGGGGCTCCTTGGCTTGGTCTTCAAACCTTGTCTTCTAAGCCGACAGAAGGAAGCCCTCCTCCCAGTGCCTGGGACTGAGTAAATGGGTTCTCTGCTTGGCTTCCAGTGCCTTTTTAAGCTTGGGCACTCCTTTTCCCAGGAAGAAACATCAATTCTTCACTGATTTCCCTTCCACTCATGAATCACAAACTGAGGCAGGGAGCTGGGAGTGTCATCCCTGCAGGGGGAAATTGTGAAGTCCTTGTTAACAGTCTCTCTTTGGCACCTCTGGGCTTCCTGTTTGGAGTGCCTTCCACCCTGGACTGTTTCCTTGCTTTCCTCCCCTCAGACTGCCCTCCTGCCATGCCCTCTGGTGTCCGTGGGTGCGTGTTTTTACAGGAATCATTTTAGCAATGCCGTAAGCGAAAAGAAGACATATTCACTGTGGAGTTTTAGGCATGAGCTGATGAGTAGGGGAGGATGCTCGGAGTCCCTGCGGCTACCCATAGGAAGCCACCCCGTAGAAGTCCTTGATGGGTCTGTGTCTGCTCTCCCTCCAGGCAAGGCTCCCGGCTGGTTCCTAGACTGGATAGAGGTGGACGCCCCGTCTCTTGGAAAGTGCATGACGTTCCCCTGTGGCCGCTGGCTAGCCAAGAATGAAGATGATGGGGCCATTGTCAGGGACCTCTTCCATGAGGAGCTTCAGACGAGGCTGTACACGCCATGTAGGAACCACACACAACCAGCATGGCCCTGTTTCCAGACCCCGTTACCCACCGCCGCTACTGTGCTCTGATCCCTCCTCCAGTGTCCACTCCGGGCCAGGTCCCGCTTAGAGACTTGGGTCTCAAGTTCCTTTCCCAAATTCCCTGCTCCCTGTGCAGGCTGTGGGCTGAGCCCTGGCCCCAGGAAAGAAAATATGGAACTTATTCCAAACTCCACCCCAAACTAGCTGGTGACAGCAGCTAGAGCCTGGCCTTTCTGGGGCTCAGTTTCTTCATCTGTAAGACAGAGATATTAAAGCAGATGGGTTGTAAGACCCAAAGGAAGAAAGATAAGGGTCTCACTGTGAGGTATCATTATCAGTGCTGTCACCTGTCCATATTCTAGTCGTTAAAAAGCCAGAGAAATCCCCACGATAAAGTTTTATCCTGAGTGGGAGACAAATGGAAAAGAAGGCAAACCTAATTTCTTTTACCTGCTAAAGGGCAAGAGGAAGGGGAATAACTGGGTGACATTTTGATACTTCCCTTCCACTATCATCATCAGAAAGTATGTATTAAATATTTCTATACATACAGGAAAATACTAGGTACTGGGACTCAAACTGAGGTCAACTGAGCTATAAAAATCTGTCTGAATATACTAAAATCTGAACTAAACCCAGAGAGTGCAGTTTCTTTTAAACCAAATAATTAGCTATATCAAAATATTTTCCCCAAACTACTCACACTTACTATAAATCAGTGAACAAAAAAATTTTTTTTTTGCCTACAGCAGTTAAACTGGCCATGACCAGATCATCCAAATACTTTTCAGTTCAAAGCCTAAAATAAAGTGACATTTTCTTCCAGTGAGGTCCCTGCATATACAAATCAAATTCTAGTTCCAGCCTCTGCCCCCAGGATTCTCCTGCAGTCACGGACAGACACACTGACCTGACAGACCCACACAGAGCTGGTGGTAGGATTGGGTGGGAACCTTCAGGCCAGAAATACTCATTTCTCCCTTCGTGCCCTAGGTCAGGCCTTGCTCTTCACAGAAAAAATAAAATAAAAAAGGATCTGTATGGCCTGACCTTGAATACATTCAGCAGTTCTAACTTAATATTAAAACTAATCCATCTGCCCTTTGTCTTACACTCACATTTGTCAAAAAAAAAAAAAAAGAGCAGGGCAGAAAAACTTGACTTTCAGACTGCTGAGCTATGGAGGCACCTTCAAAGTGTAGCTCTCCCTGGTTGGGGGGGGGGGCAGCACAGAGAAGAGGCCTCTGCCCCTCAGGACCTGCTTCCCTGATGGGTGAATGTGCTGGGGGCCCGAAGCGCAGGAGCTCCAGGGCCTGGGGAGCTGCGGTCCAGGGACGGTAGGTCACGGGCCCCAGCCGTTATCATCAGGGGCCTAGAAGGACTCAAGGCAGCTTATCAAGATCAACAGAACCACACAGCAGAGGCATATAAATTAGGAAGGGGGCTGTTGTGAGGTCTGAACTTATAGGCTTCCTGGAGGAGGTGGGACGGTGCGTAGATCCCTGAATGTCATGCCATGTCAGGGCTGGGAGGAACCTTAGTCTTCGACCTATGTTCTGAGGATCCCAGGCAGTTGGAATGCGTATCTGAGGGCAGCTTGTGGGAGGAAGAGAAAGGCTGAGAAGGGACAGCCCCTGGTCCCCAATTCATGCCATCCAGAATAGCACCTCGGGTCTAAAAAAGTCAAGGTTTTTTTCCCTGAACATTCTTGATAAATGTATTTATAAGAATTCTGCAGTTAAAGAAACTAAAAACCACAGATCTAGGAAAACTCCATAATTTTATAGGCAAGGAAGCAAAGGTCCAGAGAAGTATCGTCACTTGCCCAAGGACACACAGTAACTCAAATGGCAGCGGCAGAACTAAAAACTAGGAAGAAAATTGGAGCCCAGGCCTAGGGCAATAAGCCCAGACATTTCCAGGGCTTTTTCTACTGCCAGCTAGTCTCAGGAAAGCTCAAATCCATTGCCGGATTCTCTGCTCAAGTCCTCACGGGCAGTAGGCCATGGAGAAAGCCAAGAGCCCTGAGAAGAAGGGACTTTGTGCTGCAGAGAAGATGCCTCTGGCATTACCTGAGAGGCTGGGAGAGCCACACTGTGTTTCCACTTAACCCCCTGGTGAGAGCCCTGTTCGGGACCCTGTGGGACCAGCCATCACCTACATAGTCTGCCCCTCCCTGTGGCTTGTGAGTAGGCAACTGTACTCACCTTCAGATCAAGAGAATAGCACACACGGAGGTTGGTCACACAGGATTTGGTGTCAGATATGCCTGGGTTCAAGTTCAAGTTCTAGCAGTAACCAGCCATATGATGACTGAGGGTAGTCACTTCCCCTCTCTTGGTTTTCTTGTTTGTAAAACTGAGTATGGCAATGCCAACTTCACAGGGTCAACATGAAGGTAAAATGAGATAAGGAGTGTAGAATGCTTAGTATGGGGGCTGGCACCTAGCAAGCACCCAGTGAATGGTAACTACTATTATTACAAATATTATCATTGCAGTTCTACAGTAAGATAACTCTGATAATAAGCAAAGAGCAAATTCCTCCTGTGGAGAAAGTGTGGCCACCCATGGGGTGACTTCTGAAGTGACCCCTTTCAAGGGTCAGAATCACAGGATAGGGTAAATTACCTCTGGAACTGTTCTCTGGGTTTTCAATTTTTTTTTTATTGTGATCCAAGTAAGTATACACATTTATATGCAAATGAGACAAACTGAAATGTCCCAAAACACTCTTACCTCATTATGTGAGGTAACCATGTGAAAGTCCAGGGCCCTGGGCAGCCGCAGCTCCTGAGGAAGGGGTCTGGGGCCCTGGTGCTAGTGAAGAACTTGACCTCTCCCATGTTTGTTTTCCTATTGTCACATCTCCTCTGATTGTCCCTCTGTCCTTCACCTCTAGTTGTCCCTTACGAGATCACCCTCTACACCAGTGATGTCTTTGCTGCTGGGACAAATGCCAACATCTTCATTGTCATCTATGGCTGCGATGGCCTGTGCACCAAGCAGAAATTTCTATGCACCAACAAGAGGGAGCAGAAAATGTTCTTTGAGAGGAAGTCTGCCTCCCGCTTCATTATGGAGGTACGTGGGCTCACTAGGCTACTGGGGGGCCGGGACTTGGAGGGTGAGGGAGACCCAGAAAATCAATGAGGAGATGGAGCCCTGCATCTAGAGCCAGATGCATCTTTCGCTTTGATGGGCTGCTGTTAGTGAGGAAGGTAGGCAGTTCATCAGCCTCTCTGAGCCTCAGCACCTCTGAGAAGCCAGGAGGATGGTGAGCCTCGCTCTGTCCCTCCAGAACTAATGTCAGATCAAAGACCCTAAGGAGTGGATGGAGCTTGGGGAAACTCAAAACACAATTCCCAATCCACTGGGGCCACCTCAGTGCTACGAATGACAGACTCACTCCTTATATACCTTGGTGGCCCCTACTCATCCACCAAGTTATGGCCAAATGACCTGATACAGAACAGTCCATATGCTTCTGAGGGTTCTGTTTGGTCAATGTCTGCTATGGGCGTAGGTCTAAGCAACTTGGAAAGTTGTACATGTCAGCTCAGTGTCTCCTCTGTGCACTCACTGCATGTAAGCTTGGGTGGGAGAGACAAGAGAATGGGAAGACCCAGACTTTGCCTGTGAGGGTTTTGCAGTGCAGCTGGGGAAGCCCTGATTGCCACACAGATCTAATGAGAAAGTCAGATGATCATCATAATAACTGGTCCTGTGGGTAAGAAGGCACTGTCACAAGGCTTTACCTATATCGACTCACTCACTGGAGCACATCGAGTTCAGTAGCTTATGTAAAATCGCTCAACCAGGACACAGAGTAAGCAGGGTTCCAACCCAAGGGGGCTGGCTTGGAATATGTGCTCTTCGCCCCTGCAGGAGACTATCTTATGGGGATGTGGGCACTTGGTGGGGCTGACTGAGCCTGCTGTGGGTGTGCAGAGAAGGGAGAGGTTCCCTGGACACAGTGGCTTTGAGCTGCACATGAAAGTGGGCTTCAGCAGGAACAAGGAGTCATTCCAAGCCAGGGGAACATGATGGCCAAAGACCACAGGTGAAAATAAACACAGCATGTGGTTGGAGGTTTGGCCACAGGGCAGAGGAGGGGAATGACGTGACTAGGGTAGAGAAGCAGATGAAGCAGGATTTAAAGGGATGACTCTGAGGCAAAAGAGCTGGGAGTCTCAGAAGCCTGGACTCTCTGGGTAGTGGGGGCCTTTGGAGATGTGGCCCTTATTTTTCTGATGGGAAACAAACTCCAAAGCCCTTTCCTTCTTTGCTGGCCAGTGTCTGTCCTAGGAGCTCCCTGCTCCCTCTCCACCCTCTCTGAAAGCAGACAGTATTTGTGAGAAGGTTGCCACCTTGGTGGAATCTCTTAACGAGGGAAATTCAAGAATGATTCATCAATTCACACAAAACCACATCTCATCCACCCAAGATGTCATGGTGCCTGAGTCATCCAACCCTGCTGCTGTCAGTGGCTGGGCTGAGATTACGCCTCAGCATGACTTCCGGGGAGTTTTATCAATGAAGTCCTCACTAATAGATATAATTTGCCAGTCATCTGTTGCTATTTTTTCTTTTTTCTTTCCAACCTAGCTGGGTATTTGGGGTGTATGAGAGCTTGGAACACATGAACAAGCTTTGCCTTCCTTTCTCTCCATTTCTCTTTTCTGACTGATCTTCGGGTAAGAAGATGAGCACTGGGTGCAAGCCCGTAGCCCCAGGTTCTGGTTCTGGCTTCTGGTCCGCTGCTAGCTCATGAATGAGCCACCCCCTTCCTCTGTGGCCTCATTTTAAGGCACAGGAATTAGATGGAAAAAGCAATAATAGGTTATATTTATTGAGCACCTCCCATGTGCTAGCCTTGTTCTAACTGTGTGATGTATATAAGCTTGATCAATCCTCATCATCTTTCTGAGAGTTAGGTAGTACAATCATCCCATTTCACAGCTGGAAGGGCACAGGAAGGTCACGTAACTTGCTCACCATGTCGTAACTATAGAACATCAGAGCCTGAGTTTACACTCAAGCAGTTCAGTTCCAGAACCTTCTCAGCTTCACTCTTTCACCTCTTGGGAGAATGCCAGGATTCTCCCCCTTCTGATTCTGATGTCGTCTCAGTCATCCCTGGGGCCCACTGTCCATGGCCAGTGGTCCCCTAAGCCTTCCTTGCGGCTATCTGGAGGGGTCGTGGCCGAGATGGCCTCCCTGGCATGGCACACATGACTGAGTGGCCAGATGATTAAGGGTCATCGAAGCCAAGGTCTGCATATCTCGCACTCCAGAGATGGGATGGGGAGGAAAAAAAGAGGCCCCTGGTGAGAAGGAGAGGCCATGAGTCCTCAGTCCCTGGTTCTGCTGGGCAGCTCAGTGTCCTCACGTGGAGATTCTGGGAGCCAAGGATTCCCCCATAGCCTCCGTGTTTCTCTGCTATGAAAGAATAAGGTCCTCCCTAAAAATGTCCACAGCATTAGCCTCTGCCTGAAATCACCACCCTTTATTTAATGATTCAGAAAGCCTGCGGGGGCTCTCGGGGCACTGTACTTCTCTGACAGAGCTGCAGGAGTTGGCCAGTGGGGAGCTGGGGCATGGTGCAGGGCAGCAGAGGCAGCAGCAGCTGGAGCAACCTTGTTCATTTACGGTCCCTGGCAGTGTGGGACCATGCTGCTCACCTAGGAGGACATAGTTGATAAAAAGAGCCAGGTCTGCAACCTTAGACCTAGAAGTGACCTCAGTGGGTTACCCTGCCCATGCCCCTTTCTTCATCTGAGACTAGTCTCCCCCATTTTACAGATGAAGAAGTCGAGGCCTGGAAGGTCAAGTGGTTTGCCTCAGGTCAGCTCACGGATGGCAGAGCCAGAGTTGCTGTTGGGAAGGGTGAGGGTGGGGGTGGGAGCAGGGACAGGTTCCTCCGCCTCCCCTTGGCATCAGCTGTGGGGGGGGGTGTGAGGAAGGAGGAAGCCTGGTCGGAGGCTACACCGGTTCATTCGGAGGTCACTTCCGTCTAGGACTATAGAGGCTTCACATTTGATGAATGACTCAATCATTCAGCTGCCACTCACTCCCCAAGAACCCTCATTCAGTCCAGAGCTGACTGTGCCATTTCCTTGTAACTCTGAGAACTTGGTGGAGCAGGCAGGCGGGCAGCTCCACAGAGGGGCTGACAGGAAACTCAAGTCTGCACGTACCCCATTTGACCCCCCAACATCTGTCGAATCACACCTCAAGGCATGATGAATTCCATGGACCAACCTTGAGCCAGGGCATCTGGGTATTCCCCTGCCCTTCCCTTTGCCCAGATTCCCTCACCTATTTCTTATCCTGTTATTGCCCAGAGGCTCGTAAGGATAAGGCAGGGTGCAGAAGGATATATTTAGCACCATTTCAGAGGAGAGCATGACACACGAAAGCTGGGAGAGACCCAAGAGGCTCCTGGAGGCCCTGGGGTGGCAGCGTGGCAGAGACAGCCAGGGAGGCAGGTGCCAGCTGGCTGGATGACCTTGCCTTGCCCTCACTACTTCCTTAGAAGGCTCCAAGAGAAGCATCGGCCATTCCTGACTGGGTCCTTTCCCTGCACCCTCCAGGCGGGAGAGAGAAGAGAGGGCAGCTGCTGAATTTCAGGGACTCACTATGGCCACACATCAGTGGGACCTTCACACGCACCATCGTGGTTAGCATTCAACACTGCACAGGAGAACAACTGGCTGCCTTTATCACACGCATTTTTGCAGATGAGGAAATATTCAGTCTTCCATTCTTTCTTGACAGAAAGGACACTTATTCAGTACCTAGGTCACAGCTGTTTCCTAGGCTTTAGGGAGCCTGCCCGGTAGCTTTCAGTGGTGGAGGAGAAGATACCACACAAATAAATGCAAACTCCCGGCTGTGAGAAGTGCTCTGGGTTGGGGCAGGGGGTGGTCTGTGGGATGCTGTAAGAGCTTCTCATGAAGAGATCCGACTTTCTAGAGGTGGTCAGGGGCTTCTCTGAAGAAGTGATGGTTGAGCTGAGACCTGAGTGATCAGGTGGAGCAGACACTGGTTTAGGGATAGAAGAGGAAAGGGGAGGGGCAGGGGAAGCATGTGTAAGGGTCCTGTGGCAAGAAAATGTCAAGCGTGAGGGACTGGAATTGGAAAAATATAAAGAGGGACATCTAGAGGTGGAGGGGACTCTTAGGGGGCCAAGGAAAAGATCAGGCTGGCATAACAGGGCATGGGCAGAACCAGAACTCACCTTCTGACAGCCAAGTCTCAAGCAGGAAATAAGCTGCTGCAATGATAAGGAATGAAAGGCAGAGAGACAGGCTCCACCATGAAGAGGGAACAGCCTCCCAGACACTGAACTGAGGCAATTGAACTGAGATGAGGCTGATTTTAAGTGGGGAGAGTGGAAGGGAAGCATCAGCGTGGCGTCGCATGTGTAGGGGAGCGTGGGGGCTGGCTTGGCTTCCAGAGGTCACTTTCTCCCAGTACAATGGGACACACTGGGGGAAAACAACCTCTGGAAGTTCAAAAGGACTCCAGGGTGCCCCAGGGAGGCAGGTTTTTGCTCAGGCTGTGCTTTCTTGGACCTGTCAACCAACACCTGCTGTGTTTTCTCCTTTTCAAAGTTAGAAGACGTGGGAGAAATCATTGAAAAAATCCGGCTCGGCCATGATAACACAGGCATAAACCCCGGGTGGCACTGTGCCTATGTGGAAATCCGCAGGCTCCTCCCGGATAAAGATGTGAGTTTTGGATTGATCTGACCTGCTGTTTCCTTTGCCCCTTTCAGAAGAGTCTCAAGACAGATTCATTATAAGAACCTGCAGCCTTACGAAGATAAAATCTTCTGAGAAAAATCCCCACAGTTCACTCAGAGTGCAGAAACTAGCTCAGCTTCCAGGCAGAATCTTTTAGAACTTGGTTTAGGGGTCAAGGAGGAGGGTCTGGGCAGCCATGTTTCTGCTCCCCACCCTACGGCCACACTACTAGTAAGTGACCGGCCATGCCCTTTCTGTTACTCAAGGTCAACCCATAGAAGGTATCCACCCGACCAACTTGGCAAACAATCTGAAACTATAGAATTCTAATCCTAAAAGGCAGCTCTCAGTCGTGCCTGTGGATATGAATGACTTGGGAGAAATTAAAAAATACAGACTCCCTCCCCTTACTCTTTTGAATCCGAGTTTCCAGGATGGGATTTAAATGTCTATTTTTATGTGACTCTGGGGACCCCAGCCTTCAAGAACCAACCACTGATGTGGTTGTGTAAGTCTTCAAGTAAGACTTGGTCTGCTAGGACTGGAGCAGGGCTGTGGCTTTTGCATCATTTATGGAGCTCCATGACCCTTGTTCTTGGTCCCCATGAGTGTTGCCCCACTGATGAACCACTGAAGTTGGCAGTTTCCATATTAAGGGCTAATTTTTCTCTTGCTGCCTCACCCCAGGGTACAGAGACTGTGACTTTTGCTTGTGATCGATGGCTTGCCACCTCGGAGGATGACAAGAAGACTATTCGAGAACTCGTTCCTTTTGACATCTTCACTGAGAAATACATGAAAGATGGGTCCTTAAGGCAAATCTACAAGGAAGTGGAGGAGCCACTGGACAGTAAGTGCGGTGTGATCACCCTCATCCTCCTCCCTGGCAGGGCACCTGCCCTGTGCCCGGCAGAGCCTTTACTCCCAGGACAAAGAGTCTATTATTATCTGCGTTCCATGGAGAGGACAACCGAGGCTCACAGAGGTTACATAACCTGCCAAAGTTCACAGAGCTAATAAATGGCAGGGCTATTCTTCAAAGTTCTGGGTGTCTCATTGCAAGGTTTGCACTCAAATCCTTTCCTGGTCTGACACCGTGTTGACGAGTCCAGATATGGGTCCTCCTGTGCCTGGATTATCTTGGTTCCGGTCCTCTCCTTTCTCTTGGTTTATTTGGCTGCAATCTGTGGGGCTCGTCCTCTCCGCTCTTGCTGGATCCAGGTGTTCCAACCAAGGGTGGATCCCGAAGCATCTCAGATTACTCTGTACCTAGAGCTGTTGTAGATTTGTCCTCAGGAACTGGGTGCAGCTTCAGATTGCCCAAGGTCATGGGTTTCTCTTCATCTTGTGCCCAGGTGACTTTGCCCATTCCTTATTGCTGTGGTTTTCTCTGCGGGATTTGCACCAGCCAATCACACACGCTGTCGTTGTACCTCCTTTGCTGTTGGAGCACCATTTTCTGGTTCTCACCCTACCTCTCCCACCAAATGCTGTTTCCCTTCTCATACCAGGTGGCATTGCTTCAGGCTCGGTCCTCAGCCTCCTCTTCTCCTTCCCTTCTACATCGTGTGAGTGTGAGAGAGCACACACATGTGCACACACGCACCTGGATAGAGTCTCCCCACTGTTTCGACCAGCGATGCCACTGTCCACACCCACCTCCGTGTTATTCCCCAGCTGGTCAGCTGTGAATAGGCTTCAGCTGTGTCCAAAGTCAAATTCACCTGCAGAACCACCAGACTTTTTACCACAGGCAACATACAAAAGAATACTTTTGAATTTAACTTTGATAAAAGATCAGAGACACTCCCAAACCTTGGAAATCCATCTTCTATTTGTTGCACTGCTTTTTTGGAAAAAACTGGAGTAAAACCCAAGATTCCAGACCCCATATGGAGCCAGGAGGACATAAAACAGCCCTAACATTTCCTTTAATCTGCATTGCCACTGCTTAGAGATGAAAACAAGTGTTGCCTCAACAGCATGCCTTTCCCTGGTCCTATCTTTTCTCTGAATTTTCTTCTCTATTAACTCTGGGGGATAATTCCCTTTTGTACTTGGAACCCAGAGGATGCCTTGGAGAGCTGTCCCAGCAGCACCCTTGGGCTGCTCTGGATTAATAATGTGTTGCAGACCTACTGTGTGCTTGGTCGTGTTTCTAGGGAGCCATCTTTCCACTGAGAGCTGTGTGGCCTGGTTGGGGCAGGGAGCCGGGAGGATCCAGAAATAGCCAGATTTGACTGCAACACCCAGAAGCTGAATTAGTTTTCCTAATTCCGAAAAGCCTGTCGAGAGCCGTGGGGGTGGAAGGAGAGGAACAGGAAGCACGTTTACTCACAGTTCCTGGTGACATGGCACCCCGCTCTGGGGCAAGGGCTCCTAGAAAATGCCCTGCCCCCGTGTGAAGCGGGGCTGAGACACAGCTGGGAAAGAGATGGAGAGAACGATTGGAGTGAGGGAAGGGGAGGACAGCTAATTGTCATGTCTCAACTGTGACAAGATTCCTAATGTTACTCTTGTCAGTATTAGCCAGGCAGGCTTGGGTAACATTGACTCTTTTTAACTCTGAAGACAAGATTTTATTTTGTCACACAACACGTGAAATGCTGGCTGGACGCTACAGTGAGCTGAGTGAGGTGGGCGTGGGGGGCAGTGTGACTAGTCCTGGTTCTTGCCCTTGAGGGGAGCAAGCCTCCTAGAGCAATTCTCACGGTGCACCCATGAGGTCTGGAGAGCAAGTGCTGGGTGGGGCCACGGAGACAGGGAGGATGGGTGGGGAGAAGGTTTGGAAAAGGGGGCGTGGGAGGGGTGGATTGGAGGTTCAGATGTGTGTTTCAGGTGGTCTTGCTCAGGTGGACGGGTCTCCTAGGTGACAGAGGCAGGGGTCCAGAGGGCAGCAGGGCACTGGGTTGGAGACAGAGACGTGGGGAACTCCAGGAAGTCAACACTCAGGACTCGCAGGACAGAGCTGCAGGCGGTGAACAGAGCCAGGTGACACTGGCTTGGGGTGGGGAGCCAAAGATCAGGAACCTGCAGTGCTGCTCACGGAGGAGCTTCCACAGAGGCAGAAGGAGGCGGGGGAGGATAATGTTGTGGGATCCAGGGAAGACAAAGAAAATAATGGGAACCCTGTGTGGGCGTGAATGTGCTCCATAACCGTGAGTGTGAGCAATTCACATCACCTGACCCTTCTAAATGTAATGAAATGTGGTTCTGAGCCCACTTGCAAAGTCGGTAAGAAAGTCCATCTCAGTGACTGCAGGTAGGGGACCCCCTTTTAGGGTCGTATGTGCATCTTGAGGCTAGTGACTCCAGAGCGCACCCAGGTCAGGCATTTCCCTGCGTCTTTCCCCTGGAAGACACAGGTGGCTGGGTGGGTAGATGGTTTGAGGGGTGCTGGGAGCGGCCCCCATTCTTTGAGTCTGAGAGGCCCCTGTGTCCAGATCAGATGGGCAAGCTGCCCACTGGTGAATCCATGTGGAATTGTAGCAGAATGTGCATAATTGAGCAAATAATAGGAAAACACTAACTTGCTGAGGCCTGGGCCAGAAACCTAATAATACCTCTTATAAATCCAGTTCCTCCAAACCTAAAGCAATGCTATTCTTTTCTTCCCTTTGTCTGTCTGTCTGATTGCCTGTCCAGTTGTGCTGTACTCGGTGCAGATCTTCACAGGAAATGTTCCTGGGGCAGGAACAGATGCCAAGGTCTACATCACCATCTACGGGGACCTGGGAGACACCGGGGAGCGGTACCTCGGCAAGTCAGAGAATCGCACCAACAAGTTCGAGAGAGGAACGGTAGGAGGAGCACGCGGAGCTGAGCCCCTTCCCTTCTCCTTCCTGGGGCCAGATATCTGGGGGCCAGCTCTTCTTGGTCCCCAAGGCTGCCTGGGACCTTCGTGGGGTGTCCTGAACCCTCACGAAGACATTCACTCTTGCCCTCCCCCTGCAGAGGGCTGGTCCTCTCTCTCGGACCCGGGCTCTGCCTGTGGGGTGCAGATGGGGCTCCAGCAAGCAAGAGGCCTGTCTGAGCTCTGGGTTGCTGGTTGTCAGGACTTGGTCATCTTCAGAAAACCCAATCCCCTGTGGGCGGACTGTGAGAGTATCGGTGCACATCTCAGAGTAATGAGGCTGCATCCACGGAGGCTTGAGCTGTGGGCGGGGGGCGGGGCATTGGAGGTCGGTTCTGCCATCCTCTCCTCATCAGGTTGAATCCCTCTGCCCTCGCTGTCCTCACGTTCAAGATGAAGGGTCTGATATCAGTCAGCCTAAGTGTGTTGTGCACCACCCTCGAGAACCATGGAGGGGCTGGGGGAGCAGATGGGCACCTACTCCCCCCACATGTGGATCCATTTGACCTGGCCTGTCTACTGGGGCACCAAGCAAGTCCTCTACTAAGCAAAGTACTCTGTGGCTCAAGAAAGGCTTGAAAACTATGCGACCTGATGGCATCTAAGGCCCTACCAGCTCTGACATTCCGTGGTTTTACAAAAAGGAAGAAGTCTGTCCAAATGTCCCTTCCCACCAGCTCAGCTTCTGTTTCCCAGCCCAGCTCTTCTCTCTTTCACGCCCTTTCTGCCTCAACCCCTTCGCTCGCTCCTCAGCTTCTTTCCCGTCTGTCCATTCACCTACATCTGCTGGAAATCCCCACAGGCCAGGCTGCGGCCACAGGGTGATCAGAGCCAGGTGATTGGCTCCTAACCCAATCCTTGGTTAGGAGCTCGCGTGGGGCCTTGAGCGTGTGGGGATTTTGTGCATCCTCCAGTGGGTGTTTGTCGGGGCCTCCTTGAGCCTGATCCTCAGCCAAGCGTGACCTTTGGTGCCGAAACATTTGCTAAAGGCGAGGAGGAAGTTAGCTCTGGGACAAGGAAAGCAAGTGTCCTCTAAGTAGGTGTGCAGCTAGCTGGTGACCCCATGAGCCAGTCTACCTTGGAGGGAGCCCCACCCTGACCTCAGGGTGCCAGGGCAGTCAGGCTCAAGGCTCCCATTCATTTGCTCCATCATCCAGATATGAACCTTTGCTCTTCAGCTCTGGCGACTCCTTCTGAAGTGGGAAGAGCAATGTGATAGCTACTTAGACCACTGGGCTGAAAAGCAGGTCAAGACATATGTAAGAACACTTTGTATCAGGGAGAAATAATTTCACACCCACACACGCCCACACACACACTCACTCACACCCTCACACACGCACAAGATACAATTTCCCCTGCACTGGTAGGATAGTTAATAGTAAGTCTGTCTGTTTTGGAAAAATGAAATGCCAAAGAGGTCAAGTGACTCATTCGGTGTCCCGGATTCTATAGTGGGGACACGATTACCAGGCTCACTCATGTGCTGCTGTGGAACGTGGCTGTGCTGAGCGGTGGTCAGGAGCCCGCCCCGTGGCTGGGACCCCATCCCCTGGCCTCACGTCCCGGCTCTGACACTGACTAGCTGTGATCTTGGGCAAGCTACTTAGCAGAGAGATCTACCTCAGTTTCCTTTGCCATATAACAAGTTAACTTCATTAAAACACACGAAGAGCCTGGAACTGTGCCTGGCACGAAGTTGGCTCTTTGTCAGTTGGCAAGGCTTGGGAGGGCACACCTTTCCCACCTTCACTGGCGCCTGGAGCAGATGCCTGGCAAATGCTTGTACCAGGCACACGGCTGCTAGATACATTTTGGTTCGTGGCTTTATGCACTGAGCCTGGGACAGAGTTGGCACAGTGGATGTTTGCTGAGTGAATACATGAATGAAAGTATACATGAAGGCAATACCACTCATTCTCCCCTCTGTGTGCAGAGTCATATTTTCTTCTCTCTTAGCAATCGTGGTATCACAACAAAAATCTTTGCTGCCTTCTGCCCAGGCTTTTCTCTCCCCGTCCTCTGGTTTTGATGTCCCATCAGGGGAGCTGCGGCTACTGCGAGCTTAGTCCCTGATGATTTATGTGACTTTATGTTCACTGCCTCCCTCCTCAAAGCTTCCATATCTTGAATCACTTGCTGCAGAATCCGGGAGTTATCCCTGATGCCTCTCTTCTCTCAGTACCCCTCCTCACCCACATTCATCAGTCACCAAGTCGTAAAGATTCTCCCTTCTAAATTTCAGATCAGCCCAGTCAACTCCCTCTCCACCCAGTCCTTATCTACCTAACTTACCAGGCCAGCCTGGCTCCCTGCCCCCAGCCCCTGAAATCCAGCCCACCCTCTGGGCTTCCCCAATTTACCTACTCAAAGCTGACAGAGTCACTCTCTCACTTGAACCACAAGGGGCACCCCACCCAACCCGCATCCGCCCGAGCCCTGCATGACCCCCAGCCCAGCCAGCCTGTGTGGAATGCCAGACCCTCGGCCTTGGTGGCCAGAATGCCCCACACTGACCCCTGTCTCTGTGTCCTCCCAGGGCTTTTCTCTGCACCTGTGTATATGTGCCCATAAAAAATATATAATGCCGTTCTGTAGTTTTAATGTTTTTGTAAAAGGCATCATCCTATGCCAATGCTTCCTCGGCTTGCCTTTGGCATGCAACGGGACATCTTGGAAGTCTTCCATGTCCGGTATTCAAACATCAACAGGGCTGGCTCGTTCTTTATAGCCACCACACACATAAGGTTCCACACACAACACCGACATTGTTATTGGGCTGCTCCCCAAGCACTGAACACCTACTGGCTCCCAATTTTCCACCACAAAAATTATCCTGCAGCAGACGTCCTTGTTCACAGACGAAGGTGTCGCCCCAGGACAGATGCAGAAAAGTGGGACTGCTGTGCCGTGAGGGGTGCCCACTTCTGCTCTGATGAACTCGGTCACTGGCCAGTGCCCCAAGGGCCTGCACAAGTCCGCACCTGCCCTCAGCCATGCACCGTGCACCTGCACATCCCCCGGCCCTGGCTGCCTGGAAGACCCAGCCCCCCATCTTCGGCTTAGTGCCACCCCTGGGGGAATCTACCCAGCCCTGCCTCTAGTCCTCCCACAGGTGGCTACTTCCACCACCTGGGCTGTCCCAAGGAGGAGCAGAGGACATCCCAGAGTACTGATCTCTGGGGTCCCATTGCTCAGTGGAGTGATTTGGTTGATCTTTCAGAAGAAAAGTAGGTGTCACCCACGGTTACCTGTCCCTCCTCCTTCTTCTCCTCCTGCCACATTCAACTTGTGTTTTGACTGTACTTCACCCAGGGCCTGGAACGCCACATCTCGCTGAATGGTGTTCAAAGAATCCAAAGACCTCGCTGTGTAAGGTCACCTTCCTGAAGCTACAGTCAGGGACACAGAGAAGGGCTTTATGTCACCCTACACAGAAGCGTCCTGAACCCACGCCCCTGATGCTGTGCCCCCCACTCTCCTCAGCCTGCCTCCACCAGAGACCGCAGCCCAGAGGGCTGGCTCCTCCAGCTGCCTCCCTCCCGCCCCCCTTGGAAATTTCATGTCCTGCCCGTCATTCAGAAGGGTCCTGCCTCTCCCTCAGCTCTTACCCTTCAGCCTCCAACCTGAGCTCATGCTGATACTCGACGTGACTAAGGATGTCCAGTTACCAGGACAGGGCGCAGCACCCTCCTCTGTCCCATCGCACTCCCACAGCTCATCGGAGTCCGTCTTCCAAACACCCACAGGGAGTTTCCCAAGGGAACTGGGCTGCAAACAGGGCCATTGTACCGCGAGGCCTTGGCACAGCACACTCCGTGTTAGGGACTTGGGCCTGGAGGGCCCCCAGCCGGGAAGGTCTGCGTAGCCCAATTGTTGAGGGGTGTGGAAGGTACCGGATGGATGGGGTTGGAGTGGGAGGAGGTGGGAAACACCCCCACTCAAGTCCCCACGTTCGGACTGTCCAGGCCGACACTTTTATCATCGAGGCTGCCGACCTGGGCGTCATCTACAAGATTAAGCTCCGCCATGACAACACTAAGTGGTGTGCAGACTGGTACGTGGAGAAGGTGGAGATCTGGAACGACACCAATGAGGACGAGTTCCTGTTCCTGTGCGGGCGCTGGCTGTCCCTGAAGAAGGAGGACGGGCGGCTCGAGAGGCTATTTTATGAGAAGGTGCGTGAAAGGCAGTGGGGGGGGGCTCAGCCATGGCTTGTCATCATCCTCGCACTTGAAGGAGGCCCCCTGGGGCGGAAGGTGCCGGAGATATGACAGGCCTGGGACCTGCTCTTCCCGACAGGAGTACACTGGGGACCGGAGCAGCAACTGCAGCAGCCCCGCTGACTTCTGGGAGCTCGCCATGAGCTCCAAGATGGCCGGGGTCGACATCAACACAGTGACGGGAGTCATGGCCAGCTACGTTCAGGATGGCCTGGGTAAGCCAAACAAAGGGCTTGTCAGAGCAGGAACAAGTGCGTGGCAGTGTGTTTAAGGTGTCCGTGGACAGGCCGTGCATTGGCCCCACCGTTACCTGACTTACTGCAAGGTCAAGCCCCACGTGACAGCACCAAGAGGTGCACAGGCTTGGTGAAGGTGGCCCCACTGATGAAGGTGTCTAGTGTACTATCTGATGTCTTAAAATTTACACACAGTTTTCACACCTATTGCCTGTTTCCATCCCCACAACAACCCTGAGAAGGCAGGGATTAGCCTGGTATAACAAGCAGATGCACTTTGCTCGGAGCCAGGCCATGGGAAGGAATAGAAAACAGTGCAGGTAATGCCAGCCAGGAAGGTCTAGTTTGCAAACTTTTCAAAGAGGTACAGAATGCATAACTTATAACCCACTATACCAGGGCAGTGTCTCCCAAGCTATTGAGGAAGATGGGCCAGGTGAAGGGTTTCCAAACTTGTATCAATTTGTTAACTGCAAGTTAGCGACAGAGACGTGAAGATGGTGACTTAAACAATTGAGGGATTTTTCTTTTCTCTCATGGGGAAGTTCAAGGGTAGGCAGTTGGTACTAATGTAGCAGCTCCAGTAAAGTCAGGGAGCTAGGTTCTTTCAACTTAATCACTTTGGAAACCTCACAAGCAGCTTCCAGCCTCACAGTCCCTTATGTTGCCAAGATGACTGCTGGAGCTCCAGCCATTACATTCATACCCCAAGCAGAATGAATAGAAGGGTAAAGAGCAAAAAGGGCTCCTCCCTGTTGAGTCAGACCCTTTAGAAGCAATTTTCCCAGTGACATCTGCTTACCTATCATGACCACCCCCAGCTGCATGAAGAACGGATACTGGATGGGCAACTAGGACCCTGTGCCACATTACCTGAGTGCGGTTTTTAAATGCTGATTAGTCTGGGCTAGTGGATGGAAACAGATGCTTTCTGGGATTTTCATTTACCATGCTACATATATAATACTCTCTATTCTGCCCTAAATCCCCATCTTCTGTGAGACCTTGGTCTGGCCAACCTCACTTTTGCTGACAGTGAGCGTTTCAGGCATCCCCTAGACTTGCGGGGAAGCTCTTCTCACTTCCACTTCACATGGGTGCATGAGGTGCAGTGAAGTCTTCATGTGGCAAGGACACTCTCTTCGATCTTCACTTGTGGGTGACCGACTCCCTCCTCCTTGGACAGTAGACACTCACCAGAGATAACGTGCCCTCCTAGAGCACGCCCTTGCCCTTTGTCTTGGAGGCAGGGAGACGAAATCTCCAAGTCTCGTTTCCAAGTCTGCAGATCCTGTTCCGGTCCACCTGGCTTGTCATAAGGCTGGGCCCCCTGATCTCTTGCAGTCATTCCCTACTACGTGTCAGTCACCACTGGAAAGCACAAGGATGCAGCCACTGACAGCCGGGCCTTCGTCATCCTCATTGGGGAGGACGATGAGGTCAGTAATCGCATCTGGCTGGACTACCCTGGAGACAAGAAGGGGTTCAGCTGTGGTTCTGTGGAGGAGTTCTACGTTGGAGGCTTGGATGTAGGCGTCATCAAGAAGATAGAGGTGCTGGTCCCTGGGGCCTTGGGATGATGACCACCCCCAGGGAAGGGAGGAGCTGACTTGGGGCGGGGGAGAGGGAGAGTGGAGGGTGGGCAGAGCAACTGACCTGAGAGCGGGGGGCAGGGGAAGACCTCCTCGCCTCTGCCATCACCTTGGGTGAAGCACCCACCCCTCCGCATCCCAGTTTTCCACCCAGCCAAGGGGTGGGGATGCCTTGTGTATTAGTTTTCTGTTGCTGTGTAGCCAGTGACTGAAAACTTGGTAACTTAAGTGCACAGTTTCTCACACATTTTCCTGGGTCAGGAATCCAGGAGGGAGTGAGCTGGTTCCTCCTCCCAATGTGCCACTGAGCTGAAATCAAGGTGCTACCAGGGCTGCAGTCTCCCCTGGGCTTGGGACCCTGTGCAAAGCCCACTGGAATTTGGTGAAGCTGTTTCCTTGTGGGTGGAGGTCTGAGGCCTCTGCTTCCCAGAGGCTGCCCATGTTCCCTGCCACGTGAGCCCCTCCAAGACATGGCAGTTTCCCCAAAGCCAGTAGGAGGTGATGTTTTCTGCTTCAAATCTCTCTGACCTCTTCCATTTCTGACGTCCAGACCCTCTTATAAAAGGGCTCGTCTGATTAGGTCAGGCCCACCCAGAATAATCTTTTTATTAACTCAAAGTCTTCTGATTAGAGTCCTTAATTGTATCTGCACAATCTTTTCCCCTCGTGGGAGGCACCTTGGGTCAGTAAGTCAAGAACATGTTGGAAGGAAGCATTGCAGAAGGAGTCTGCAGAACCTCCTGCAGGAGAGGGGGGCTCCTAAATGACCTGGGGAAGGGGATGCTGAGCAAGGCAGGGAGGGCTTCCTTCCCAGTGTGTCCAGATGCTCATGGCCCCAGTGTGTCCCCTCGCAGCTGGGCCATGACGGGGCCTCCCCTGAGAGCTGCTGGCTGGTGGAGGAGCTGAGTCTGGCTGTGCCAACCCAGGGCACCAGGTACACACTGCGCTGCAATTGCTGGCTCGCCAAGGACCGAGGAGATGGCTTCACCTCCCGGGTCTTCGACCTCCTGGATGCTACGGTGGTGAACATCGGGGTGAAGGTGTGGAGGGGCCTGTGTGTGTGCCTTGCACAGCTAGAGCAGGGTATACTGGGGTGAGCAGTAGTAGGCAGATAAATGTGAGGGAGGCAGGAAACTCGTCACTGGGGCGCTGGTTGAAGCTGCAGCCTGGAATACCAGCCACATGGGCTTTGCTTGGAGCCAGGAGACCCAAGTCTCTTCTGGCCTGCCACTGCTTGACCTTGAGCAAGCCATTGGCCTCTCTGGGCCTTGGTCTTCTCAGATAGCACATGGAGATGGTGTTTTCCATTCTGTTCCACGTAAAACCCTAACTAATACAATCATGAATTGTCCGTGATGAGGTTTGCAAAGTCACGACTCTACTTAGGTGCTCAGAGTCATTATTCTCCAAGTATGCTCGTCAACACCAGTAGGACAGTGATGAGGACAGACGGCACTTGGGATTCTGTGAGCCTCTGGGTCTCAGGGTGTAGTGAGAACTGTTGCACAAGACCCTCCTTAAGCAGAAAAGCCTAGAAGGCAGGAGCTCTGTGCTCCTGGTACCACCTCTCACTGGCTAAATGACCTGGGGTGAGTTATGTAAACTCACAGGTCAGTGCTGGGCAGGAGGCAGATGTCTGGGTGCTGATGCCCAAGGAAACACGGCCAGTTGGCATCCCAGAGGCCTCTGGTTCATGTGACCCTACAGGCTTCTTTTCTCTCTAAAAAGCTGTGGGGTCAACAGAAGGTTTTAGTCCTCGTCTCTGTTCCTGAATCCAAACCACTGGGGTTTAAGTCGGCAGCTGCCGACTTAAAAGAGTCCCTGAAAAGGAGTCAGTCTGCCCCTGCATGCACCCTGTTATATTGTCTTTGGAAACAGAAGGAAGGGCTGAGTAATGAGGCTGTAAAAACCTTGACAGGCAGGAAGGTGGATGCCTGCCCCTCCCTCACTTGAGGGCCAGAGGGCAGAGCATTCTACAGTACAGACAGCCTCCCTCCCTTCCCTAGTCATCACCTGTGGCCAGACGGTCTGCATGGGTGAGCATACAGTTCATCCAGGGACCTCTGTCCTGACCCAGTTCCAGCATTCACATGGGTATGTGTGTGCCTGTGTGTACACCACCCACCAGCACCCCCCACCCCCGACTCAGTGCAGCTGTATCACCCCTGAGCTCTTTAGTCCATGGAAATCTGGACCCACATCCCTGTTAGTCATATTACAAAATACACGTTACATATTGTGGGTTGTCCTGACCGGTGTGGCTCAGTTCAGCATTGTTCTGCAAAGCAAAAGGCTGTGGGTTTGATTCCTAGTCAGGGCACATGCCTGGATTGCAGGTTAGGTCCCCAGCTGGGGCATGTATGAGAGGCAACTGGTCAACATTTCTCTCCCTGTTGCCACGGTCCAGCCTCGGCAGGTTCCAGGGGTCCCGAAGGTGGGTAAGGTGTCGGCGATGGGTAATAGACGACATCACGCCTCAAAGGACAGTGAAGCTCTGTTTCGTTTATTGCAAGCACAAGCAGGTTTTTATATTTTCATTTCAGGTAGTGATTAACATTTGCAGTATAGCATGATCAGTTAAGCAGAAAAAATCAATACAAAGGTAACCAGGAAAAATATGAAAGTTCCCATAGATTTAGTTATATTAAACAAAGATTATTTTGACCAGGAGAGCCATTAATCAGACAATTAGAAGTAGCTGTATGTACAGAATTTGAATGTCTTATTGTATATTAAAATTTCTCAGAATTTGTCATGGGGCAAAAGGATACGCTAGATTGAGTAGAGGTAATAGGAAATTTATTATAAGGCCTTTGTGATGTCTAACTTAGCTATCTATCCTTTTCTGTCTAAAATGTTTCTCTGTGTACTATAAACTCTGACTCTTTAGTAACTGTTTCTGTGTGTTTAGTTTGTAATAACTAGCCAGCTTTTGTTATTTCTTTGCCTGTCTAATTGATATATATTCTTATTCAAGGTAAAGGAGGGGTTGTTACCCCAACAACTTTTAAACATTCAGGGACTATTTCATTAGAGGGAACTTTGTTCTCTGGTCAAGAAATTATTTTGTACAACTTCATTGGAATTGTGCGAATCAATGAGCCTGAAATGCAGGTGTCTAACAATTCCACCACCTTTTGATCACCCAAACAAACATGTAACTTGTTTTTCTTATTTCTGGTACACTATGGCGGTCCTGATCACTTTAAGTTGCTCAAACCAGGGTAATTTATACAACTTGACATGTTTTCCCTTATGGTTAACAATTATATTACCCTGGCTGTTGTACTCCACTGTATAAGGGAGAAGGGAAATCTGTGGAGATTTTTCCATTCTTTCAGGCAGTTTCATGGGGAATACTAATGTTTTCCCCTGAATTGTCCCTTCCTCTTTGGTGATTTTCACAGGAATAAGTAAGTACAGTAAAATGTCTATATTCAGCAGCAAGAGTAAAATAATTAAAATAAGACAGCCAATTGTTAACCCATTTTGGATGCCACGTTCTCCTCCGGGGAGACAAATTCCTTGAACTCAAATCCTCCATGCCCAGACCTTGTCAGACAACATGGTTGGAAGAGGACATGGCACCCTGTCCTTCTCCTTCCTTTCCTCTCTCTAAAAATAAATAAATATATATTTCTCAAAAAAGCAAGAACACAGGTTTGTTACTTTACGAAGAATCACAGGGTTCTTTGGACCAGCCATCTTCCCAGGATGTCTGATATCAGACTGCATTTACATAATTCCTGTTTCATGCTTCTTTCTGGAAACACACCTGTGACATAAAAAGAGATGTGTCTCTGTGTGAAGGACAGAAACAGGGACATGAGAGCACAGGCGCCTGGAGGGGGCAGCCTTAAGGGGTCCGTCTCCTTGGGACCACAGAGCACATTCCGCTTTTCACGCCTGTCTGGGTAAGAGCAAAGAGCACCAGGCTCCTGCCTTCATTCTCACTGGCTCTGTGCCCACCACAGACGCTCTTGTTAGGTGCTCTAAGCGGATTTTTCTGGTAAAGCAAGGCACTCCCTCGGCAAACCTGCCCTCTGGGCCAGGCCTGAAAATACTACCTCTAATCTTGCAGTATCACAGCAAAAATTCTAGCTGTTGCTTGACAAGCACCCGGTACCCAACAGGCATAGCATTGGTGGCATGATCATTGTGATGAGTAACTTGGGCTCTGAGTTCTAGAGCTTCTGGTCAGTGGGTACCAGGTACCTGCCCAGGTGAGAATACTATGTGGCAGCCACAGGGGAAGGGAAGGGCCAGGCATGGGCAAAGGAGACTGTAGCCTGGCATTTTCTTGGCCATGTGGGCAAGGCTCTCCCGAACCCTTGGGACCTAGTTGCTAGTGGTGAGAGGGAATGGAGTAAGAAGGCAGGACTAGAGGACACTGCGGGTCATGGGCAAAGATGGCCCCTTTTGCCATGAGACTGCCTCTCACAGGATGAACCAAGGCAGGGGCTTCAGCGAGGCTTCTGGGGAGGGCTCACTGCTGCCTCCCCGCCTGGTGGAAACAAATCGAATATATTGTTTCTTTGGAGCAAACCTCGGGCAAAGATGGCAAAATCCAGGGTGGCGGCTGCATCTTGAGGTCATACCATGTGGCAGGCCCTATGTCTGTAGCTCTCACAACTCTGCAAACTGTTTATCCCCATTTCACAGTGGACAAAAGAGAGGTTGGCAAGGGTGGAGCACCTGTTCAAGTTAAACTGCCAGCCGGTGGTGGATCTGGGATTCAACTGCTAGAAGTGGGGGTTCTGAATGGCTCTAAAAGCCACACTGTCCTGCCCCCATGTGCTGCTGGAATGCATGGACTTAGGTTGGGATTTGATTGACAAAAGAACCAGCTGATCCTGGGACTCTCAGTCATGTTTCTGCTGCACGCACGTTCTCTATCTGAAATGGAATTCCCTCTAGTGCTAAACTGGGCCCAGTGGGGGACTCTTTTCAGAGCCACAGAGCTTGGAGAGAGTGTCATCTGGTGCTGGTGTGAATAAGGCAAGTTGGTAGAGTTGGTAGGTGAGACCAGGGCTCAGGACCCACACCCCTCTTGTGGCAGGAGCTCTACGAAATGACTGTGTGGACGGGTGACGTGGTCGGCGGTGGCACTGACTCCAACATCTTTATGACCCTCTACGGCATCAACGGAAGCACAGAGGAAGTGCAGCTGGACAAGAAGAAAGCCAGGTATACAGGGGCCATCTCTGCCCTTGCCCCTCCGCATACCCAGTTCTCTACTTTCTAACCTCACCCTGCTTTCAACCAGATCACTTCCCTCACACTCCCCTCCTACTTGGGGCCTTCTAGCCTCTGTACGTCTGTCTCTGATTCCCTCCTCCTGGAATGCCCCTCATCCATCTGTTGTGTTTCAAGACCTTTCTCTTTCAAGGTTCAGCTTAAACCTACCTCCTCCATGAAGCCTTCCTCGATTATCTCATTCCATAGCCCACCAGTCTGTCTCTCCTTTCATCTTTCCTTCCCTCCATCCATCCCTCCCTCCCTAGAAAGTGTTCATTGTAAGGTCTGCAGATTAGTTGATAGTATTATGTCACTGTGAATCTCCTGAGCCTCTGGCTCAGCAGGACAAGCTGCTAAAGTGGTCCAGGGTTTGCTCTGCTTGTCCACTCAGAGGAGCCTCTCTACTCAACAGCTGAAGAGGTGACATCCGAGCAACATGGCCTTTGGCGGTGGCTCATTCCCTTTGTATTCTGGTTCTCTCCTGTTCCCCACCTCATCAAAGCGCCCCTACTCAGCATTAGTCTCTGTGACTGAGAACAGCCTGAGGCTAAGTAGGGCCAAAGCCTTAGGCTGGGGGGGGGGGCAACTAGTTTACCCAAGGGTTTAGGCATTGGGGGATACGACTCAAAGGCTGACCATTTCTCCAATGGCAGCCCTGCAGTGTTGGGGCCTCACTGTGCATCAGCAGAATGTGGCCAGTGAGTTGTGGAGGGGTAAAGGGCCCGTGAGGAGGGCTTTCTCTTTGGATGTGGGCCTTTCACCTGAGGGGAGGGGTCCATCCAGGTGGAGGAGGGATTTAGTCTCCAAAGAAGAGCAAGGGAGCCAAGTAATCCATGCCTCCCCCTTCTAGAAGACCAGCTTACTTCTCCCCTTTTCCTCCGCCTGCCCCACCGTAAGATGGAGTTACTTGGCTAAATTCAAAGGGTGAAAACTAAAGAGAAATACAAAGCCAAGAATTCTAAAGTTCCTTTGATCTGCAACATCATACACCTGGCAAGAACAAGGAATCAAATGAGTTGAAAGATGTTTTGAGGGGGAGTCTCCAGTATATGATATGAACTTGACCACGGACTTCCTGAGCACCGCCTTCAGTTTCCACATGAACAGAGGCACAGACTGGGCTTAAATTGGAGCGGAAAGGATTTAGGGCAGACTTTGGGAAGGATATTTTTACTTTGAATAATCATAAAATACACACGAGCAAGTTATTCGAGGAGGCTGGACTGCACAGCTGTTCCGCCACTGTCTTTAGGACCAGGAGTCGTTAGCTCCCCGTGCGTCGCACTTGCAGTCCCAGTTCCACCGACCGTGGCCCCTGCTTTTAAAAATGTGTCTTGTGTTCAAGAAGGCATGACAATTGCCATGCAGCGTCATATCTTCAGTGCCACCTGCATTACCCTTAGGGGCTTAGCAGCAGCAGCACCTGGAATCAGCCAGCAGTCATGTAGTCCGTCAGCACTGAAGTCTGTTTTATATGCGCAGCACTGTGGGAAGGTTAGTAAGGGATAAACAGCACTGAGATGATGCGGTCATTCCCCAGGAAAGTAGTCGTAGCAACAAAAGCGATGTTGCTTTCTATGTGCCTGCCACTCTAGGCCCATTGTCTTTAATTGTGCAGATTGTGTATACGTGGAGAAATGTGAATGGCACCATCTAGAGTTGTGCAGTGTGCAACCTGCCTCCCCCCATTCGTGGCAGCCTGTAAAGCTTGGCAGGCATGAAAGTCCTTTTACATTTCAAGTTCATTTCACATCCATTTGGTCCTTGTGACAAGATGGGTTGAGATTGCAGGGCTAGTGCCGTTCCCCACCCCCACCCCGCCCAACTGCAAAGGAGGAAACCAAGCCCTGGAGAGAAGCTAGGACTGCTGAGGTCGCTAGCAGAATGAGATGGAGACCCAGAACTGGCAGGTCTGGATTCAGGACTGTTTCCACCAGTCAGACTCGTTTAACTGAAGTGTTTGGGGAATACACCTAGGGTGCAAGCGATAGGCAATTGGGGAGTCCGTGAGAACTGAGAGAGGCTGAGGGGAAGACTGTTTTCTCTTTACCCCGAACCTGGTCTGTGGCATGACTTGGGCCCCTCACCATGGCCAGCTCCCCTTTTCCATGCCCCTGTGCTCCACCTCCAGGTTTGAGAGGGAGCAGAATGACACCTTCCTCATGGAGATCCTGGACATCGCTCCATTCACCAAGATGCGGATCCGAATTGACGGCCAGGGCAGCCGGCCCGAGTGGTTCCTGGAGAGGGTAAATTGTCTGCACCCTCACCCTCCCTTCCACCCACAGCCCACACCTTTCTCCTGTTCTTTCAGGTTGTCAGTGGACCTCGATAAAGTGCAAATGTCACCTCAGAGCGTTGTTCCACAAACCCAGCCCATATAATCCAATAGGCCCCTTTGATGTGAATTAATTAGAGAACATAGTTCTATTTATTTGCTTCCAGTCAAAACCAAATTAACTGCCCACGAAAGCAGCATGCACTGTAGCAGGCAGAGACTTGGTGTGGGCTTCTTGGAGGATGTGAGCCAGGAGCAGGGGGAGAGGAGCGGCAAGAGCTGGGACAGCGAAAGGCTCTATGGTGGGAACTTGAAGTGCAGCAGCAAGGGAACTCTTGCTGTCCCTGTGATCACGCAGTTAGGTGGCTGCCTCTTTCTCCATCTTGGACCCCTACTTCCCCCGGAATCAGTCCTCTCATCCCCTGTACATCAAAGGACATCTGTCCCGAGTCCCCCTCAGGCCATGAACAGATTTTTCTTGAGCCAACAGTATGGTGCTCACGCCAAGGACAATCTGGCCAACTTCTCAGTACACTATTCCCAAGTGTTTATGCCTGACAGTGGTTTGGTTGGTCCATTTTCTGTCATTCACTCAGCACACATTTCTTGTGCACAGTCTTGGACACATGTTTGGACAAACTGCCCATTTCCAAATCCCTGCACTAGAATCATCGTGGTGCGGGTTTCCGACCCTGTGCAGGGCACGCAGGGCAGGGTCTTTGTCCTGGAGAGGGCCCTTTCCACATGCCTGGGGTCTAAGTCAGAAGAACCCATCTCGAGGGATTCTGAGCCTTTGGGGTTCAGCCAAAGGGGCTGCATTTGTGGGTGGGAGGCTGGTGGAGATGAGGGAGGGCATTCTCACACTGGGTCCTCTCACCCAGGTCCTCCTGAAAAACATGAACTCTGGAGACCTGACCATGTTCTACTATGGAGACTGGCTATCCCAGCGGCAGGGCAAGAAGACCCTGGTGTGTGAAATGTGTGCTGTCATCAATGGGGAGGAGATGATGGAGTGGACTTCCTACACCGTCTCAGTTAAGACCAGCGACATCCTGGGTGAGTCAGTGCGTCCCCCCAGGCCCTACTCCCTCCTCTCACTACTCTTGTCCCTCCTCAAGTTCTGGTTTAGGCCCCAGGCTCTGGTCAGGACATTTTTTTTAGATGGCCTTCCAAAAGTTCATCAATGCAAGTCCTTTCCACAGTGTATTATTTTCTGTCTGGACAGAAGTATTTCCTCCCAGTGACTGAGTTGCTCTGTTGCTCCTCCCTCAGAGAAGTGAGGGAGAACAGTGTCGAGCAAGATGGTCAGCAAACAGTCAGAAATGAAGCTTGACTAGCAGGTCCTCTGTCCTCCTGCTGCTCCCTAGTGCTTCTCACCCTGGTGTTGTGCGAGCATCATCTCAGATGCTGTGTGTTCCTTCCCACACCCCTGTACTTGGCAACCATCTTCTGCGAGCCCAGGGCCTTAGCATGGATATATGACCCTGGGCCCTTGTGGGTCTGACACTGTCATGGAGCAAATGACAGTGAGGTTCTGTCAGTACAGATGCTGAAAACCCAGAGGAAGGCACAAAGGATCGAGGACAAGGGTCATGGAGAGCCAAAGTCTGGTCCAGAAAGACAGAAGCCACTGAGGTAGAGGGGACCCCAGAGGAAGCCTTCCAAGCAAAAGCACTAGTGTATGCAAAGGCCATGCCGCCTACCTGCCCCCCCCCTGTACAAGTCTGCTCCCCAGGAGCTGCTGCAGGAATCTGGCACACTCTCTTACACTAATCATAAACGGCTACTTTCAGATCAACTTGTTGGCTGTAGTAGGGCCAACAGGTAAGCGTTTAACCAAAGAAGTGAAGCTCTCATGGTAGGATTTCAGGCATAACTGATGGGTCAGTATAACTGGTAAGGTTTGTTTTTGGCCCTTCCCTTCTTCCTTTTCTCCTCAATGTGGAGCCTTCAGTCTTTTTGCTTAAAGTTCCAAGCATATACATGTTTTCAAGCCCCTCGATCCCCTTGTGGTGTACCCTCAACAAATAATTGGTAAGTTTACTGATGACCTCAGGGTACACATCAAAAAAGCTTCACAGGATCACCACTTCCAGAAGCATTTTGTTTTTAACTGGGGTCAATACCTCTATTTGGCTTAAGCAAATGATATGAACTTTAGTGCAGTATGTCAACCAGAGGTAGATTTGGGGAACAAGAACCTTTTCTATTTCCTCCGAACCCACAGTGGGGAGGAGGGGACCTGTATTTCTAAACTGCAGCAAAGCCTGTCTGCATGGCATGCCTTGTAAGTATGGGTGTATGTTCCCAGAACTAGGTGAATTCTTGTACTAAACCATTCACACTTGCTAACCGGGGCTGTACTTGGCCCACCAGCATGTATGAAGCAGAGATAAATGAAGGATAAAGTAGGAGACCCAAGAGTTCCAGACCTTTCCAACTGCACCCTGGCCTCGTTGACTCTGAACTTGCCTGTCTGCACACCTGGCTCTTCCAAGGATGCCAGGATGCAGACCAGAGCCAGAAGGCTGTGTGTCAGAGGGGCCCACTCCCAGAGCTGTCATCTTGTGCATTCCCAGGTGCGGGCACTGATGCCAACGTGTTCATCATCATCTTTGGGGAGAATGGGGACAGTGGGACCCTGGCCCTGAAGCAGTCGGCCAACTGGAACAAGTTTGAGCGGAACAACACAGACACATTCAACTTCTCTGACATGCTGAGCCTGGGTCACCTCTGCAAGCTGAGGGTCTGGCATGACAGCAAAGGTACCTCCCACTTAAGGTCAGGGTGGTGGGGAGGGCAGGCCTCAGCTCTCCACCCAAACCCCTCCCTGTCTCCCTGGATGCATGTTGATCCTTCCACTGCAGGGTGGCAGGCAACTAAAAAACACTGATTACTATCATTTTGATGTTTCCATCAGTTAAAAGAGCCTATGTTTCTGGACAAACTTTCAAGATGAAGCTCAGTTCCTCCTGCTCTCTCCCAGGGGTGATGAATGGTTCTTAATTTTCTGTGACATTGGAGCATTGTCTTCCTGGTTCAGACATAAAAATTGAGAAACAGAAAACTCACTTCCCATGGATTTTCTGTAAAGGATTATGCTTGTTTACTTATAATAGCAAGTCTAAAATTAGTCAAATTTGCTTATAAATATAAATGGTGGAATAGGATATAAGCCAAGTGAGAAGTTTATTTTTAACTTTGAAATATCCAAGGAAACTCTGTCACATCCATAACTATGATGAAGTCCATGTTCTCAATATCTCTTTGGTTATTCTTCCGTTGTCTTCAACCCACACTGACCTTCTTTTTTTTCTGGCATTGGGCCTTTAAGTTCTGTTTTAATTAGTGACTAGTTGTTAAATACTAAATGTCACCTCCTTGAGACATGCTGCTTTCTGCATTCTCACTGTTCTCACTCACCCTGCCAGTCCTTTGCTGAAACCAGCCGAAACCACAACTATCTGCTCGGAGCCTTCCCCAGCATTTCTGAGTCTCCTTCACAAGTGGCCCGGAACCATCCTGACTGTTTGTCTTCACTTCTCCCAAGTCCTGAGGACCAGTATGTCTGTTGTGGTGACTGATGAAACCCAACTTGGCAGTTTGAAACGTCTCTTCTTAAAGAGCTGGACTATTTTGCTTTAGCATGAGTTGAACAGTTAAATATTTTCCATAACAGGAATAAGCTCAGATTAGGCACAGAGGAAATAGCCAGTCTTCAAGGCAATAAGTGACAATATTTGCACAGCACTCCCCAGTTTTCAGATCTTGGTGTGTCCACTCACTCAATGTTCACTACATGTCGGATGCTCAGTTAGGTATTAAAGATACAAACATTTGATCATTACAACCTCTTCGTGAATTACTACAGCAAAAGCGCTTTGTTACCTGTCTTTTCTACAACCAAAAAATATATCAAGGTCCTAAGAAGTCTGAATGTCTTACTCAGGACCACATGTCAAGAAAAGAATGCAGCCCACGCAAATCCAGGCCTTCTGACACTGTTCCAGTACACCATGCTGCACGCCAGTCCATCCTGCACCCTCACCCAGCCACTGTGCCAGTGGGTCAAAAACGATGAGGAGATGAGGGCAGATTTTTCTACCTCTGTTCACTGTGGTCTCCATATGCGGTTGTTATCAGGGTGTATTATCTAGAAAAGGGTGTAATGGATGGGGATACTTCTTACTTGTCCATTCTGGTCATTTTGAGTCTGTGAGAAAGAACATGCTTGTAGAACATTCTCAAAATATGCCTGATGAACCTCTCCTCTTTTCCAAGAAGCAAACCAAAAGGCTCCGCTGAATTCTTTCCCACTCTCTCATCATCCATTATCATTGTCTTAGAACCAGTAGCAGGTTGACTGATGGTTGAAAGTCTGATGTAATAACAAGAGCCATAATCATTAAGGCCATCTGCTTCTGCAGACGGTTCACAAGATCAGGATGAGCTGCTGCCCATGATGCTCCACAAATGATCATTCGGTCAAGACAAGCACTGCAGTGCTTAATTGGGCTGCCAGTGACTCAGGAAAAGCATTGAGCCCCACAGTGTGTGTCACAAGCCTTATGAGAAGGATGTGGCTTGTCAGATTAATGGCAGTGGGGTGGAGATGGGGTCTGCCTACCCTAATATTCAGCAGCGAGTCTCCCATTGCAGTGCCCACACCTGATGCAAACCATCATATAGGAAGTACAGTACCAGGAATTGTGTCCTTGCCATCATCAGAAAGAAGTGTATTGTATCCATGGGCTTCCAACTTTCTGCCATGCTACCAACACACATCAACAAGATATTGGTGCTCTTGAGAGCAGAGGGGCTATGCAAAAAAAAAAAAGAAGAAGAAGTCTGCCTCAGGATTTGCTGCTGTATAAAAAAAATATCCAAGACCACTGGGCCAAGATAAAGCACACCAAATCAGGATGTAGTGCCATCAGAGAGCCTAATGTCAACAGGGTTAAATGCAACAGCTTCAAGTCCAGTGAAACCAGATGGTCCAGAGTTATAATTCTCAAGGTGACAAACTCATTGCTTTAACTTTTGCAGCTGGGGTTCCTATACCCCTGCAGGCAGTTCAGTGGTAATTGGGGCTCAGAAACCAACTATATTCCTCTAAGCTGAAAAATAGGAAGACTCTAGAACTAAAATCATCATAGATTAACAGATTCTCTTATGTCCTCACTTCCTTACTGAAAGTTCTTCCTATTTCCTTACCTAACCAGAGTCCCTCCTGGAACACTCATTGTATTTGTAACTAGAGGCTTGTTCCCTGTCTCTTTTGCTTGACTGTCAGCTCCCCAAGTACCATTGTCTTCTTCATTGTTCTTTCCCTGATGCATATCAGACTGCTTATGATATAGTAGGGATTTAATATAGTTTTAATAGAATTTATTTATACCCCTGTTTTGATCCCTTAGGTCCATTCTTGTATTTTCATGACTCAGTCACAGTGAACCTACATTTCTCCAGACTCAAAGTTTTTTCTTGTGCCTTAGAACTTTCAAAAATTGAGACCTGGCCATGAATTTTAGGGTCCCGACTAGGACCTCTATCACTGGCTGCCAATCTTTGACACTGAGTGTGTGCATATCCAAACCTTCTAAGTTTTCTTCATGTATTTTTTTATGTAAAAACCTGACACTCAATTCTATCTCATCACCTACTGTCAAAATCCTGAAAGAAAAAAAAAAAGTGTTTCAGAACCATGGACAGCAACACAGTGGTTTAAGGGCCAGGCTCTTCAAAGACTGATTCCTCCCCTGGATAGCCCAAGACTATGGGATTACCTTGACCTTACAATGGCCATTTGGAAAATGCTGAGTCATTCATATTATTCTTTTCCCTTTGTAGGCAGAGAACTGGGCTTCTTCCCCTCCAACAAGACATTGCTGAGAGCAGAGCCATATCGTTGGTGGGGAAAGGAACATTTCTGTATCCTCATTAAACCCAGGTGGTTGGGATATTAGGGTCAGGAGAGGGACAGGAAGTCCAAGTTCTGTGCCTAACTTCTTCTTTATAGAAACTTTCTCCTCCAGAAATGGAAGTTTAAATGTTAATATAAGTTAAAACAGCTAAACATGTCCTTAAGTGCTCTCTATGCCACGCTTTTTCATATTTAGTTTAAAAATATTCATGCTACATTATGCTTCCTTTGCATAGCAATTTAGGAGGACAAATCTATTTTGTTTGAGAGTTTTCCAGACAAAAAAAGTTGTAGATTCTGAAAAATCACTGTGTAAGTCAGATTATAAATGTTTAACTAACTTTATAGCATAGCAATATTTTCTTTCTCTGAACCTACCTTTTAATCTTTTTTATTTGTCCAATGGTTCTTTTTTATGAAAAATTTTAAACATACACAAAAGTGAAGGGAATATTTCAATGAACTTCCCACATACTCATAACATAGATTCAACCATTATGATTTGTCATACTTGCTTTACCTTTTTCTTTTGTTTTTCTTTCTTAATTTCTTTTTTGTTTCTGAAAGATATAAAATCAAATTCTAAACCTTATGTCATTTCATCTCAAATACACTTAGTTTGTTTCTTTTTTGTAATATTTTTATTGATTATACCTTTACAGTTGTCTCAATTCCCCCCAACATTCCCCTCCACCCTATATACCCCTCCCACCCACCTTCCCCCCCTTAGTTCATGTCCATGTGTCATAAATTCTCTAGCTTCTACATTTTGCACACTACTCTTGCCATCCCCCTATTTTCTCCCCACCGTGACATGCTACTTATTCCCTGTACCTTCTCCCTCCCTCCTCCTCCCACTCCCCTGTTGCTAAACTTCCATGTGATCTCCATTTCTGTGGTTCTGCTCCTGATCTAGCTGTCTGCTTAGTTTGCTTTTGTTTTAGGTGTGGTTGTCAATAACTGTGAGTTTGCTATCCTTTCACTGCTCATCTTTTTTATCTTGTTTTTCTTAGATAAGTCCCTTTATCATTTCATATAATAAGGGCTTGGTGATGATGAACTCCTTGAACTTGACCTTATCTGGGAAGCGCTTTATCTGCCCTTCCACTCTAAATGAAAGCTTTGCTGGATGGAGCAATCTTGGATGTAGGTCCTTGCCTTTCATGACTTGGAATACTTCTTTCCAGCCCCTTCTTGCCTGTAAGGTCTCTTTTGAGAAATCAGCTGACAGTCTGATGGGAACTCCTTTGTAGGTGACTGTCCCCTTATCTCTTGCTGCTTCTAGGATTCTCTCCTTCATTTTAATCTTGGCTAATGTAATTATGATGTGCCTTGGTGTGTTCCTTCTTGGGTCCACCTTCTTTTGGACTCTCTGAGCTTCCTGGATTTCCTGGAAGTCTCTTTCCTTTGCCAGATTGGGGAAATTCTCCTTTATTATTTGTTCAGATAAGTTTTCCACTCATGGCTGTTCCTCTTCCCCTTCTGGTACCCTATAATTTGGATGTTGGAATGTTTAAAGATGTCCTGGAGGTTCCTAAGCCTCTCCTCATTTTTTTGAATGCTTGTTTCTTCATCCTTTTCTGTTTGGTCATTTTTTTTCCTCTTTCTGGCCCACTCCTTTGATTTGATTCCCAGTTTCCTTTCCATTACTATTGGTTTCCTGTGCATTTCCATTCATTTCAATTAGTTTAGCCTTCATATGTTCCTCTAATTTGTGACTAAAATCAACCAGTTCTGTGAGCATCCTGATCACCAGTGTTTTGAACTGTGCATCTGAAAGTTTAGCTATTTCTTCATCGCTTAGATTTATCGGCTCTGGGGCTCTGAGTTGTTCTTGAGCCACGTTTTGATCTGTTCGTGCCTGTTACGTACGAGGAGGTGTTCACCAGGGTGGGGCCACCAGGTTGCTGGTTTGTGATGCTGTGTGTGGGGGCAGGGTCAGAGAGGGACAATGGCGGTTCTCTCTGTGGCTGTCCACCGCTGGGGCCCGCGTGGTCCGTCGTACTGCCACTAGCTCCTTCACCAGTTTATCTGCATTCAAATGTGTGACCACGGTCTGCCCTCAGTGGGTCCGCCACCTTGTGCCCTCAGTGGGTCTGCCCGCTTCTCCACACCTGGGATCTGCCCATGGCTGCCAGTGTGCCTGGGTTGCACGCCCAGGTCAGTTCAGTGGATCTTTCCTGCCTGACCCTGGTCTGCTGCTGGCTCTGCCCCTCTTACCAGTTTGGCTGAAGGGTTCCTCATTGTCAGACTTTCGTGTAGTTCAATTTTCTGTGGTTTGGCTGCATTTTTGTTGCTAAAACTTTGTTATTTTTAAACTTGGTTGTGTGAGAAGGCACAGTGCTTCCACCTACGCCTCCATCTTGGCAGAAGTCTTATTAATGTTTTCTTTTGGATAATATAAATTCACAGAAATATAAAGCACCTTAGAAATAATCATCATCATAACCTGTCATGCCACTGGGATTTCTCCCCACATGTGGCCCTTTGGCCTTCTGAGTTCTCAAGGACATTGAGGGGTGGAGAATAACAGAACCAGTACCTAGTATAGGCAGTATGCAGCTCACAGAATGAATGCACATTGATTCATTCATGATAACTGTAACTTGAGGGGAACACTTCTGAAGGAAACACTGCCAATTACAACAGAAGCAGCTGATTACTTGCTATTAGGGCAAGATGTGTCCGGTTTAACAACATACCCTACAGAAATCACCATTTCTGTTCCTTCCTATGATTGTCAAAAAACAAGTGATCTCAAAACCATAGCATATTCAATTGGCTTTCATTAAGCAACTACTACACTCCAGTTGCTATGCTAGGCATTAGGAGAACAAAGACAAATAAGACCTGTTCCTGCCCGCAAAAGCTCATGATCTAGGGGAAGAGACACATGTAAACAGGATGGTCAGGGCATGGCCACGGCAGCTTCAGGGTGTCATCAAAGCAAGGAAGACACCTGATACAGGTTGAGTAGGCAATGGGAGAACACGGAGAAGGCTTACTAGAGGAGGTGATGCCTGAACCAATTCTATAAGAATAATGGGTGTGAGCTAGGTGGATGCTGGTGTCAAGAAGACAAATGATTCATCCTTCAGCTTTATGAACTCTAAAAGGTCTATTTCTTAGGTCAGAGACCCCATTGGGACTATGATAAAGCAATGAGCCCTACCCTGGTAAAATTTCCCCGTATAATTATAGCACAATCTCCTGGGGCCCACAGACTGCTTAAATCCCACACGCAAATCCTTTAAGGTTCATGAACTCCAAGTTAAGAGTGTTTTCAAGAGAATTGTATTCTCTGGGCTAGAGGAGCCCTCAGAAGTCATCTAACCCAAGCCCTCTTTTCATCAACAAGGAGAACAAGGCCTAGAGAAGACAGAGAACTTGTCCAGGGCCACACAGCCAGAGGGCCAGGGGCATGGGGGTTTGAGAGGAGAGGAGGAGCATGCACATCTCCAGGCCCCACCATCTTCTCCCACAGGGATATTTCCAGGCTGGCACTTGAGCTACATTGATGTGAAGGACAACTCCCGTGATGAGACCTTTCGCTTCCAATGTGACTGCTGGCTCTCCAAGACTGAGGGCGACAGACAGACACTCCGCGACTTTGCCTGCGCCAACAATGAGATCCATGATGAGCTGGAGGAGACCAGTATGTGGGGAGATTGGTGGGCTCAGCCTTGCTGTGATGTTTGGGCTGAATCTTCAGTTAAACGGGAATTAGCTTAGGAGAAAGGTGGGAGACAGTGTTGACAAGTCTAAAGAAGGGTCTGGTACAGCTGGAGGAAAATCAGATGGCTAATGAAGAGAATGGCTGTTGTGGAGATGCATAAGTAAAACCCCTAGGTGAACCTGCAACAGCCAAGCTACTGGTATCAGATCATGGCCCTGAATTTCGGAGACTACTTAGGTAGGAGGAAAACCCACTGGGGACAAGCTCTCCCTGCCCTGAGGGCTGAGCTAGGAAGTCTGAAGCTCTCTCCAGTTCATTTTTATATCATGGACTCCATCCAACTGATGCCTGTGGCCATCAGCGTTCCTGGAAACAGAATGTGCAGGGTGTTAGGAGAAGGGGGGAGCCAGCATCTCCATCAGCCACCTTCTCTGTGATCCCTTCTTCAGGGAATATTTAAAGGTAAAGAGTAATTGACCCCAAGGGTGGGTGGCCATCGGGACTAGGGAGGTGTTTCCTCAATGCAGATACCAGGGTCTGGGTCTGACAGAATAAGGAAGCCTTGTCCAAGGTGGGGCCCAGTGTAAAGAAAGGATTTCCCAACCTTGGTTATTCAGATAACACTAGCTGTAATAAGAGATAAACCCTAAATCTCAGTGGCTTAACACAACAAAATTTATTTCTTACTCATGTAATAGTCCACTGCTGATGTTTGGCAGGAAGTCTCTCTTCCATACCATAGTTCAAGGACCCAAGCTCTTTTTATCTGTGCCAGCTATTTTCAACACATGGCTCCCACATTTCTTTTAGAAGGGAAAAGAGAGGGCATACTCCTCTACCTTAACACATTGACTCACTTTCTATTGGTGAAAACGAGTCATGTGGCTCCACCTCAATGCAAGGACACCTGGGAAATGTAGTCCCTGGCTGGACAGCTCTTTCTAGCAAACACTATACTGCAGAATGGAAACGTGGATCTTTGGTGGAAAGCCACCCACCCATCTCTGCCATACCACCCAAACTACTGAAAGGTGACATTAGCTACTTTGAGAGGTACTGAGCACTGATGTCCCTGGGAGCATTCAAATGAGGGACAAGCACCCATTTTTCAACATATCTGTATGAGGTTTCCTGCCCTAATTTAGAGTGGACTCCTAGCTTCTGTAATTGCACTTACTGAGGAGTTACGGGTGCCCAGGTTTAATTTAGATGCTACGAGTGATGCACACTGCTTTGTGACCCCACGTTTATTTGTATTAACTCTTGTACATATGTTAGTCTCCCTACACAACTGTAAGCTCCTAGAAATCAGGGATGGAAGCACTCATGTGTGCAGCCCTCTGCAGTTCTGTCGGCTTTGGGACCTAACGGGTGTGCAGTTAGTGCTTAGTGAATAGAAGAAGGTGCCATCCTTTTCCTTGGAGCCTCACAATCATGTTAGAGGGAGCAACATAAGCCCCTTACCCAGTGCCAAGAGAGCAGCAAAGGCTCCTCAAGCTATCAGCATCCAGGAGAGGAGATACTTGTGAGGCTTGGAGGGTAATCACTGAGTCTCCCTCACAGATCTCCTGCCTAACAGCAGCTAAGACTGTGGGATTGGGGTTGGCAGGGAGATTGAAAAGGGTAGGCAGCACGAGTATTAGTTCTAGAAGGATGTGTATGGACTGGAGATGGGAGAGCAGGGTCCAGAGCCTGGGAGACACCTGGGTCAGTCTGTCTTTACTAGGAGCCTACAGGGGGCAGAGTGGCACCCTCTTACCCTGCCCACTAGGGCACAGACAGCCGCACCTTTGTCCTCAGATGGAAGCTTATCTTGGAGAGAGGGAAGGATACCACTGCACCCAAACAACCAACCCTCAGCTACCTTTACTTAACCATTGAATACCTACTAAGTGCCACAGCCTACTCTGAGTTCTGAGGATACACCAACAAATAAAACAGAGACCCAGCTCATGTGGCACTTATGTTCAGTGTCTGTGACCCAGAGGCACCTCTAGACACCCTCTCATACTTGAACAGAGATTCATATGCGGAAAGCCCTCCATAACCTTGTTCTCATTATGCCCCCACAGTCTTCCCACCACTCAGCCATGAGCCGGCGCATGCCTCTCTATCATGGGTAAGGAAAACAGAAAGCCAGAAAGGTGAAGGGACACACCTAAGGCCCATTTGTAGCTAGTAGGACCCAGGTGACCTGATTCCCAGCCGGGGACTCTGAACCACCACAGGCAGACTTGTTAGGATTAAGCCTGGCTGGTCCTCCAACTGACCGACTGCCCCACCTCATTTACCCCCCTGTTCCCTGCCTTCACCTGTGATTCTCATTAGCAGTTCCAGAAGCTGCTCCAGGCCCTCAGCAAACACTTGATTCATGTGTAGCTGAAGCTGAAAACCACTGGCAATCTTTAATTTTTTTAAATATTTTAATTATTTATTTTTAGAGAGGTGGGAAGGGAGAAAGAGAGAGAAGAGGAGCATTGACATGAGAGAGAAACTTTGATTGGTTGCTTCTCACACACCTCCCTGCAATCCAGGCATGCGGCCTGACAGGGAATCCAACTGATGACCTTCCAGTTTGTAGGCTGGTGCTCAGTCCACTGAACCACACCAGCCAGGGCCCACTGGCAATCCTACCCCAAGGGTTTATCATAATGAGCATGGAGGCTCCTTGAGCTCCCTGCTCCAAACCATTTCCTTACCAACTCCCAGGATTCACTCTGAATTCACAGGGGTCTGGTTTGCAGGGCACACGTAACCCTCTGCTGGGAACAAAGTTGGGAGCAGTGGGATCGCTCTCTGCCCTGGGATGGCTTCTAGTTCCTGACAGTAGCCCAGCCACCCCATGTTGCTTGCCACCCTAGGCAGGGCTCCACAGGTCCTCACCTCCTGCAGGTGTTACGTGCGCTCTGCGTATCTCTTCCCACGGTGGTCTACCCAGCTCTGTGCTCAGATTCATTCTCTGTTTCAGATAGCAGAGGTTCTCCTTGAGAAAAGTCACAAAGGCAAAGGGAGGCTGAGGAGCTGGGGGCACATCACAGGGAGCAGCAGGCATAGCCATCTCTCTTCTTAATCGTCTTCATCACATCTCTGAGATAAAGGCACAGAAATAGAGTGACTCCTTTGGACCAGAACCCCGAACCCTCACCAATGAATTTACCACTGTAAGAGCTGCATGTATAGGGACACTCTGAGCAAATATTTGTTATGTCCTTCTGTGTGCTGGCTCCGCCCCTGGCCTGGCCCCTGGGGATCAGGTCTGCAGTGGACTTCAAGCCCCAGTCATGCCCCTCAGGGTCTTCTTATGCTTCTCCCTCTGCCTGGAACATTCCTCCACTTTCTGCTGATCATAGCCATGGCTCTTCTTCAAGTCCAAGCTGAAATGGCACCCGCTTCACGACAATTCCCATGATTAGCCCCCAAATTCATTCATTCACTTAGCAACTATTTATGAGTTTTTATGTGCTGGGCACTGTTCTGGGCACGTGGGATTTATGAGCGAGCAAAATGAAACCCTTGCACTCATGGAGCATGTGTTCAATAAATAAAATAATAACTAAATTACATAGCGTGTTAGAAGGAAATAGTGATAGGGACAAGAGATCATAAGAGGTAAGGCAAGCCAGGGGTGCTGAGGGAAATCAGGTTGGAATTTTACTGGTTGTAGTTGGGGTAGACCTCAGTGGAGTGGTAACGTTTGAGTAAGAAATAGAAGCAGGTGAGGAGTGAGCTAAACTAGTGTAGGGGGTGGAGTAGGGGGAGGGGGAAGTAGTGCAGACAGAGAGCAATCACTGCAGAGCTCCAAGGCAGAAGCCTGCGGCGGTGCTCCGGGGAACAGCGGGGGAGCAGGTGGAGTGGCTGGAGGGGCAAGGCAGGGAGTTCTAGATGAGAGAGGTAACCAGGAGCCAGGTTTTCCCTCTTGGCCTGTGGTACTTTGGACCTTTGTCCAAAGTGTAATCAGTGTGTGTGTCAGGGACTAGAGATTGAGTGCCAGTGTCAACTAGAGTCTAGCCCAGTCCTGACACTTGGCACCCATTTAACAAACGTTGGACGAATGAATGCAGACGTGCTTGTGGGAAGTGGAGGGGAGGAGGCTGTGATGCTGAGCCTGACCCCCGACTGAAAACTGAGACAAGAATGGGAAGTGGGACCCCTTGATAGAGAGAGTGGAAGCTCTCCCACAGCCTTGCCTGCCTGGGGCTTTCCAGTCCCTTTCTGTAGCAGACCCCTCCTCTCCTCCCTATTCTTTGTATTGGATCTCACTCTGCATCACAGGGGCTCTCCATCCCTGAGAGCCAGGCCCCGGCATCTGTTGGAAACCTGCTTCCTGGAGGCAGCTGTGGCTGTTGCTTCACTCCCAGAAGCTACCAAGTTCACCAGGCAAAGAGGCTGCTACTATAAATAAAATAGGAACATCACTTCAGCCCCAAATCAGGGCAGATTCTATTTATATTGCCTCAACTGTGGCCGTTTTAACCTGCCCCAACCACACCCCGGGCTTGGTCTAAGACCTAATGTAGGGGCCGGAGGGAGCAGCCCTGATGGTGGGTGCTACTCCCCTCCTCTGACCTCTCCCACCTTCTCTACCGCAGCCTACGAGATCGTCATAGAAACAGGCAACGGAGGTGAAACCAGGGAGAACGTCTGGCTCATCCTGGAGGGCAGAAAGAACCGATCCAAAGAGTTCCTCGTGGAAAATTCTTCTAGACAGCGGGCCTTTAGGAAGTACGAAGAAGGGTGCTCACAGGGGAATGGGGGTGGGTGGGGTGGGTAAGAGAGGGCCCTCAAGGATCAACCGTGGCTGGTAGGAGCTGTGGGCATATTAATGGGCTTCAACTGCAAGTGCCTATTGAGTACCTACTGTGTGCCAACCCCATGGGAGCTGCTAGGGATGAAACAGGAGATTTATAAAATGGAAAGCTAGGAGGGAACTGCCATTGAACATGAGCCCACCATAAGAGACTAGAACTTAGTTACTGCAACCGCTATGGAGAAAGAGTAATTCTGTAACGTGGTTGCAATGCTTTTTATCACTACACTGGCAATTGCAGCACAGTGTATATTACCAAAGGGACGTGCTGTCCGCCTTAGGTTTATGCAACGTTATATGTCAAATGTATTTCAGTCTTTAAAATGTTAATGGAAAGCTACAGCAATGCTTAATTAATTAATTAATTAATTTAAGAGACCCTACTGTGCTACAAGACCCAGAATCACTGAAGATGTTTTTTTATCCCACACCCACTCAGACAAAGAACTCACAGTCTAGTTGAAAAGGAAGATACCTGCCCATAAACACGCAAAGGAATCATGTGAGACAGCGTAGAATTAAGTGCTAGTTAGAAGGAAAGAAGGAAGTGAGAACGTCTAAGATCCTTACAGGAAAACCAAAATTGGGTCTCATGTAAAGGGGCCTCTCCTCACCGCTCCCTCTGGACAGACGCCCCCTGGAGAATCTCACCCCTTCCCCTGCATCAGTGCTGCCTCCAAGCTGCTCAGATGCCCACCTCATCCCCCCACTCCCTCCAAAGTTGCTTAAACAAAGTCTCTCCTTCCCATAACCCACTACACCTTTTATCTTAACTCCCTCTAGGTCAGCACGAAGTCTGAACTCCTTTGATCGGCAGGCACGTACAGGCTGCTGCAGCCCCTCTCCTTTCCCTGCATTTCCCTCACTGAGCCCAACCTCCAGCCACGCCAGCAACTCCCCGGAGATGTCAGCAACTCCCATCCCACCACTTTGCCAAGTTAGGTCCACATCAGAGGACTGTTCGCTCCTTCTCTCATCCCATGCCCTCCTCTGTCTAATACCCTGGGCCCAGGGCCTCATACACCTCTCTCAAGTTCATGTGTTGTTATCATCCACTGGTTCTGGGACCAGGGAGCAGGCAGAACTTTTTAATGGTCATGATTGTCTTCCTCCAAAACTAGTCTGAACGCCTTCAGAAGTGGAGGCCTGACATTGGCTCTTGCTTGGCATTCTATCCCTGTTGCTCCAGCCAGAGGCTAGAATACAGTAGGTACTCAATAAACGCTTACTTCCCTCAGTGGGCACGGTAGCTCTGATTGACCACATCTTTATGTCCTACAGGGGAACCACAGACACATTTGAGTTCGACAGTGTCTACTTGGGGGACATCGCCGCCCTCTGTGTGGGCCACCTTGCTAGAAACGACCGGTTCATTCCCAAGAGAGAGCTGCTCTGGCATGTCAAGACCATCACCATCACCGAGATGGAGTATGGCAATGTGTACGTATGTGTGTCCCCTGTCCCCCTGCAGGAGCCCAAGGCTGGACCATGGGAAGACAACCTGGTGCAGGGGGGTGTCCCCTTTGAGGCCAAGGTCACCTTGTTCAGGAAGCTTGTGAGGCAGGAAAGGAAGAGGCAGCTGCACTGGTTCTAGCACTATCAGAACCATAGGCCTGCCCCAGGGGAGGGGGCCAGACCAGGGGACCTCAGGTGCTCCTGCCTTTTATTCCATGGATGCTTTTGAAGAATGCTGAGCAAGTCAGACAGTGCCAGACAGCAGAGACTTGCCTTTCCGTCCCTTTCCATCACTGTATAATGACAAAGAAATGCAGCTTTGAAACCTGCTGCTTCCACGGTCACAGTGGAAGGCCACCATCTGTGTGGGCAGGGTGGGGACCAGAGACAGCTGGGGTGATGTCACAGCCCACCTGCCTCCGAGGACCCTAGATAAGGAGCTTTGCATTTGCCCCACTGGGGTCTACCTGGGGACTCAGGCATTTTTGAAAGATTAAGAGTCTTAGTTACCTGGGTAACACTCCGCAGTCATCAGTTTGACTAATTAAAACCACTTGGTAACCACTTTGGAAGCCAGAAAGAGTCTGAGGCTCTGGAAGGCAGGAAAGACACTGCAAAGGAGCCAGGAGAGGAGAAAGGGGAAGCTGAGGACAATGCTTGCCTCCGGGAGGTGGCCCTGAGGAGTGAGACAGAGCCAAGGTCAAACTCTTATTGGGGCACACTCCCCCCCAAAACTGCTGCTGGCCCCTCAAGACCCTTTGTGTACACTTTTGGGGCTCGACCTGCCCTCGGCCACACCTTTCACAATAAGCACACCAGAGAGAAGCAGCACAGGGGCAGGCCTGCTCGCTGCAGGCAGGTCCCTCAGCTGCAGGCTCCAGCTTCAGGAGCCACACCTCTCCGAGCAATGCGTGTCCACGCTCAACCTGCGGCCTGCAGGTCCCTGGAACTGGCCCCCTCTCACCAAGCTTCCACTTTGGGAACGGGTGGGAAAGAGTTCTGACTTCTGGACTTCCGTCTCAGCCAGCTCAGGCTGCCATAACAACGTATTTCAGGCTGGGTGACTCAAACAACAGACATTTTTTCCCCCACTGTCTGGGGGCTGGAAGGCTGAGGCCGGGGTTCGAGCATGGTTTGGGTTCTGATGAGGCTTCTCTTCCTGGCTTGCTGCATCCTCACTTGGCAGAGAAAGAGAGCAAGTGAGCTCTGGTGTCTTTTCCTCTGCTTTTAAGGCTTCTAATCTCACCGTGGGATCCCCACCTTCAGCACCTCATCTAAGCCTAGTTAACTTCCAAAGGCCTCACCTCCAAATACCACCACACCAGGGGTTGGGATTTCAGCCTGTGAGTTTGAGGGGGACACAATTCCATATAGCAGCTTCCGTCTTGCACCGCAGTGTTATTCGTGGCCCTCCTAGGAGTCACCGGGCAGGGCTGCTGGGAGCAACACAGGTGTGGGCTCGCGAGCTGGGTCACAGAGTGCGGAGAAGAGTCACCGAATCACCCAGCAAGCCGGGGTCTGGTCAAAGCTTCTTCTGCAGCCGGTTACTGCCTCTTGGTCACAGGCAACGTGGCTGCTGATACTGCTCCCCTGCAAACCCCCAAACTAAACAAAAAACTCCTGCTAGATAATACAATAATAAAATAGTCATCCGTTGAGTTAGCTTTAAATGGACCATGTTGGCTGTGAGCGAGAAACAGCCAAAGACCTCAGCACTGCCAGTACCTTCCGGGCTCCGGAGGAGAGGACATGAAGGCCCAGCCCATGACCTGCCCGTCCCACAGTCCCAGCGCTGAGGCAGGGGACTTCTCATCCAGTGGAAGGAAGCCCCACCCCCAGGAAAGCCTCTTCTCCTTCACCAGCAAGGGTGTGGCCTCTCATCAGTTTGTCCCGGGTAGACGGGGAAGGTGGGATGTCCTCCGGACAGCGCTTCTCCGGAAGGAAAGAAGGAAAGAGGGCAGAGAGACCAGACCCCCAGGTGACAGGTCACCTGGGTGGCCTCAGGCAATTACCCATCACCTCTCTGTGCCTGGGTGTCTCCTTCTGGGGGGCGAGCTAGATACGTTCTAGAGGCAGGAGGCAGGGGAAGGATCAGCCTGGGGCTCTCAGAGGTCCTCAGTGCAGGTCTCAGGCCTGTGGTTTCTGGTGGACGGCAACCTTCACCCCCGGAACAGCACCCCCATTCCGCGGGGACTGGGCAGGCATGTTTAATCATCGAGATGACTGACGTGTCGATGTTCTAGAACACCCTGAAAACCACCCCCTAGCCCTGCGTGTGCCTCCGCAGTCCCTTCCCACCGCCACGCTGAACACAACCTTTGGCTTCCCTCGACGTGCAAACGGATTTCATCTCGCGCCTGGGAACACAGTAATCTCGGATCTTCACCTTCCCACGGCTTCCCGCTCCGGCTGCTGTGCAGCCACGCGCGCCGCTTTCCCGCGGCTCTTCTGTATCCTCGGGGATTCGGTGTGAGGACGCGCGGAGAGGCCGGTGTTTCTTTAAGACCCCAAACAGCTCCGTTGTCCTGTCCCAACAGCATATCTGATACATAGTCATCATAAAAGGGAAGTAACACAAAGAAAGTGGGTACGGGGCAGGGAAGATTCCCCGGAGCCCTGCCCGTCAGAGGCTGCTGTGGTCAGCAGGCGGGGACCCTCTCCTCTCTGGCCTTTTCCTGACACCTCACATGCACACCGTTCACCGAAGTATCATCGCACTGTGCGCGTTTTTTCACATATTCAGCTGCTTGTGTGCTCGTGATTCTCAGCAGTTGCCTTCACTTTCGCGGATGACCCCCCGCCTATTTGCGGGGGGGGGGGGAGTGCGTAGCGGGCAGGCGTCCTTCCGCAGCGAGTCTTGACTCTGCAAAGCCCCGAGGTCCCGCAGTTTGGGGATCTTTTATGATGTCTATTAGAAAACATTTTCTTATAGCTACACCAGGGAATATTGTTCAGCCATTAAAAATAATGAATTAAATACGTACCAGATGGCTTGGAACAAGTCCCAGGAAGGACTGTGGAGTGAGAAAAGCAAGTTATGGGAAAACGCAGATTGCACAATGCCATTGCGGAGGTGGCATGTTGACCCCCGTGTGCCTGCGGTGGAGGCAGGGTCTGAGCAGGGTTGGGGGCTGGAGGGGAACTGGGCCAGACCCACCTGCGACTGTGATGGGTCACCTGAGGCGACCGTGGGATGCTGGAGTGAGGGAGGAAAAGGAGTGAGCGCCAAAGGGAAAAAAAAAAAAAGGAATGCATTTAGAAACACACGCATATGATCATCTGATTTGTGCATTTATAGGGAATTATGTATATTAGTGAGCATATGCATAAAGAAATACATTTTTTTAATTTTAAACAAAGAATGCAAGGGTATCCCCCACTAAGAAAGTGTGCTTCGTAACAACAATCCAGATTTATCAAGATAAATTGGGGGAAGACAGAACTTCCCAACAGAACAGGAATGTCCTGTGAAGTGTCTTTAAATGGCTGGCTCTGGGCCCCGGCTCTGTGTCCCCTCGTGCAGCAGCCTCTGTTCTCCAAGCCTTGGTTTCCCCTCCTGTGAAAGGCCTGCAACCCAGGCCTGTTGTGGGAATGAAAGGTGTGAGAATGCAAAGGCCTGGCATTTAGTAAGATTGCAAAAGCCAGGGGTTTTTTTTTTGGCTGTCCTGGGTTTTCCTCTAAAATGGGTCTGATTTTCTCCCACCGGGCGTGCCTGCGCAGGACTGTGCTCGTGAGGTCGTTAGCCAGTGCCAGAATTGTTTCTTTCCAAAGCCCTTACAATAGCAATTTGGCGTGGGAGGAAACCGTAGCCGTTCAATCCAGACCTCTGGTGTTGCTGATGGGAAAACCCAGGTCTGGGCGAGGATGTGGCTGGCCTCAGGTCCGCAGGCAGCAGGGCGGGAGCGGGCCCCCCCAACCCAGTGCAGCGTTTTTCTGCTGTGCCCTCTGACTTCCTGCTTGGTAATCAGTGCACTCACTGACCACACTGGGGAGGTGTGGAAGGGGGGGTGGTAGGCAAGGAGCTTTTGGGTCCAAGACCATTTCTCTTGGCCGTGAACTTGCTTCTCCTTGTGGTGGCTTCTTCAGTAGAGGACTTTCTCCTAATCTTTGCACTCCACGCTCCACAAGCATGTGTACACACACACACACACACACACACACACACATAGTTCCACTTAGCCAAGTGTGAGGGATTTGGGAGCACACATTCCATAGCCACGCTTCCACTTGGCTTTGTCGGGGACTGTCGCTCCAAACCCCTCAGCTGCCTCTGCAGGTGACAACCCTGGGCAAAGGCATTGGTCAGTCCCTTTGAGAGAGGAGGGGATCAGCATGGCTGCCATGGCAGGAGCTTAGAGGAGAGGAGTTTGTCCCCGGTCAGAAAGGTAAATGCTGGGAGGAGGCTCGGATCACATAGGGCCTTTTTTGCTTAATTTATTGTATTTTTGCCCCACTGCTCCACAGGGTCTTGCAGGCCTTGGTAAGGTGGTGATTTGTACGTAACCTGGGAAGCCACTGGAGGGTCTGAGCAGGGGCGTGGCATTCTTGGGCTTACATCTCCCCGGGGTTACTGGGCTGCTGTATAGAACTGACCACAGGGAGCAAGAAGCGGGGAGACTGCTTCGGAGCCTGATACATTCCAGGGGCAGACAGTGGTGACTCAGACCAAGGGGCAACAGGGCAGATAGTGAGAGCCTGCCTCCTCTTCCAGGTGAGCTGGTTTTGGGGTCTATTTTAAAGAGCAGCTCATTAGAATTGGCTGGTGCATCAGATATGGAGTGCGAAGGGAAAAATAAAAGGAGAATTTTAAAAGCCAGCTGGAAGGATGGAGATGCCTCTGTGAATGTTAAGATAAACGAGACTTTATCCTCACATTCTATGCAGACATTTCCAGTCCCAGTATCTTGTCACCTGGGAGGGAATCATTTATGGATGGCTAGGGTCCTGGGGAGGGTGTGAGCCTTGGCTGGTGCCCACTGAGCTTCCTCACCCCCACCTCCAGGTACTTCTTTAACTGTGACTGCCTCATCCCCCTCAAGAGGAAGAAGAAGTACTTTAAGGTATTCGAAGTCACCAAGACAACTGAGAGCTTTGCCAGCAAGGTCCAGAGCCTGGTGCCGGTCAAGTACGAGGTCATTGTGACGACAGGCTATGAGCCAGGGGCCGGCACCGATGCCAACGTCTTTGTGACCATCTTTGGGGCCAACGGGGACACAGGCAAGCGGGAGCTGAAGCAGAAGATGAGAAACCTCTTCGAGAGGGGAAGCACCGACCACTTCTTCCTGGAGACGCTGGACCTGGGTGAGCTGCGCAAAGTGCGTGTGGAGCACGACAGCAGCGGCTACTACTCGGGCTGGCTGGTGGACAAGGTGGAGGTCACCAACACCAGCACGGGGGTGGCCACCATCTTCAAATGTGGCAGGTGGCTGGACAAGAAGCGGGGAGACGGGCTCACCTGGAGAGAGCTCTTCCCTTCTGTCTGAGGGGCTGGGGTGTCCCCACCTCGCCTTCCCACCCTGCACCTGGGCTTCCGGCCGTCTTTTCCTGAAGCCTCCTGGAGCTGGGACTGGGGACCAGAAGGTGGCACGTGGCACTGTGGACCGGAACTCCACGGCCCTTCAGAGGCCACTCTGGGTGACTCCTAGTGGGTTCTGCCCTTCTCTGTCTCCTGGACCTACAGGAAGCCATCAGCCTGGGCCGCCGCCTGCAGCTGCACGAAAACAGCTCTTTGCACTTTCTTTTCCAGTAACAGCAGTGACCAGGCTGAGACTTGTTTCTGGTGCAGATGGGGAACGGGGGATTCTCCCAGGGCATCGGAGTGATGAAGAAGATGCCATTGAGATAGTGTATTTTAAGCAAAAGTTAATTAACACTCCCCCCCTCCCAAAGCTGGGCTCATTAAATTATTACCAACCACACTCCACAAAGAACTCATCTTGACCTCTGCTCACTAAAAATGCACCCTTTTCCCAGTTTTAATAAATCCAGTGCAAACAAAGGAAGACATCAGGAGGAAGCATTTGTACCAGGGGGATTGATGAGTCTGTGAAAAGGCACGTGATTCTTTCCCCTACTTCCCAGAGAATGCACGGCCACCAGCCCGCTGGTTGCCCAGCCTGTGATAACACAGCTGAGACCTGAGCGGAAGGCAGTGGGTGCCTGGAACAGCCTGGTTGCTGCTGCATTCCTGGCGGGGAAAGGGGAGAAGGGAACGTCAGGGTTATTTACACCTCTTGCCTGGGGCTCTCTGTGGGCAAGTGGACAGAGAGCTGCTGTCAAGGGGGTCTCGACCTTGATGAAGAGGCAGCAGGAGAGCGAGCAGCACACTCCTGTATCTGTGCACCCCTCCCCACCCCACACCCTCCCCGACTGACAGTCGCAAAGGGATCAGACATGGCACCGCACGAGTGCAGCAGGACTGAGCACTCCACTGCTGCCTTCCCTGCAGGGGGGTCCTGAGCGGTTGGGCTCATCAGGCCCATGGGAGGGCAGCCTAGGCAGGGCTCCTGTCACCCAGCTGCGTGCCCTGTGCCCTCTGGCCATACAGGTGTAAATACTTAGCAAGGCTTCACGGCTCCGAGGCAGGTTTCTGGAAGCCTAGGAGACTCTTGGAGAGCTGCCAAAGTTGAAGGCACTGGCTGGGCAGGCAGCCTGCCTGGGCGTGAGTGCCCGCTCCCCCTCTCACCGGCTGGGGGAGCTGGGCCATGGTGTCCACCTCTCAGGCCTCGGCTGCCTCACCTGCGACATGGAGAATGGTAGTCCCTACCTCACAGGTGATTACGAGGGCTAAGTGTACTGATATGCAGTTTTAATTCAGCACTCACACTGAAGGGTGAGTATGTCCATCATGTCGAACAAGCAGGGCTCGAGGGGGCCGTGTGGTGCTGGGGAACATTAAACAGCTTCATTGAATCTTTTTCTGTGGTCTGGTTCTTCCTTGGTCCCTGGATGAAAGTTTAGGCAAGTCTCAAAACTCTTCTGGACTCTCTCAGGTCGTAAAAAGTCCAACAAGCACTTTAAGTCACAAAGCCCATCTCAGTTCTGTCGTTTAAATGTCTGGCTCCAATATAAATTCCCAAATGTCACACTTAGAACTGAGTCCCCTGGGTGCCACTGTGGCCAGTGTCTTTCCTTCAGGACTGGCGGGTGTCTGGGCCTTTCCTCTCACTTGCACTTGTGTGGGTTCTTTCTCAGTCCCTCCGCCCCTCCCCTCTGCCTTCTTCCTTCAGATCTGAGAAGCCCCCACCTGGTTCCCCAAGTTCCCAGGACCTGGGCCATTTCCCTCGGGGGCAGCTTGCCCACAGCTCTACGCCCAGCTCACTAGCCTCTGGCTATGACGAACGCTGTCCCCTCTTTGACCCTGCTGGGGCTGTTCCCTGGGCTTGAAGTCTCCTCACCACCTATCTGATCTTCCATCCCGCATGCTGGGAGGCCCCGAGCTGGTCCACACTCCCTGCTTTGCCACGGGACCAGAGAGGGACCCTGGTTCCCTGAGTGTTCCAGTGAGACAGAGCTGGGCTCCAGCTAGGCCGTCTGACGCCCTCCCACTCTGTGGAGGCGGCTCTGGGGGAGAGGAGCAGGGGCCCGCAGTCCTGGAGAACTCAACGTCTGTCAGGTCCATCTCCACAGCCCTGTTCCTAGCCTGGGCGTTGCCTTTCTTGGGGAGCGCTGGGGCCCTCGGCAAGTTACATTGTTTGAGACTCCACAGTCCTCGTTTCTGCATCCCGGCTGTGGGCACAGGTGGGAGAGAACCACTTCAAGGTCACTGGGGAGAGGGGTAAAAGAAGGCTGACTCCCCACTGCATTCTGCTGTCACCTGTTGCTGCCCTCTACACCGAGGAAGGAACGAGGGATGCCCATGGAAGCCCCCCTCCCAATCTCACCCCATCCGCCCCTGGTCAGGACTCTACTCATTTCTTCCTTGTCGCTAACTCAGGAATCACCCTCTCGGCAAGGCCGAAAGCAAAGCTAGGGTTAGGGAGAAGCGAGCAAGGAGCCCAGGGTGTGAACTTGAAGGAGGCACTCAACCTGGGGCTGTGCAGAGGCAGGGCTAGTGCCTGAGAGTGAGGCCTCCCTCCCCACCGCACTTGCTTGCCTTGCCCTAGTCCTGGCCCTAGGTGAAAGGTATTCTTCTACCCTAATCCCCCACACAGCCGTGTACCCCAATAGTCCACATCCCGGGGCTGAGACCCAAGAGCCGGCCATGGTGATGGTGAACAAGGCCCTTCTCTTGTGAAGGCTCCTCAACCCATGTCACCCCAACGCCCCTGCTACTGACACAGTCCCTGGTCATCACTGGCTGGGGCGGCCGGCCAAGAGCAGGTGCTGCTGGAATGCCACCTCTCCTCCCACCCAGGCAGGCAGCCTCCTCCAGAGCTCAGAGTGACAGAAACGAAGGAAGGAAGGAATGGTTACTTCCTCCCCCTCCCTTCCATTCCCGGTCCTCACCAAAGATGCTCACTCCTTCCCCAGCCCCAGCCCCGCCCCACCCCCACTCCCCCAGCTGCTGTCTGGCAGAAAGGTCTTCCTTATAAGGGTGGCTTCTTGAGTGACAAGGTTTTCTATCAGCTCCATTTTTGCACACCCGACTTAGAGACAAGTCTGTGTGGAAGGATATTTGGGAAGAACCTTGGTCATATTGCGTTCAAGTAACTGCTGAGTATTCCCACATAAGTGTCTCTGGGGTCTACATCAAAGAAAAGATCACAACTCATTTGCAATTAGCACAAGCTATTTACATACAAATGGTTGCACCACAATGTTAAAAAACTATTTTGCTCTTAAGTAGGTTAAACAGAAGCCTTCCCTCACTATTTCCCCAGCTCTGACTGAACAACCCCTTTCTTCCAGGATTTTGATAGAAATATAAACTCAGTCAGTTCAGATACAACTCTTATGAATCCAATTATGTGGGGGTCCCCCTAGACAAGGTCAGAAGTACCGCAGGTGCCCCTCTTCCCAAGAACCCCTGTGCGGCGTGTCCATCCTAAACTGGCACCCATGTTACCCCCAGCCCCTTGGCAGAACGTGGCACCAGGCACAAACCCCTGGCAGGCACCCAAACGCCCTGAGCGAGGACAAGGTAAGGGGACTTCAGGGAACAGGTGAGGGAAGCTTGGCCTGGGAAAAGGGAATAAAAGGAGCCTGGAGGAGCAAAGGGGCTTGGGATGGATGGGCTTTGAGAAGGAGTGCCTTTTTATAGCAGCCCTCAGTTTTGCAGGAGAAGGTGGACAGCTGCCACCCACCTGGATGGGGGGTGGGGGTGGGAAGCGATGTTGATTATGGGCAGGAGGGAAGGTGGGTTCTCTACTTCTGGTCTAGAGCTTTCAACGTGGCCTGAGGGTGAGGTAAGAATAGTGTGATGCTTAATTTCATGTGTCATTTTGGCCACTGGAAGCCCAGATTAAACATTGTGTATTTTGGAGTGTGTCTGTGAGAGTGTTTCCAGGTGAGACTAGCATTTGAATTGGTGGACCCAGTAAAGAGGACCACCCTCCTTGATGTGGGTGGGCATCATCTGGTCCATGGAAGGCCTGAACAGAACAAACTGGTGGAGGAAGGAGGAACTTGTTCCTTTTCTACCTGCCTGCTTGAGCAGGTGTTGGTGCTCTCCTGCCCGTGGGCAGAGACCGACACCCTTGGCTCCCCTGGTCCTCAGGCCTGTAGACCCCAACTAAATTACACCACTGGCTTTCCTGGGCCTCCAGCTTGCAGATGGTGGGAAATGGGACTCCCCCACCCCCATAAACACTGGAGCTAATGCTTTCTTATGATAAATCCCCAAATATATATTTAGATATCACTATCTATCTACCTACCTACATACACACACACATACATACCTATCATCTGTCGGTTCTGTCTCCTGGAGAACCCTGGCTGATCCAGACAGGCTCTGTTCTTCTTTAGCCTCCTGGGCTCTTCATGGGTCTTCATGGTGACAGGGAGTCACTGGCATGCAGACAGTATGCACCTGGATGTTTTCTGAGAAGTCCCTTCCTCCTGGGCTCTGAGACAGGATCGTGGGGGACAGGAGGAGAGACTAGGAAGGCTGCATTTGCCAGTGTAGGGGGTAGGACAAAATCTAAAAAAAGAGGAGCATTTCTCCAGTCCCTAGAACAGCTCAGGCCTTTCCTTACAGTGGAACTTGCATGGCGTAGACAGAGATTAAACAGACAAGGATAATAGAGGGGATGGCGTCTATAAAAAAAGACGTGGAATGTAGGAACTGGAAGGATCCGAGTCTACCATCCGTATTATTACAGCTGGAAACCCAGGGAAAGCAATGGCTTTGCACATCCGCATGCTGGTTGGTGGTGGGGCCAGGACCAACCTGCCCCGATTCATGGACCAAGAGGCAGAGATGGAAATACAAGGAAAGCAGCAGACAGCTGTTGTGGTCGTGGCATTTGAACAAACACTAGGGATTTAAGTGTCCATTGACCTAGTAACTATGGGTGTTAGTTAATAAGAATGAATGGATAGCGGCTCATCAGTCCTAGCAATGCACTGCACCTGGGCAAGATGCGTATAATGGCAGGGACTGAGTGGTCGTGGTGAGGGAGTGCATCGGAACTCTGTGCTTTTTGCCCGTGTTTCTGTAACCCTGAAACTGCGCTCAGAAATGATGTCTGTTACTTTTATAAAAAGTTCACGAATATGGGTTCTGTTTGCAGTTGAGGAAAGAAAGCCATCTTTCAGTCCATTGACCCACATGCTGAGAACAGACTCGAGACCAGGGGTGCCCAACCTTTTGGCATCTCTGGGCCACACTGGAAGAAGCGTTGTCTTGGACCTCACATTCAATACATTGTGACATGGAATCACAAAAAACATCTCAAAATGTTTTAAGTAAATTTACAATTTTGCATTGGGCCACGTTCATAGCCATCCTGGGCTGCAGATGGCTTGCGGCTGTGATGATGCTGAATGTCTAAGTTAGGCTCTACAGAGGCCTAAGAAACCCATGCCGAATGTCAAAAATCATATTCTGTCTAGCCTGCAGGGACACTGAGGTGTCCTTCAGTTGAAAACCTGAGAGGTTACTTTTGAAAATTGATGAAAAATGTGAGCTTTCCCCTTTAAGAACCATAAACGGAAGCTTAGGAAACAGTTTAAACTAGATGTTGGGTTCACGGCACAGAACAGATTCTTTGACAGATAAAGAGGTTAAAGAAAAGAATGCATGAGACTGGAGAAGGAGGAGGAGGTCCTTCTTCTTCCAGTGGAGGTGGAAGAAGTGGAGGAAGAGGAGAAGCCAGTGAGTGGCAGGGAGGGAGGCCGAGGAGAATGAGTGGGGAAGGGTCACCCTCCATGGCCTCCGATCCTGGGTGGAGACAGGTCTGGGAGGGGCTTTCTTGGACGCACCCTGGGTGTGCACAAAAACAAGCACCCTGCACAAGCGAGGTGTAGTTAGCAATGCAGTTCATTTTTATTAGTTATAAATAAAGTACAAAAAATCCACCAAAAGTGAATCTAAGCATTTACACAATTCCTAATGTCTCCGCCTTTTCATTGATGCACTATTGCTTTAATATTCATAATAAATATTCTTCTAGCTTTCTGCTATAAAATAGTCTATGTAGCAAAATGTTGCACAGCACAACAGAACAGAACAGCAGGAGGATTACAAAAAAGGACAATCAACACTGAGGATAATCCTTTCACTTACCAGGGGCAACCAAATTACCCCCTTGAGGGGCCAAGTGCGCTGGCTCCACAGCAGAGAAATGAGCTGAAGCCAAGGCCAGGGGTGGGCGTGGGGGAGGGGAGGGCTGGGGTGAGGAGGGTGGGGGCACAGGCCAGCCAGGGCAAGGGGCCCCTTCCCACTCCGACCCTGCAGAGCAGCATAAGGCATGTCTGTCCAGGAGCCTTGCCAAGAGGGCAGTGTCTGCCAGGCCCAGCAGTGTGGTGGCCGGGTGGCCTGGTGGGCCACTCCACAGGCCATCTCCAAGGAAAGCAGGAGAACAAGGCTCCAGGGCAGAAGCAGGAAGGGAAGCCAGGCAGGTAGCAGGCAGGAAGCCCAGGGAACGAGACCCATAGTCCAGCCGGAGCAAAGTTGGGGCTTAGGGACCATGCCCGGCCCAGCCACTTCTACAAGCCTGGCCAGGCAGTATGGCAAATTGGGCACCCACGTCCTCCCCCCATCAGCACCATCCCAGGGGGCCTCATGTGGAGGGTGGACTTCTCCACCAGGTAAAGGCAGTGGTGTCAAGAGGCAACAGGAAAAGATGGGCTGGAAAGGAAGGGAAGGAGGAAAGGGGGAAAGAGGCAGGCATGCAGAGAGCATGGGAGTGACCCTCCCTCTCCCGGCCAGGGTCTGAGCCCATTCAGAGGCTTCAGCCGAGGGTATGGACCTCCTCTCTCTCCTATTAGCTCAAAGTCATCTGAGCTCACAGCTGCACGGGGCTTTGAAGCCACTACTTCCCCAAACTCTTCCCTCACACCCTTCCTCAGGGCGGTGAGCGGGGAGCCCCCACCCCTATCTTCTGTAGCAGCGCCCTCTGCCCACAGCCCCATGGAGCAGTGACAGACAGCGAAGGAGAAACCAGTAGTCTAACACGTGTCCCAATCTGCCGTCACGGGTGATGCCTCAACAACACGGTCTCCAAGAGATGGCAGGATGGGGCACCAATGCAAACACCATGGTTTGGGGCTCACTCCATCCCCACATTTAGCAAGATGTGGACTTTAGCTCAGTCTCCAAATGCCCATCAAACCTTGTGAAAGGACATGTCCCATGTCAAAGAATGAATCCACCCGCCCTCCCTCCCTGTGTCCCCACCCCCCTCACCAGGATGCTGCCTATAAAAGGACAGAAACCCTCCCATGTCTCCTTTGAGCGAACCCACTCTCTCCCTCTCCTCTCCGCCGCCTCCTTCCTCCCTTCCTTCCTGTCTCCTTTCCTGAGAGGGTGAGACAGCACAGCAGGGTGGTCTTCCACCAGACCTGTGTCATAGTCTCTCTGAGTCTGAGGGACCCTGAGACCCTCCAGCTCACCTCCCTTTCCCAGCCCAGAAAACTGGGACATGAGGAGGCCAAGTGACTTGCTCAAGGTCACAAGGAAGTTTGCAACAGAGCTGGTCTGAAAACCTGAGCCTCCTGACCTCTAGTCCAGGGTTCATGCTAATAAATCAGGCTTTTTTGGCTTTTAGATGCTCCTGCTGGTCATGTCTGAAGGGAGCATTCTGGAACCAGAGAGATTTGGAGCCCAGGTGAAGAGAGTGACCTCTAGTGCCCCCAGACTTTCCTCAGAGGACGGGACAGAGCGGGCGGAGGTTGTGGGAAGGGCAAGGGAAGAAGGAAAGGCAGGTTAATGGGGCGGGGGGGGGGGGGGCGGGGGGAAGGTGGGGGGGAAGGGTAGCAAGTGAAAGGATTACCCCAGTCTGCTGATGAGTGCAAATCATATTTATATATGTGCTAAATACAGTCACTATATTGGAGTTTTTCACTAGATCACAGCATACAGAATCAAAGGTTTGCATTTCGTATGGAATGTATCCAAAGAGGCCAGCACCACAGGAGGACAGCTTGCAATCACACACCCTGATAGTTTGGACGAAATAAAGTTCGCGGAATTTTATTTATTTTTTGTATTCGTAGTTGTTTGTCATCGTACCAATGCATGCAAAGCATTCCACTCCCAGAAACAACGCCAAAATGAGGTAATAGGAGTAATAAAAAAAATTAGTATCCTTTCTAAATAAATAAATTATAATTAAAAATGCAAAACAACTATAAAAATAATTAAATAAGAACCCACGATATCTACAAGTTAGTCATAAATTATGATTGTTAAATATAAGGCATTTAAACTCACAAAACCCTGTAAACTAGCAACGTGCCATGTTTTTTGTGGTTTTTTTTTTCATTTTTGTTTTTCTATCAGCTGAAATCGCTCTAGCATTTGCTCTACGCGCGCGCAGGTGATGAAACACGAGGGGGGGACCTGACAGACGACGTTGCTACAGCCCCACGCGGGGAGTGTGTGTCCCGCCGGCCGGCGGGGGGGCTTGGGGGATTTCTTCAGAAAAAAAAGAAAAATCTGGTGCTTTTTTTCACCATTGAAAAAACTGTGCTTGTTCATTAGGCGTAAAGAGTTAAGAATACTTGCACGGAGGCCGGGAACATTTGCAGAAGAGGAGCTCAAGTCTTGCCACAGGTGGTGGGCAAGGGCGACAGGGCGCGAGAGGGTCCCTGGGGGCGGGTGGAGGAGCCCCGTGGCCCCGCCCTCTGCCTGAGCGGGCCGGGCTCGCAGCGTTGGTTTCGGCGATTGGCATCCTCAGTGGACCCACTGCGGCCAGGACTGTGCTGCAGCTAGGAGGCCCGACTCGATCCTGGGGCAGCTCTCGCCCCAGAAGGCACTCATGCGTCTCAGTCGAGAAAGGGTCTGAGTCCCTGGTGTTGAGCAGAGGGGAGCGCTGGGGTTCTCCCCTCCTGGAGGTGGCGGGTGTGAGATGCTGAGGCCTGAGCCCGCCTCTTCTCCACTCTTCCCCGGCTCCCGGACAATGGGGGAGGGGCCGCGAGGGAGCAGAAGCACAGACCCCCTGTCCTCTCTTCTCACCCAGGTAGCTGCCCCGCTAAAGGAGCAGGGAGGTGCCTGCATCCACATCACCTCCCGTGCCCACCTGCAGGGTAAGAGGGCCCCGAGGAGATGGGGAGAGGACGAGGGCTTTAGAATCTACCCGGAAAGCCAGCAGCTGACTTCTTCCCTCCAGGTGGTCCCCACCCAGTCCAGGCAGTGCGGCTCAGGGAGCCTGCAGATAATTGGGAGGGGTAGGAGGAGGAGACCACGCCCCATGCTCAGCCCCAAAGCAGGCGTCGGGGCCACAGCAAGTCGCCTCAACAGCGCGGCTGGCACGCAGCTCTAATGACTTGACTGACGTGTTGATGTTAGGGAAGATGGAAGAATGTGAGTGTGGGAAGAAAATTTAGCAAGCACGCAGTCCGGCCTCCTCGTGGTACAACCGAGGAAACTGAGGCCCAGAGAGAAGAAGGCAGCGTTCTGGCACTACCCACTCTGTCCGGGAAGAGCCAAGGCCAGGACGCGGCACGCCAGCTCTCGCCCGTCTGGCCTCCCCCCCCCCCCTCTACCTGCCAGCCTTCCAAACCAGCCTTAGAGGAACAAGAGCCCACGACTAAGAGGGGAGTGACCTTCCCTGGACCGCCCTGGCTACCTGGGGGTCAAAGCAGGGCAGGGAGAATTCCCACCTTCCCAGGAAAACAAGTCACTAGCTTTCCCCCAAATCCTGACTCAGAACTAAATCCTTCTCACACCGGTGTGGTCTCTAGCCTTTAGCCTGAGACACTGTTAGGGGACAGTGTCATGCTCATTGCCAATTAGGTAGACTATTCACCATTTTTGCGCTGTTCTTATTCTTCGTGTCTTAACTCCTCGGCTCTACCGTACACTCCTCAAGGCAGGTACCGTCTTCCTCACCATCATCTGTCCCAGCACCTGCCCTGGCAGGCACCCAGTAAGGGTCGCCTTACTCTGAGTAAGATCCTTGAGTAACCCTCCCTCCAGAAGCCACCTCCACACGCCACCTGCAGCTGTCCAGAGCAGCTACCTGATAGCTTAGTTGTACTAGAAGGTTCTACCTCAAGCCCAAATCTGCCTCCCAGTCATTTTTACCCATTAGTCATGGTTTTACCCTTTGTAGCAGCAACGCACACTCCAATTTCCTCAACCTTATGGAATTTCTTCATATATGTAATAAATATTCTGTCCCCCCTAGTCTTCTCTTGTCAATACATGGGCATTGAGACTGGGGTCGAGGGGGAAGCTTTGAGGGCAGTGCAAATGAGGGAGAGGAGCACAAGAGGGGAAAAGGAAGAGAGCCGAAGTCCAGCTGAGCTGGTGTTTTCCACCAGCAGATAAAGAACGTTGGGTTGGGACCGGTGGATTGGTGGAATGTGGTAGATTTTCCCATCTCCACTCCTCTGTCCTCTCATCTCTCAGCCCCCGTTGAGGTTCAGGGAGACTGTGGGCGCGGTGCAGAAAGACATACTGTGTGCTGTCACCTGGAGCTCCCAGGTCTGTCTCTCCTACCACCCCCACCCCTATCCCAAGGAGGTCCCCAGGAGAGCGCGTGAGCGTCTTGGGCAGGTCGGATTAATCCTCACAATATGTAAGTGAGGTAGAGGAAGTGGAAACGGGGATGCACTGTCATTTCTCCTCACTCTAAGGAGAGGGAAACTGAGGCACAGAGAATGAAAGGGACTTGCCCAAGGTTATCAGAGTCAGAGAAAGGGCCAGAGGCCAGGGACACAGTGCCTCCCACACCCAGCCAGCAGGGTCCCAGGGCCAGGGCCTTCTCCGTGGGACTCCATCAGGATTTGAGCCATCCCAAAGGAAGCTCAAGGTCCTCCTCAAGGCCCACAGTATTGACCTCAGCCCAAGGGTGCTAGCTGAGAGCACTTTGGCCAGGACCTAGTATCCATCACCTATGCTACGTATCCTTACCATCTGGTTCATTTTTTGCATAGGGAGGCAGTAGCCAAATTGCCTCTTTGTGGCAGGGCATGAGCACAGCCCAAAAGGAGTTGGCGTGAGCAGGCGCATCCTGGCTCTAAGGAACCTGGTGGCAACTTCAGTTGAAGGCCGGCCCCTCCCTGGTTCAGTGTGGAACTGAGGGGATGGCTGGAGCTAAGTAAACGGGCCTGGAAATAGCAATCCCTCCTTCGAGACAGAATTCTCCCCTTACCTGCTCAAACCCCACCTTCCCAAGCCTGGCTGGGCCCCTTGGAAGCCTATCTAAGCCCCCTCCTGCTCCTTCTCCAGTCCTTGCCTCTCCCAGATGCCCCCTTCCACACTCCGTGCATTGTAAACATGAGAAAAATGAAAGCAAAGGGAAAAACCAAAACGGAAAACGAAACAAGGACCCCCCCACCCGCCTCCCAACCTGGGTGAAAAAAATCATCCTTTTTTCATCGTAAACAGGATTTGGCTTTTTTTTTTTCCTTTCACTTTTGATTCCTTTTCCCTTTCCTCTCACAAAGACGGGAAAATCTGGGCTGTCGTTGGTTGGTTCAGTCAGGCACCAAAACAAGAAACTCAATGAGAAATATTTGGTGCGGATTCGGTAATAGCGACATGACCACCACAAGATGACTAGAGCACCACACACAACATTTTTCTTAAGCTAACATGCTCCGGCTGCCATCCACAGAAATAGCTAGAGACCCCTACATGGTTTCTACGTGGTCGAGAGGTATATATACAATCCTTCAAAGGACAGGATTGAGGGGCCCGTCTATGAGCTGGGACCTTCGGGATCACGTGTGGGTTCTCAGCAGCGTGGGCCCCCCTTCCCACCCCTGCTCCGGCACGGCCAGCTCCCTCCCTCCCGAGCAGCGAGGCAGATGGGGACAGTCGCCATTCCGGATGGGCGGGTCCTCCCCGACCCCTCCTGTCCCTCAGACACTGATACCACCAACTCCTCTTTCCACAGAATGTGCTTGCAGGCTTTTCCTCTACGTCAAATGGCTCAGAAGGCAAAGTTTGGCTGCAAGGGCTATGGCCGTGGGGGGACCTGGTGAAGGAAAATGGGGCGTCCACTGGCTAATTCCTCCCTCAGCTGTCAGCTCCCAGTTGTGTCTCAATGTCCACCCGGCAGATGGGGCATTTCTTGCTCATGGCGAGCCACTGGTCCACACACAGCTGGTGAAACAGATGCATACACGGTAGACGCCTAGAAGAGAGGGGCCGAGTCAGAGGACAGGCCGAGGGGAAGGGGCCCGGGGCTGCGCCAGGAGCCGAGGGGCACCGGCTACTCCAGGGACCAGAAGACTCACACCCAGGACTGCTGGGGGCGCTCTGCCATGAAGTGAGTCTGCGGCTGGGCCGGGAAGTCATGCCAGGAAGGAGGGCTCCAAAGTCCTCCTTCTGCGTGAGGCCCTTTCAGTTCAGCCTGAAACAAAGCCAGGCTGAACAGCAGGCTGTTCTCTTAAACTTAGTTTCTCTGAGTCCACACCCACAGGCACCCACATCTAGAATGTTCCATACCCCCCCTTCCTAGAACCAGGAAGCACACTATGACACACATAGGTGTACACACTCACACACACAAGCAAACCCACGTGATCACCAACACCCATGAGGGGAGGGAGAGGGAATCCAAGAGACCTCCTACCTCACATCTTCTCCATCTTCCAGCATGGACAGACAAATTGTGCATTTCTCGTCTGTGTCTGACTCCTCCCCCTCCTCTTTCTTTCCCTTGCCATCCTGGGGTCTTCTCTATGAGAAGCAAAGGAGGAGCACTCGTTACCTGAAGCGGACTCGCCTGGTGGTCACTGTCGTTCACCCACGGCCTCTCCCTCCCTTGCTGCCTTTTTCCCACCTCCTCCCACAATGAGAAAGTCTCTTTTAAGTTCCTAAGTAATACCCAGGCCTCTATGCTCTCCCCAGACCCCTCTCCCTGCCTCCTCCCCAATCTCTCCTCCTCGCTGCAGAATACAGAGGGTTAAAGCCAAGTGAACTTTAATTATTGTTGTTCCAGGCAACTCACGCCCCTGGCATAAACTGTATATCGTTCTAGGAACAGAGTGTTGAAAGGAATTGGGTAGCAATCAATCAATCCTTTGCAAAGCAATGGCTGTGCATAAACCATTTCACATTTTCTGTTCACTTTGTTCTGTCCATTCCTCACACTCTTCCAGCCTAGATCCCGCCTCCTGGCTTCTCCACCTTCAGGTCCAGCATGCTTCATCCATCCATGCATCCACTTTTTCTTTCCTGCCTTCCTTCCTTCGTTCCACTGCTACTAATGTCTACTTATTTTTTTAATGCATTACTAGATAATAGCAAAAATCCTCAACCTGGCATTAACATCTGTGATTTGTAACATACTGTTATTTTATATTGTTGGATTTCTCTTCCTATCCAGGAAGTTCCTTTAAGATGGGCAGTAGTTCCAACATAATATTAGTCATCTTGCGGGCACTCTGTTTATACTTTATTGACTTTAGTTGTCCTGTTTTAAATGCTACTATAATTATTTGAAAATAGTTAACCACTATGTGGGAAGTTTCAAGTTCTCAGATGGCAGGGACTATGGCTCACTCTTCTTCAGGTATCGCTCCACCCTTGGCCAAGTACAAGTACATCACTGGTGCTTAGTAAATATCCTGGGGAGGAAGTGATGTAATCAGTGAGGGAAACAGGCCTACCTTTCATGTTCCCATCTCCATGCTGTGAAACAGTCTGATAATACCCATGGGAAGAAAATTAGCCCTTCTGTCCCCTCTCCAGGAATAAGCAGATTTAAAGATCATTTTGCCAAGAGCAAAACCTGGAGAGTCCCAACATGAAGACCACCCAGAGAATGACTATGACCTTGGGGCCAGGCCTAGATGCCATGGCTCCCCACTCTGGTCCCTGGTTCTAAGCTCTGGAGTTTCTTAGTCAGAATATACAATAATACCCATGCCTTCTGCTCTAAGCATCCCTGTGCCCCTACGCCCTGCTGCAAACCATGCCAGGTGACTGCAGTAACTTCCCCTTACCCAGAATCCAGAAAACCAGAATTACGTTCCTAGTCCCATGCACTTGTCATGGCTTGTGAGTATGAATGGCGTCACATGATCTATCTGTCTGCCTAAGAGCCCAGCAGTGTTTGCTGGGGGAGTGGCCTTTTCTTAATTAGCCCTGCGACAAAAGGGAAGTTCAGTAGAAGATGCCATTAAAACTCAACCAACTACTTGCTTATTTTCTATTTTCACCATTATTTATGATTTCCTTTTTATAATGAATAATTTTAACTTAATAGTCATACCTTATTTTACCACATCCAATGTATATTTCTCTAAACCATTCTCTCTTTTCAAAGCTTACTCTGCTTCTTATTTTGTATTTTGAATCTTTTAGGTTTTCTGGTTTTTGTCTTTTTTTATTATCTTTGTAACTTTTATTTTAACTTTAACTTTTTTCAGGATTTAGTACTTATTTTATCTTTTTTGCCCTTACTTTCATATTTTCATTAAATTTCTTTTCACCTTGCTGCTATTGATTTCAATTTTATGTTGTTTTCATATCTTCTCCTAATTCATACTCTTTTTATATTTTTCTATTTGATCATATATTTTTTCTGCATTTTTCATTCTTATATCATTACCTCTTTAAAATATCCCTTTTTGTCATATTATTTTACTCTCAGTTTGAATTTTTTAAGTTTTTTCTTTAGATTTTATGTGGGTCCTTAGCTTTATCATCTCTCATTTTTAATTATTCTTATTGCTTTTTTATAATACTTTATTCCCCTATTTCTCCCTTTAGTCTCATAATTTTTTAAATCCTCACCCAAGGGCATGTTTGTTGATTCTACAGAGATAGGAAAGGGGGAGGGAAGAGAATGAGAGAAAGAGAGAGAGAGAGAGAGAGATGGGGCAGAGAAACATCAATCCGTTGCCTTCTGCACATGCCCCAGCTGGGGACTGAACTTGCAACCCTGGGTATGTGGCCTGACTGGGAGTCAAACCCGCAACCTTTTGGTGTAGGGGATGACACTCCAACCAACTGAGCCACCTGCCTAGGGCTATTCTCATCAGTTTTTAACTCAATTCTTTATCTCGTTGATTCGGTCCATTTTCCCTTTCCATCCTTTGTATTTGTTCTTTTCCTTATGTCATCATGGCCTCTGACAACAATGAAAGGCGGAACGTGTGGCCCTGGCAGCAGAGAGCACGCCCTGGGCAGGGACGCAGATGCTGCTCCAGGCTTCCGAACACCCCTCATTCCCACCCGTGTTCTCTAACAACCTGAAGCCCCCTCTCCAGAAAATGATCATTTTTCCCTGCGGACCAGCCCCTTAATTACCAAAATACTGTCATTTCCTCTTTTAGCACACTGTCCATGTCTGCCACATAGTAGGTACTCAAATGTTAGTTGAAGTCACTTACTGGATGCATCTAGTGCTTCTAGGAGGAGGGGCACAGACCAAGATTTGTGGTTTTTAATGTTGGCCCATGGTTTTTAATGGGTCGAGAACAAAAGGGCCCCACATCCAGGGGAGAGCTGTTCACCATTGCTGGGCACTTGCCTGGCACCGTGCTGAGCTGTGCATGTGCCTTGTCTTGCTGAATCCTCAGAGCACCCCTGTGGTAGCTACTAAAGTATCACCCCCGTGTTACATTCAGAAGGGCAGACGGCCAGAGGGCCAGAAAAGCCAAGTAAGTTGTCTGGAGTCACACGACTACTAGTGGTGGTGATTGACTGAATGTCTGGGTTCTCCCCGCCCCGAATTTAGATGTTGAAGCCCTAACCCCCAGTGTGATGATATTAGGAGAGGGAACCTTTGGGAGGTGATTAGTTTTAGATCATATCACAAAAGTAAAGCCCCAGGATGGGATCAGTGACATCATAAGAAGAGAAAAAGACATCAGCACTCCCTCTCTCCACATGTGAAGACAGAGCGAGAAGGTGGCCATCCACGAGCCAGGAAGAGAGCCCTCACCAGAAACCAAATCTGCCAGTGCTTGATCGTGGCTTAAGTGTCACCCCGTTTATGGTGTTTTTCTACAGCTGCCCAAACCAAGTGAGACAGCGGTAACAGTGTCTGCTTCCTACGCCTCCTGCCCACAAACACTGAGTCCTGGGGCCGCGAGCAGAGGCGAACATGGGCCCTGGCTCGACCACAAGGAGTGCATACCTGCCCTAAGGTTCTCAGCGCTTGAGAAGCTTTTAACTCTTAAACTTTAAAAAATGATTTGTTTGTTTTCATCTCAGACTTTATTTTTTGCCCTATTAACAACTCTCATTAGCGTGATTGATTTGTTCCAACTGTCAAACCAGTACTGATACACTATTATGAAGTGAGACCTCTTAACAGACATCAGGGTTTACTCTTTGTGTAAAGAGTCCCACGGATTTTTGACAAATGCACATTGTTCTGTGCCTGCAGTTACAGTATCACACAAAATAGTTTCACTACCCCCCAAACCCCCTGTGAGTCACCTATCCATTCCTCCCTCCTTCTCCTGAAGCCCCTGGCAATACATGATCTTTTTTTATTGTTTCTAGTTTCCTTTTCCAGGATAGTATACAGCTGGAATCAGACAATATCCAGCCTTTCCAGGCTGGCTTCTCCCACTTAGCAATATGCATTTCAGGTTCCTTTATGTCTTTTCATGGCTTCATAGCTCATTTCTTTTTATCGGGGAATAACAGTCCATTGTATGGCTACACTGCAGTTTGTTTATCCATTTATTTATTGAGGGACAACAGAGTTGCTTTCAGTATTTTTCAATTCAATTAAAAAAAATTTAACTCAGATTCCTGGCTTCTAATCCTATCTCAGATTTCTGGCAATAACTGGAGAGTCTACCTCCATAAGCTTAGGGAGCAGCCTGGGAATCTGTGGCTTTAAAAGCTCCGCTGGTGATCCCAACACTCAATAAGAATTGAAAATGTGGCTTTGAAACCTTATCCGCCCATGTGGCCACATGTGAGTCTGGAGTTGGAATCCTTCCCAAGGCAAGTCTCAGCCTTCAGTGCAAGTGCTCCCCTGGCTGGCCCCACTCAGACCCTGACACCCACTTCCCTGCACAGCTTCCTGCTGCACCCACTCACAAGTCCACATGCACACATGTACCCAGCCTCCTCCCTTTCTGACGGGAGCCCCCGTCTCCCCTCCTGGTCACACCTGGCAGAGACAAGGCAGAAGACCCTGGGAAGGGATCGCGGCTTCAGAGCATCTACCCAGAGTAAAGGTTCTAGATTTGGGACTGTGCCTCTCTGCAGACAGCCAGGCCAAAGTCAGCTAGACGCTCTCCACTGCCACCCTTACCAGGCAGGTTGTCCTGCTGGCTGACTCACCTTCTTGTACTTGTGGGGGAAGGTGAACCTCTCGATGGTGTTCTGCACGGCCCCCCGAGTCACATTTCCCAGCCTGTCCTCGAGCTGCAGCAGCTCCTGTGAAGAGAAGGACGTGGACGTGAGCACTCGTGTGCAAAGGTGTACGGACACATGTGGTGGGGGGGAGAGGCCGTGAAGGATGTTAGCAGGAAGCACCCACATAACCACCGGGAAGAACTTGTCTGAAAGACTAAAGTTTCTCTACTCTCTCTTTTTCTCCCTCTTCCTCCTGGCCCTGAGGCTCCTCCTACCCCACCCATGCCCCACCCACCAGCAGGGGAACGGGAAAGAGGACACGATGAATGGCAGTGACACAAGATAGTGGCTTCTCCACCAGCCCCACTGGAGCCAGGCTGGCAGGAGGGTTGACTCCCCGACAGAGGGGAAGGCGTACCTCATAGCTCTCCCGCACGGCAGAGGTGTGTCTGCTGGGGTTCAGTCCCTGGAGAGCAAGGAAGTGAAGCTGAGGGTAAGGGTAGTTTCGGATTTCATGGACGACCTGGAGGGGAGAAAATGCCTCTGATAGGATTCAAGGCTCCATGAGCCCAGCATCCAACTCCTCTGCCTGTAACCCCCAATCTGCACGCCCCGAAAAACTGCAGGCAGAAGTGCCATTCTGCCTGCCCCTGGGTCTCCCGCACCTCTTTGCGAACCAAGCTGGTGCTGGGCCAGGCCTGGAAAGAATAGCTAAATCGGCAAAGTAACACCTAACCTGGCGGGGCATTGGTTTCATGCCAGGCCCAGTTCTAGGCTCTTTCCATAACTAACAAATTTGATGGTCTCGTCTGATTTACATTGTGGGTGCAATCACTATCCCATTTCACTGAGAGGGCAAATGAGACACAAACATTAAGTAAGTGGCCCAAGTTATGCACCCAAGTGGCAGGACCACGATTTCAAGCCCAGGCAGCTGGGGGGCCAGGTGAGTTACCTCCCCCTTGACTCTACCCTGCCTGACCAGGGGGGCGGGGTAGGGGCGCATATATGCGAGCCCGCATTTAAGGGGCACCAAAAGATTCAGTGATTGAGACAAACAATATTTTAATGCAATATTTTTTAAAAATCAGAATTAATGTAAAAAACCTGTACTGAACAAAATACCAATGTTTTAAATAAAGACAAGATCTGCCCTGTCCTGACCTGGAGCTGCCTCTCTCACCTCGCCCTGACCCAGGTGTGAGTCAGAGGGCCAGGTGTCCAGCCCAGCTCCTCATCTCATTCTCTGTGTGACCCTGGCCTGTTACTTAATCTCTCTATGCCTCAGTTTGCCAACCTGTAAAATGGGTGCATTACCCTTCCATGAGGGGTTATTGGGAGGTTTAAATGAAATAATTTGTGTAAAGTGCTTAGAACAGTGCCTGGTATGTAGTAAGTGCTCAGTAAACACTGGCTTTTGCTCTCAGGAAATGGTGCTTTATGACAGGAACCATGGGACCTCGGAGCCGACGGGACTGCCGAGACCACTCGCCCACACCCCTCATTTTCCACAGAACGAGACTGAGGGGCTGAGCTGGTGAGGGCAGACACAAGGGCCAATGGGCTGGAATTATGCTTTGGGGCGGCCACACGAAGAAGCTGCCTGTGGATAAGATTTTCGGTCTTCTGCTACTTTAATGGAATATCTTCACCTTTGTTCCACGCAGCTCACAGCACCCCAAACCCGACCTGATCCTTCAGTCTCAACACCTGCAGAGAGAGAGGCCCAGTTCCCTGCAGAAAGGCTGGCTCAGCAGGCCGGGCCACGGGTCACCCCCAGGGTCTCTTGTTTTTCACACCACTCTTGTGGGATGGGCCAAAGAGGGCAGGACCCAGGACACAAACAGCAGGACACATGGAGGAGGACCACAGAGGAGGACACAGGCCCCAGCCCACATGGCCCCAGCAGGCGACAGGGTATCAGCGCCCTGGCAGAGGCCCCCACTCACCATCTGCGTGGAGGAGGAGTTTCTGGGAAAGTGGTGCATTCGAGGCGTGGCTAGGTAATGCTGATAGTGCTGAGGGATGGGCCGCACCTGGAACTGAGCAGGACTCAAGCCGGCATCCACACTGAGATCCCTGCAGGGACACAGCCACAGGAGCCACAGGTGGGTGACTCGGCCATCGGGTAACAGAAGGGACCTCGGACATCAAGCCCATGGTGGAGAACCAGAGTCACAAATTGCCAGAGCTGCAAGGAACTGGACATCAGCTCGCTTGTCCCCTCTCTCCATACAAACAGAAATGAGACTCGGGGAAGAAAAGGTTCTGCAGGGTCTGAAGGGGCCAGAACAGTTGAGACCTCATACAACTTCTTGAAACTAGTGCATGTAAGCACCCTCCCAAGATACAGCAGCCCCCCACCCTGAGAGAAATTCCAAAAGAAGGACCAAATAAAGGGGAGGGGCAGCAGAGGCCATACTTTGACCACTTGGAGGAAATAAGAGAAGAGAGACCTCGACAGCCGTGAGGCAGGACAAGTCACCCCAGAGCACCCCCCACCCCTCTCCTTAAGGTATAGGAAAATTTGTCTCACTTAAAAGTTGATCAATTAATGCAACTGAAAAGGAACCAGGGCTCCTTAGGAAAAAGGCTTATTTCAGGTCTGGAGCATGGAATGTGCAAACTGAGATTGACTAAAGCATTTTGTCGTCACTGAAAGCGAGACAGTTATCAAACACTGCCAGGCCCAGGTCAAACACCCTGAAGGTGCTGCAGGTGGCCAGAGCCGGACACTGGGCACGTCCATGAGCACAGCTGCAACAGGGCGAAACACATCAGACGGGTGCCACCCCACGACCGTGAAATGACACTGTGGTCCCTTTGAAGGATGCTAGGGAACCAACTCCTCATTTTGAAAACTAGTAAATAAACGGGGGGAGAACCAAGCATTTAACTTGCCTTTCTTCTATTAACTGCACTTCATGGGAACCAAGTAGTTGATGAAGGGAGATTTTTCTTTATGAAAGTTTCCTAGCTAATAACTGAGTAAGGAATGATTGAATTATCTGTCTCCTTGTTTACCCTGAAGAGATAAAGGATCTGGCAGGCAAAGATCATCAATTGCCACTAACATCTCAAAAGGAGAGATAACCAGCTTCCTGCTGGAAAAAAAACACCACCTTTAAGTATTTTTGATGCAAAATAAGAGCCAAACCTAACTGTGCTCAAGCCTTGATCTATGTGCCAATGTATAGAGGATGCAGGAAACCAGGCAACATTGTAAATGATGGCAGTAGAGTGTGACCGGCAAGATCCAGACGAGGAGAACTACAGAATAAAGTACCAAATTTCTTCAAATATATATACACATATATAATTTATTATTATTACTATTAGTATTATTATTATTATTAAAGGAATTTCTGCTTTGGCCATGATAAATATATAATATCATATACATATTCCTATATTTTGTGCATATATTAGCATGGATCCCTGGAATAACTCCTAATGGGTATGTCTTTGAGAAATGAGTTAAACTCTTGGGGCCAGTTAGAAGCAAACTTAGAAATTCACTGGTCCAGCCCCAGTTTCTTCAGACCCACCCGAGGCCTGAAAAGGTCAGTGTCTTTCCCATGGCCCTGGGCTAGCCAGTCAGGGCTGCCAGGGTTTCTGAGCCTGGCCTGCGCTCCTCCGTGACCTGCCTCGGAAGCGGAGAAGGATTCCACGGGCACCCTGGTGTGGCTGAAGCTCTGACCCTTGGCATTTACCCAGCAGCCTTGAGGAACCCAGCAGGTTCAGAGCAGCAAAGAGACAGTCAGAGAATTCTACCAAAGCAAAGTCCTGCGAACTGGGAACAGAGTTGCCTCCACTCCAGGAAAGCTGACTAGAGAAGCGAAGGCACCTTGGCCTTCAGAGGAGAGGGATAATCCGCCTGGGTTGGTCCTGGGAGGGCTCTGGGATTCCCTTTTACCATCTCATCAGAAAATTCCTTCCTAAACCCAGGATCCCTGAACACGGGGTGCTGCTTGGGCCCCAAAGGAGCCTGGGTGGGGACTTGCCTGAGGAGACATCAGCCCCTGGAGAAGCGGTGCCTGCCACCTTCCTGCTGTGGCCATCAGCCCGTGAGAACCTGGCTGAGTTCTGAAAGGGGTCCTACAAACACCCCAGAGGCCTGAAGCCTCCGAGTCACCCAGAAAGGTGCCCTGGAGATTTCTCATGGACGTTGTCTCAAAGCACAGCTTTTATCAGTTGTGTCTAGACATCAAACTGAACTTGGTCTTCTGCTGTCAGTGGCCTTGGCATGTGGAGTAGTCTGGGTGCTCCATGGACCCTTATGTTCTTTGCATCGTGTTCGCTCCAAAAGTTTGAGTGACAAGGCTTTGCTGAGGCAGAGTTGCCTGCACGGGAAGGACAGGAGGAGGTTCCTGCCCTCCGCCCACCCTCCTGCCCAGGTCCCAGGTGCCTGGAGGCCTCTGCCTGGGCAGGGTTAGGGTTGGGTGGTGGAGGAGGGTGCTGTCTGCGCTGGGGGGTCAGAGCTGGAACTGGAAAGCCAGGACTAGGTCATAAAGGGAGCATGATGAGGAGGGAGACACTAGAGTGGTAGCTCAAGGTCAGGGTTAGGTTATTGGGCCTGGGCCAGAGAGGGAGCATGCATCCTGGTTCAGAGAAACTGTCTGGCGGAAAAGGCCTAGGGCCGGACAAGGGCAGTTGCAGTGTCTCAGTTCCTGGAATGATTTAGAGCAGAATTCAGTGGGTCCTGGTGGTTCTCTAAAGGAAAGGGGCAAAGGTGTTGCAAACACACCTTCCCCACCTGCTCCCTCCCACAGCTCCTCCTTGCAGAGGGGGGAGGCTACAGCCTCCTGTAGTCCATTTGCTGCCATCTCATGTCCAGACTGCGTTTCTGCTGGCAGAAGAGGCCTCCCTGGAAGAGGGGCAGGATGCCACTGGCGTGACTGCAATTACAAAAGGCCCCTTGTCACAGGAGGCCGGCCCTTGTTGGAGCGAAGCTAATTACAAAGGAGGAAAAGTTGTCACCTCCTCCTCTGGAAAAGGCTTCCTACTTGAGAAGTAGGGACAGAACAGGGAGACAGGGCCCAGGAGTGGGTGGGTTCAGGTGGCGTCAGGACAGGGGTTGCCCACATTCCCTGCCGGGGCACAGGCCAGCCTCAGGGGCCTTAGTCCTCATGTTAGACAAGCAGGGGTCAGGGATGCAGAGTGACCAAAATGAGTGAGAAGGGCGAGGATATTTGGCTAAATAAAGTGGCCAAGGCCAAGGTTAACACCTGCACTGCTCCTCCTGACATCTCTCCAGGACACTTCTCACCTGTGCATCTGTCCAGTCCCACATGTCACATTGGACCCTGTGTGTTTGTTCAGATCACTCAGCTGTGTGCAAGGGCCCTGGGTACTCCATGTGGACTGGATTGAATTAAATTGGATTGACTTGATGCTGAGGGACAGAATTCAATCCAAACTGCAATTAAATCTTCCTGATTTGAATCTGCTAATTAGAAAAAGGCTGGGCTGAAGTCGGCGCCATGCAATCTATCTTTAAAGGGGGTGTTCAATTTAACAGTGTGTACCTGAGAACCAGTAGGGGCTGGGGACAACAGAACATGTTAAAACGACCACTTCTGCACTTGGAAGCACCGTTTACCTTCAGTCAACCAGCCCTGTCCTGGTGAATCATTCCCAGGTGGCCAGCACTGGGCTGCTCCCCAGTGAGCCCTTGACTAAGCCCGGCTGTGTGACTAAATGGCTGAGAAAGGACACAGCCGCACGTCCGTTTTGTTTAATAGTCCATCCTTCCCAGAGGTTCTTCTGGGGTTTTGTATGTTTGTTTCTACATTCTTTAAAAAAAAAAAGTTTTTGACCTCAAAGTTGCAAGAACAGCACAAAGAATTCCTGGATAGCCTTCACCCAGATTCCCCAAGTATTAACATTTTACTGCCTTTCTATTTCTCCCTCTCTCCCTCCCTCCTTCTTTCCAACACCCTCCCCCCACCCCCCGCCCTCTACACACACGTCCACAGATTTTTTTTTCTGAACTATTTAAAAATAAGTTACAGGCAGAATGTCCTTTACTTCTAACCACTTCAGGGAACTGTGTACCTGTGTCAAGTGTTCGGGTGCAGAGTCTGGTGCAACCAGAGTTCCAAAACCAAGCAACACCACCTCCCAGGGCAACAGAGACCTCTGTCCCAAAGGCAGAGGGTTTCAGGAAGACATCACGGGGGCCCACTGCCTTCATCGCCTTCATCCTCTCTCCCCACCTTCTCTCCACAGTCCTTGCCTCTAACCTGGCCGGCTGTCTCCTTGCCGGCATGCCCTGGCTATTCCCTGTGGATGCCTTGAGGTTCACCCTCTCTAGGAAACTTTCCTTGGCTATCCTAACTTCTGAGACTCTTCCTTCCGTCCTCCTCCCAAGAACCACTGGTTCCTACCCCTCGTTGAGCTTAGAAAATGTTTTGTATCTCTGCCCCCGCCTCCCATGCAGGAGCATGAGAACTGTGCCCCAGTTGGGCACATGGGCTCCCAGCCACATCTGAGCTAACTGCCAGAACTGGGCCCAGTAGGGGGCAACCTGGCCCTGAGGGTGCCTGGGGACAGGGGCAAAGCCTGGGGCTTGAAGACCAGGCCTTCTGCATAGTTCAGGTAAAGAACACAGGAATTCCACGAATCAGGCAAGGCCCTCCACCCTCCCTTCCTCTCCCAGAGACCCCCAAACTCACCAGTCAGTGCCCTCAGCCAAATACCTGGGCTGAGGTGTCTGGAGTTGGTGACCGAAGTCGAAGCTGGGGTGGAGCCGGTGGGGGTGGACAGACACGCGCTCCTGACTCCGCCTGCACCAGAAGGGAAGGAAGGTCCACTGTGGAGCTCCGAGCAGCCCTAGCCGCCTCCAGAGCAGCGGGCTTTGCCCCTCTCCCCAAACGCTGAGGAGGTTTCCCAGCTGCTCGGCAGCCGATAACTCAGACACGCCTGCCCTGTCTGGCTGCCCACCGGACTGAGGCCTCTTCCTGGGTTTGTCTGCAGCAGGCCACCTGCGCACCCAGGCCGTCTGCCTCCTCCGCTCCTTCTTCTACTCCCCTTGTCCTTGCTTGTCTGTCTGCAAGACACTCACTCAGATCTGCCTGCTGCAGGCTCTCCCAGTTCTGCGCACCTTCTGTTCCCACCATGCCCTTCTCTCCTTCACCCTCTTCTCAGCTTTCATAGTGCAGGTCAAAGCCACCTCCTGCCAGAAGGCCTCCCCGAACACCCCAGTCATAGCGGCCTCTCCTCCCTCCGACTCTCACCTGCCTCACTCCCCTGCTGTCCCAGGCACCCGACCCCTGCGGTTACAGGTGTGTACGGCCTTAGACATCACCTGGGCCCGAGGCTCTCCAAGCACCTCCCAGCACCCCTGGGAGTCCCTTCCTAGGGTTTGTGAGCTCAAAACTATTTTTATAATAATACTACATTGTTCTTTACTGCTTCATTTTCTCGCAAGTGAACATTTGTGACATGTGATTCTGCAACAGAAGCAGACAGGAGAACACAGCTGTCTTCGATTAAGCCGGGCATTAAAGAGATTTGCAAATATGTTTCGGGGGGGCAGTCCCTCTTCTTACCACATTAATATACAGCTATTTTTCGAAAATAGTTTATTGGTGTTTATTGTTGTTATTTGTAAATGAATTAGTAATTTTTAAATTTCTTTTATTTTTTAACAGAGTAAATATCACATCATAACCATGCACACAGAAGCTGGAGCACCGCTGGTTCCACTCTTTCTCTTGATGGTTCCTGGGGAGAAGCGATTTGCCAGGGATCACCCCACCCCCACCCACCCCAGCTCCTTCGGACCCTTTGATTAGTGTTTATTCTAATTTTATTCTCCATTTTTTTCATAGCCGGTCTCTCCGAGCTGACCAGGGGCTCTTGAAGGCAGGGCTGAACCGGCCATGACCTCTGGTATTCCTCACGGATCTTGGGTTTTAGAGCCAGGTGATCAGGAAGCTAGTGGGGACCTAAAGGGTCCTCAGTCAAATATTCCACAACCTGCAAAATACGCCCGTCAGCCCACGGACCACCAGTTACCTGCCTCCTGTCCCTGCACCTGGACAATGCGGCAGGGACACACACTGGGGAGTCCGTGTGGAGTCGAGGTAACCCTCACTGCTTGAAATGAATTCCCCCAACTGGAGCAAAAGCTCTGCCTCCGTGCAGACCCACTTAGTGACCACGGTCCTGCTCTAGGACCCGCCCCTGCCGGCCAGCGGAAAACACCCACCTGGGGTGCGAGACCAGCCTGCGGTGCTGGGCTTCCAGGAGCTGCTGCTGCAGGAGGTATTGCTGGTGCAGGGCCTGAGGTAGGAAGGAGGGACCTGTGACGTCCTGGAACTGCAGGGTGGGCAGCGGGGTCAGCGACTGGTGCAGGGCGCCGCTGTGCTGGTGGGCCGGGGCCATGTGGGCGCTGAGGCCCGGCTGCGACTGCACGGGGTGGGCCAGGGGGAAGTCGGGCGCGAGCTGCTGCGGCTGCGGGGGGCCCAGGTGGAAGTGGCGGCAGGAGGTAGCGTGAGGATGCTGAGACCTTTGAAAGGGGGCACCTAGAGAAGCAAGGGCAGAAAGAAGACTCCTTGAAGACCAACACTGCACCCCTCCCCCACAGACCCCGTCACCGCCCGCCCCGGAACACCCTGCAGCTGGTGGAACTCAAGACCTTCCTTAGAACACAGCAATCTCATCACTTTCGTATCCATATGGTCATCTTCCATTCTGCCAAGCCAAGGGCTGGAGACTCATGGGTGGGAGGAGAGATGGGTGCTTTCTTGAGTGAATAGATAAGCATCATTTTCAAAATTAACATGCTTGTTAAAGGAGTTTTAAGGTCCCTGAGGCTGATTCGCTTTCTTGAAAAGGACTCCTCCCAGGCAACCTCATGACCTCTCTACCTTCTCTGATAGATGCCGCATAGAGAACCCTGAGCCCAGCCTAGCCAAGCTCTGAACTGCACCAAAACCTCACCTCCCTGGGACCCAGCCCCTAGAGAACCCTCATTTCCAGAGAGAAAACAACCAGGAATTGTTGTCCACGCAGTTTTAAGAGAGAAGAAAAACCTCACCACGTAAATAATAATTTAACAATGTGTTATAATACTATAATTTATTTAAAAGCAACCATTTCTAGGAATACGTTGGGCACAGCCAACACTGAATCAAGCCTCCATTACTTTTCTAAATAAAATTGACTTTGGTGATAAGCAAAAATGTAGCCCTTGGCCCTGGAGTCTCCAGTAAGGCCGGGTCAAGTGCGTGGCCCCTCAGGAAGGTCCGCCGAGGCTTCCTGCTAACCACGGCAGGTGCAGCGCGCTCCCAGACCCCGCAAAAAGGAATAGAGAGCAGATAAACAGACCAGGACAGGGAGAGCAGGAGAGGTGACATCAGCAGGCAACAGATGTCAACACATGTCTGGAAGATGGGAAGCAGATGGAGGAATTAGCAGAGCTGAGAAATCAGAAACCAAGCTCCCACTGAAGGGATGGACGGTCAACAAGAAGGGCGGCTGATCTTGCCACATGTGCTGGAAGGGTCAGGAGTGGGAGGTGGTGGCTACTGTGTCTTTGAGGACAGGGGGGCGATTTGAGTCTGTACGAGGAGCACGTCTGCCTGGGGCCCCCCACTCACCCCAGCAGTATGTGGGGAAATGGAGCCAGAGGGGCGCCGATGGAGGAGGGAGGGCGCAGCCCTGCTCAGACTGTGGGGTGAGGGGAGCATCTCGAATGGGTCTTTGGAGACCCCTGCCCCATTCTGCCACTTGGTTCTGAAAGAACTGTCACCCAGACGCCCTTTCTCCACACCCACCATACCCCTGGACTGGAAACTAGCCCTGGAAAGAGCTCTACAGACACTCTGGCTGGGAACACCCCAAGGAAGTGGCTGGGTCCCCTTCAGAGAGCTGGCCACTCTCTAATGAAGCCTGTTGGTTGGAAAATACATACACACAATTTCTGGAAGGTTTTAGTGACCTATTCTTCAATATGAGCAGACAGCACAAGGTGGCCAGTCTGGTGAGGAAGATTACAAAGTGAAAAGAGAGAAAGAATATACAAATATTTTTTAAAAGAAGAAGAAAGAAAAGAAAAAAAGGAAATGAACTCAGGGGAACTGAGGTCATGTAAGAACCAGGGAAAAGTTAACTTTAAAACACTCATTAAACTTTTCAGAGAAATAAAACGCTGGATCCATGAAAAAACAAGAAGTTATTTTAAAAGGAGCAATGAAAAAATAAGAGAGAGAGAGAGAGCTCTTGGAAATTAAAAACACAAGAGTGAAGTCTGAAATTCAACAGAAGAAACACTGGGGAAATTTCCCAGGAGGTGGAACTAGGCGATCAGAACCAGGAGGAAAAGGAGACAAACAGTGAAGGGTCTGGTCAGAAAATTCCACACTGACTAGTAAGAGAGAAAGAACATAGAAAATACCAGGGAGACAATTGTGAAAAAAATTACCAAGAAATATTTCCCAGAACTAAGAGACCGAGTTTCTACACAGAAGAGGCCTCCAAGTTCTGGGAAGTTCGGTGGGGGAAGAAGCCCCCATGCAGCCATCTGACTGGGAAATGTCCAAACGATGGGGGCAGAGATATGATTCTAGCACCTTCCAGAGAGAAAAAGCAAACGGGCCACACAACAGGTCAGGATGCAGAATTGCAAGAGATTTTTCAAGAGCAGCATTGGAAGCTTGAAAACAGTGGAGCAACTGCCTTCAGGATCCTGAGTGGGGGAGGGGGGATTTTTAATCTAGAATTCTGTGCTCAGCAAACTATTAATCAAGCGTGAGAAGAGAATTAAAGCCATTTTCTAACAGGCAGGGTCCCAAAAACATCAACCTTCTTGACACCCTTTCTCAAAGAAACCTGGAGAGAGAAACAAAGAAATTGGGGGGCGGGGGTGGCCCCCAAAAGAGGCAAGGTTACCTGCATACTCAGCGGTGCAGGGGATCCAGCAAGCATTTCGAGGGGAGCAGGAGGATGGGTGCTCCGAGAGGGTGTGTCAGGGAGATGGGAACGAGAGGACTGCCAATGGATTTGGCCACATGAAAATAGTATTTGGAGGATACTTTTACAACTCGACAGAGAATTTGGTAAGAATTTGTAAAAACATCATAGAAAGCAAGGCAAGCCCCCCCCCCCAAAATGAGGTAACTGTAACCTCCAGGAAGCCAAAAAATTGAGCAAGAAAGTATAACTATTATGCACTACTTGGTTCATCAGTCAACAGTATTTATTATTAATCATAAACACAATAAACTGAAGAACAGAAAAGGACATTTCTCCCATAATAAGAAGAAAATAGCCAATGTCAAAATTGGAAAATCAACCAAGAGCAGTAGAAGAATTTGTCTGGAAATTTCCACAGTAACTTCTGTGTCAGGAAGTGCAGACCCAGAGAAGAGCCGGAGTGCCCGGGTTCAGGGATGATAGGACTGTGGCAGGGAGGCCAGGGGCAGGCGGTCACTGTTTCGCTAAATGTCTCATGTGGGTGCTATTCAGCTTTGTAATGACATGCATGTTGTTAAGAGATTTTTTTTAATGTTTTAAAAATAAATATGTGCAAAAACAAAATAAAAATAGTTTCTGACTGCCCTCGAGTGAGCCAGAAAAGAAGTCTCTGGAACCTTAATTCCCACAAGCATCCTGGATAAGTAGGGCCCCTGGGCCTGATGAGTTCTGGCTTCCAGGAGTCCAGCGGCTGTGGCCTAAGCAAGTAGGTGAGAGGCGCACCCCTAGCCTCATAGCAAGGCTCCATCCTCCCGATCCCCCACTAACCCACCAAGTCCCCCCGGCCGTTCATGTTGGTCTCCTGAACCTCCAGACGTGCCTCGCTCATTCCCACGAGGGCCGTTGCTCGGTCCTCGCCAGTTACCATCCCCATCCATAAAGGTCACCTCTGAGCTCTTCGGAAAATGCCTTTCCTATACACCAGCCCTGGGGGACGCCTCTCCCCTCCGAGTTCCTGCAGAACACCTTGCCTGCGCCACTCAGCCACTCACGGGGCAACTGGCAGTGGCTGCCTTGAGCTGCTTCTTCACACTCCACCCCCATCCCCCGCTGGCCGAGCGTCATGCCCCCTCCCCCTTGGAGCTGGCATTCATCGAAGACCTGGCTGACTGTTGGAGCAACTGAGCAAAAAACAGTGGCTTACAGGGGTGGAGGCGCTGAGGCTGGTTCAGGTCGGACTGGACTGACATTGAAGGGGAAGGGGAGTGGCAAGGAGGGCTCAGTGAACTCTGGGTTTTAAAGCTGAGGCTTGGCAGAGACAGGTCAGGCAGGGCCAGCCAGCGTGCTCCCCCTGGGGCACTGCCTCTCTGCCAGGACAAGCAGGGGCCTCTCTTCCACAAAGCCCTCCTGCCACAGGGGTGCCTGCCCTGCGAGGCAGAGCCTTCAGGTTTGTATGGAGACCTTTAGAAAGGAGGGTTGACTGAGCGTCCGAGCTGGGAGAGGTGGCCACTGTCCTGTGCCCTGGAAAGTGGGGACAGGTGCCCTCTCTCCAGAATGAGCGGCAAGAGAAAGGTGAACAAAAGTATCTGTTTGTCCCATAGGTTCCAGGCAATTTCTACCTGTAAAGTTTCTTTTTAAATTTTTAAATTTAATGTTTATTGGATTTTTGCCATTACCATTTAGCCCCCTTATGCCCTCCCCCCGGCAACCACCACACTGCTGTCCGTGCCCATGAGTCCTTTCCCTTTCTGCTCAACCCCTCCCCTCCCCTCCCCCACCTAGCTGTCATCCACGAAGGTCCTTTAACTCCCGTTTTGGGACCCTGTTTCCCCTCGCCTGTCGTCTCCATGCCCAGAGGGTCCTCATTCTCAGCACCTTGCTCAGGAGGGGGCCGAAGCCAGGAGACCCCCATGCAGGGACCCCCTCCTCGCTGCAGCCCTGTGTCCTGTGCGGTCTGTGAAGGTGGCAGATAACCGCCGGTCTCTTTGGTCTCCGAGACCACAGGACTGGAGTCCTAAGGGTGGAACATCTGGGCCCATGACAAGCCAGTGATCAGTGACATCTGAACAACATGAACATCCCCAAAGGCCCCCCCATCAGTAGACAACCTACAATTTTTCCCACTAGAGTTACTCAGTGAGTTAAAAAATAATCTTCATAGGACCTGAGGATTGACTGAGGGAGGGGCAGGGGTGACGCTAAAAAAATAGTGATGATCTCCCAATGTCCCTAATTATACTGTCCATTTATTTCCCTGGGGCTGAAATGCCTTCGACTGCAAGGTTCCCCATGAGCTAAGTAACAGTTTTAGGGAGTGGGGAGAAGGATCTTCCAGAAACAAACAAAATAGCACACTAGAGAAACACATCAAGCGTAAGACACATGTTTGTTTCAGAAATGAGAAGAAAAACATGTGCGTCTTAGAATCCAGGAAATCGATGTTGACCGTTAACACCCTTTGCCGAGAGCTGGCTGGGTGCAGCACCTCCCAGCCTGGGGTGGGCTGGGGAGGGAGGCCCAAGTCAGCCTTTCGCAGCTGGGGCAGGGGAAGTGTGCGCAGCGGAGCTCACCTGATGCCCGCCTGGCACACAGAGGACATAAAAGGTGC